ACTCGGGGACTAGAATTAATATCGTCAGAGTGATGACTTTTTTCTTCCTAGCAATCGAAAAGTGCGATTCAATGCGGCAGGGATCACGCTAGTCCATTCCCGTAGACCCACCATTGCAAGCCATCAGATGCCCATGATGGCACTGTTTACCCCGCGAATTCGTTAATTCCTGGATGGAACTTTCAACGGGCGAAATCCAGAGCCTCGGGATTTTGTTTCTCGCCAAAGAAATATTGCCTGATGACCCATGACCTTACTTGTTTTCCGGCCCAGATGATGATCACATCGATTGACAGGCACCCAGTTTACCCAGAAAAACGACCGAGCTAGCGTGCTTTTTCTTTTACTTTTTAAAAAAAATATATTATTTTTTAGTATTTTTTTTAGATAAGTTTCGTTGATATTGATTCGAAATCTAGGTCGTTCTGTGGTAGAATTGACCACCACCGCCCACCCGATGAGGGATATTCCGCGAAGTTCTTGATATCGCTTAGAACGCAGATGCAGACCCGCTGGTAACCCTACCTTTCGATTCTTACTCAATCATATCCCTGGCATCAGTTCTCAACACCGGCACAAGCGATGAGGAGCTGAGCCTTGGGAACGACTAGAAAAACTAGTATGCTAGTATAATCTGCACTTTTACCCTCCCCATAGGATCCTACAACCACAATATCCAATCACAACTTCGCAGTTTGTCATTCTCTTCCTTCCAACTGATGTTCAGAACGGTCAAACCCATCGGCACTTTCCATTTGATTATGATAATTAGTTAGCACGTCACCATCGATCGAAAGCATCGAATCCTCAAAATGCATTTGCTCTGGCTCTGTGCTGCACATGCATTGCAGCTCAACAAAACATGGCTTTTTCTTCTTCTCTTCACCTTTTTTTCTCTAAAGTCCGACAAGTGAATGAAGATCACAAAAAAAAAGCCTGTTCATACTGCAGCAGGGCTCCGGGATTGTGATAGATTGAAAACATTACTCTTGTTCAATTCCGGTAAATAATTGCGAAGTCACATTTGATGATCGATATAATCCCTCGTCCACTAGTCTTAGAGGCCCGTACGTATGTTCGTATCTGACTGGTATACAGAACCTGTAACTACCTACATACCTAGTTAGTTCTACTCTAAGCCCTCCAATCGCAAAAAGAAGAAAAACAAATTGCGCTATCACATTTGACCACAGACACGAGCAAGGTCCGTATGCAATGCGAGCGCCATACTGCATCGCAGCGCAGCGCAGTGCAGCCACCTCTTTTCTATAGCTTCCTTGTGGATATGTAAGGTAGTAGTAGCTAGTATATCTTAAACGCCTTCCACCGGCACCGCGATATCCATTGACACCCATCTAAATGTCTTTGAAAGCTTGGACATAGTCGTGCCCTCTCAACGTCTTAAACCTTGTCCATTGGGTTCTTGGCGGAAAACGCCGACCATGGGTTCGAAGCAGGCTAGCTATCGAGATGGGCTCCACAATTTCGGTTTTATACCCTTGACACACCGAACAATTGGGGCTTTGTCTTTTTTTTGTTTCTGCAAGTACATGTCGAGGAAAAGAAGGCTAGTCATAGATTGCTCTAGGTCTTTACTACCTTGTAATTATAAGAAAGAGTAAGAAGTAGGCTTCGATTCGATACCGAACCCTTGTATGTTCTTGTTGAATGCAACGCTTTTTAAAATATCACACGTAAAAGATGGGTAATACGATTTATTAATATTAATCGATGGTTGAAAAGAGCCCGGTTTCGGTTAGTAAAATTTTAACGAAACGAAAGTGAACAAATATAGAAGTTCAGAGATAAGGTACATACTTGAGTAGCTATTCGTGAAGATTGAAGATTATTATCGAATCATTCGCTGATATACCTAGTCTCCTTCGGGTTTTCTTTGAATCCTACATAATAATAATACGTTCGATTCTATGTTCTAATAGCTCTAGACCTTTTTTTCACCCCCTCGTTCCTTCTCACCGAATTGACGCCACGGACGATACTACATATATCTTACGTTTGTTTTTTGATCCGACAGAAGGAAGTGTTCTAATTGGTACAATCGTCGACCGCAATGTAATCCGGGTTTTTCCCCGTCTTAGAACCAAAATACTTTCAACCTTCTACTAGCTACATCGAGTCCTAACTAACTGCTGCAACAAGGCCCATGCTTTTCCACTAATGCATTTGGATGTTTTACCCCTCCCCAGAACTCTATTGAAAGACACCTTTCTCGACAAACATCCTCTTTCTTTCTGCTCTCTCGCTCTCTCTTTCAAAGAGACTGTGCCGTGTCGGCCCGTGTCTTAGATAGATACATAGTTCCTATCGACCGATAGCGTTTTTTCCTGGCGAAACAAAGTCCTTGCTCTTTAGTAAGTATGACTTAGCTTACTAGGAGGTCCTTTTTACCTTCACAGCTTACGGGCGTCCTTTTTTTTTTTTGGCTGTTTTCAGGTCAAAGCTCACAAATGCCACTAATTATTCCCATGGCTTTCCCTGTAACTTCACCTATCTTTTCCTTTCTAAAAGAAATTAAAAAAAATAAGGTAAAGTAAAGTAAAACAAAATAAAGTAAAATAAAGTAAAATATGTTCCATACTAAAAACCCATGGATCAAGAAATAAGAGACATACATACATACATGATATCTCTTGCATCAAATTCAGAATCAAATCCCAATGAAATTCATGAATCCTACCATAATATCATACTATTGCCATGCAGAAGCACGGTGATATATATCCCCAAAACCCGGGAAAGTTGAACCTATATACATTCACATGTTATACACCCTAATATAATATAAAAAATTAATTAATTAAATCGGAATCCTCCCGTCGATTCGTGCGTCTTTTCGGCGAATCCCCCCCCGCCGCCCTCGCCATTCGCCATTCGCCTCACACTCTTCTTTCTCTAAACTGTGCAGATTTGCAGATTGCATAAAATATTCGATCGATTGCATTATCATCGATCAATTGCATAATATTTGTAACCTCATTTTCCATCTCGGGTTTATACGATATCGGTTCATATTTCCGTTATGCAGAGCTAGAGTATATATGTGTGTATGTGTTTTTTTTTTGAAGCCACTTAGCCACATCGTAGTTAACTTATATCACATTTTTATATCTCCAAAAAAAAAATATAACACGTTTTTTTGAACCCATGTCTGGGTGGTATAATACACCCTACCCTGATGATAATACGATAATACACTCTACCCCCCTTCCATCTATCCCTTCCATCCATCCATCCATCCATCCATCCTCCTCATCACCGGGGGGTTCAATATGTATCAACAAGTACCTACCGATACCACTCATCTACCCAGAGATACCCGGGGTAGACATTTAACTCCCCCCCCCCCCTCTTCTCCCCACGGGTCATATCTATTTTTTCAAAGCCTGGCCGCTTCCCCTGCATCATCACCAAACTCCACCACCAATTTACCAAATTGTGTGCCTTTCTTCATTATCTCAAATACCTCGTCCGCCCTGCTCAGCCCTTTCACCGTGGTGCTGACCACGGGTTTGATCCCGTGTTTATTCACAAAGCTAACCATTTCCTTGAATTCCTTTCGGGAACCCATTGTTGAACCACGGATCTATTAAAAAGGTCACGCGGAAAGAAGAGGAAGAAGAGGAGTAATTTGTCAGTAAAAAGACGGTTTGGAAGTAATTGAAAGAGATAATTCTTGAAAAAATAAAATAAAAGATAAGTGGTGATAAGATGTGATAGGGTGGTTGAATAGAGGCTTATATGCCGAGGTGAGCTTAAAAGGATAAGTTATGAAGAAGAGGGGGTGAGTAAGAGAAGCGGTAAGCGGCAAGGAGTAAGTGGTGTAAAAAGTATGGTCAGATGTCATCCTTGGTCACCATGACCAAAAGTGGGGCTTTAAGCGCCTAACTCTTTCTTCAGGCTGTTTTTGTTTTGTGCCATATGATCGATCTCAAAATTTGCAAGAGCTCGATACAAAAAAAAAACAGTGGAAAGCAAAGAAAAACCTGTAGGAGAAAACACCCGGTTCCAAGGAAATCGAAAACTCCATATTGTTTGAAACGTAGTATTCCTTCCAATGTGGTGATTTTGGTAAACCCTTGCTCAAACCGACCCAAGGGATTGGTTGCGATGTCGTTAAGGGTGGACCCGCTTTCTTACGTCTCGAAGGGCGAAAGGATGCATGTGCATACATACATGTATGTATGTATGTAGGCCATGGAAAGGACGGCACAGCCAATATGAGAAAGAAATAGAACTTACCTCGATATTCTTCAAAACAGCCTGCATCGGAAACACTACCTTGGGATTCGTCGTCATCCCATAGCTCACTATCACACCCCCTAGCTTGAGCAATCCATACGTCTGCAGCACAATATCGCCACCTGCGCCGTCAATAACTGTATCGAGGTACCTATTTTACCCTCTCCCAATAATATCGAGGAATATCTTTTAGTGGCAAAACACACAACCAATAATTGTCAAGCGGGATAGCGGCTGAAGTAACGATGCATGGGATCATAGTATAAAAGAAAGGGCTAGAAACTCTAATTGACCAATAGAGCAACCTTGTCAGGTGGAGAGCGATGAGATGATCATCGCATCGGCCATATGCAGGAAACTTGCAAGGGTGGAAGGGGGTAGGTGTAATAGAGCTAGGCAAGCTAGGCAAGCTATGCAAGCCCTGCGCTTAAACAAAGCTAAGAGACCAATAGCTCTATAGACGGTGCGGGGAACCTAGAGCACTAGAGCTCTATTAATGCAGTTTCCTCTCTGCATTTATAGACCAGGCCTGCTCGTCCGTCGAATAATCTTTTGCATAGTGGGGAGGATAAGATATCACAAGGACAAAGAAACTAGAAACCTGGAAAAAAGGGATAAATAACCTCAAATAGGGGAATTGAACAACGAAAGGCAGCAAAGGCTTTCAATGCAATAGCTGCACAGGGCCTTCAATGGATATAATAGACGAACAAAAAAAACAAGGCAAAGGGGCAGATAACTTACGGCCTATTCTTTGGAAGCAGCCCCTTCAATTGCTTCGACCAATCTTCCTTCTTGTAGTTAACTCCATCTGCAGCACCTAATTCCTTGGCCCTGGCTATCTTCTCCTCTGAGCCAGAAGTAACGAAGACAGTAGCGCCGGCCGCCACGGCGAATTGTAATGCAAATAGTGCAACTCCACCGCCAATCCCCGTGATAAGGACATTATCTCCTGCCCGGAGCTTGCCCTTTGTGAAAGTTGCACGCCATGCTGTTAGACCAGCAAGGGGGATAGCAGCAGCCTCAGGGATTGATAGGTGTCCTGGGGCTTCTTCAAGCTCAGAGGCTGGAAGGGCCACATACTCTTGGAGAGTGCCTAGGATCATTCACGTTTTACTATTTTAGCACTTATAGTATAAAAAGCGAGAAAAAAAGGATTCATATAACCGGGCGATGGTGGTATATGGAGTCTTAGACGACGGTCGGAATCCAAATTGGGATCTCTTCCCGAAAAAGAACCTAAGGGCCCCATAGACAAAAAGCACAGTGTAGCATTGAGGCCTCAATGTGCCGTCTTATCAATCTCCGGAAAGTACGGTAGTCTCAATGAGATCGTCTATCCGGACCAGTCGCGTGGCAGAAGTGCCATCTTTGAAGCGTGATTGGACAGGTTTGCTAAAGGAATTAAACTCACCATGCGAGACTCCAACCGTGCCCCCTACAATCGCATACTTGCCCTCTGGGCCATCTTCGCTACTCTCCCAGCCTCGTCCGGGGGTCAGAATAACTTTTTTCCCTTTCCACTGATGTTCGAGGTCCGGTGAGCTGGTCTCGACGACAATTCCAACGCCATCGGCGCCAAGAGGTGTTTCAAAGTTTATACCAGGATACAGGTGCTGCCGTATAAAGACTTCCCGGTGGTTCAATGCGGCAGCAAGGATTTTGACGAGGACCTCGCCGGGTCGTATGGATGGTTTGGGAAGGTCAACCTGTTTGAGGCTTGTGCCGACCAAAAAAAAAATGCGGGAAAAGTGGCTGTCAGTTTAAGAAATTTTCTTCGCTATCGGGTTTCAGGTTGAGATGTGGCAAGGGTGAGAGGCGCAAAAAAGCATTAGCGAGGTTTTGGACACCTCGAACCGAAGAACATCATGCACGGCCATACGGCTAAGCTTTTGAATGTCTCCTGTGGTGGCTATGTTTAGAAGTAGTGCGCTGATCATGCGGCACCTGCATATCGCGACCAAAGGGAAAATTTTTTCCTGAGCACCCGTCAAGAGACATGCATGACCCGAGACCCGATCGTGCTTGAGATCTTAGCTTGATATCTGAGCGACTGCGACTAAGCTCGAGTCACGTCATGGACATCATGAACGTCATAAACGGGGTCAGGACGAACACTGACTGCCTTACAACGTCCCGACGATATCTGAAGGGAGACGACACAGGCCGCATGTGTGTTTTTTTCTTCTTGCTGTGCATGAGGATTGTAAGGGAGTAGAACAGCCACTGTAATGCCGCAAACTTACGGATAGTACACCTGACCAGGCTTGCCGTCGGTTTTCTCAATAACGAGCGCCTTCATCATGCTGACTGGAAGTGTTTTCCCGGGTGAGAGCTCTTTCTGTTCTGAAAAAATAATAATTCGAGAGTCAATTAGAAAAGAAAAGAAAAGAAAGTTGCAATTGCTATTTGTGGCTTTCACGGGAATCGGGAAATTTGTGAGACGGCTAAGGATTCATATAAGGGCAGCCGCGTGGACTATTTCCCCGCGAAATTGGCGGAGATGCACGTACATGTAGGTTGGGTGGTGTGATGCCAGGTTGGAAGGTCAAGTTAAGTTTGGTACCGGCGAGACCAGAGACAGCAGGATTAAGAGGCTCGAGACAACAGGCTTGAATTTCGGCTTTAGATAAAGGATCGCGAGATGATGAAGCGGGAAGGGCTGGTTAGGCTTCACGATGCATGCTTCCGCTTTATCATTGAATAGCCATCCATGCATGAGGTCATTTCGGCCTCGGCTCAATTGATTCAACACAACATACGGAAGCGTGATGATGCCGTCCGACCGCCGATGCATTAATAATCGGTCGGTAGACCCGGACGAGAGCCGTCGGCCCTGATAATACTTACATGCGAGTCCCCGTGAAGTTGGTGCACGACGGTTGTGGTGTTTGTGGTGGTGGTGGTGAGGGGGCTGTAAGAGAGAAGGAAGGAAGGAAGGAGACTCAGAAGGAAGGAAGGAACCTCGAATGCGTGTTCGCTGTGCATGTCGGCTTCAAGCTCCCGTTCTGATCAATGCGACACCAACATTAGAATTATAATTAACATTGCAGCTAATTGATTGATCAATTAATTGCAGCCTAATCCTGAGCAATATCGATTCGCATTTCCGGAACGTTGAATGTTAACTTTAACTACCTTAAACGTTTAATGTCGGTTCTGTTAATTCGCATCCCGGACGGATATTACGACTGACCAATATGGTAATTCTAACAGAACCTCAACCATGAAATTATACTAACCAACATTAACATCCATCTATACTCCGTATGTTAATATAACAATAAGGTTATGGATAACGGCATTGCATGGGGACTATACTATACCCGGGCTGAACATATATCTGAGCCGGGTGTCCATCTGATCAGATCTGGGCCATGCATGGGGGGACTGGACCTAAATCGAGGATCTAGAACCCCTTCTGCTCGATCCAAACCACGATCTCCAGAACATACCTGTTGGACTTCCAGTTACTTCACATACACGGCCTTAATTAAGCAGCAGATCAACGTTAACATGTTGGAGACCCTTTTGCATTACTTCTCCCGCGTTTCAGTGAGGCTGCGGGGTTTAGGCTTGTTACAACCTGGCAGGCATGTCCAAATGCATCCAACCAATGGCCAATGATAGGATGACGTACCGAAATTCCAACAGGTTCGTTTAAGACACAACGAAACTGCCACCATCAGATGCCCCTCTCCGAACATTAACGTTAACTTGAACTCGAACTTCTTCTAATCGAGCTGCTTCTGGTTTCCGTCTTTTTTATGCATTGAAAAGAAAAGAAAAAAACCTCCCGGTTGACATGACAGTTTTGATTCGAATTCGAGTCTGATATTACATTCGATTGGCTGTCACAAATCGCCCCGTTATTATCACGCTATTAGCCAGTGCCTGGCTTAGCCCCTCTCCACAAAGTGCGCGGATTACGACCTGACTCTCTCGACTCGAGAAGCCTCCTCAGGACTAGTTTTCAACCCATAAAAAAGGCTTTCCCCTCTACATCGTTCATCTTTTACCGTTCTTTCGTTTCGAAACGAAGAAGAAACTGCCCTTACAGCTGAGCTACCCATTGCTTTGCAAGGACAACCGAAATCTCCTCTAACAGATCCTAAACTCGTCCCAAGGTCCTAGTGACCCCCAGTACCGTGCTGTTAAACCGGTGCATATACTACAAAAAGCATCTTTACCCCGGAAGAGAGTGGCACAGCATCTCAATTGACCAGACTCCCCCGGAGGTACCTACCGACGGTTCGTCCATAAGGAATATATCGATCACAAGGCATCCATACGGGATCAATCTCTTTTTTTGACTCACATACTAACCTAACCACCCCTTCCACTTCGACTATCCCAAAACTTGACATCGCCGTTCTTAAACAAAAATGTCAATCCAACGAACACCAACCTATGACAAGTCCCACTATTCCTGGCAACCCCCTTCCAGCCAGGCTTCAGAATCGCTCATCAGCGGCGAGCATGGCCCCGGGGAAGACCCAAAGACCCCAGATCTGAGTGCCTATGCTCGCTTGCCGCATCAACCCGCCGATGCCGCAGATGAGGACCAACTAGACTCCAAGCCGGGGCTTCCGAAACGCTCAACCTTCAATTACAAACACTCCTCCGATGAGTTCAAGAAGCAAATAGAAGACGAGGCTAATCAAAGCCCAGGTGGCGAGCAAACTGGCCGGCGTGGGAGTATCACGGGGAAGCCGTTCAAGCCTAGTTCTAAGCGGACTAAGAGCTGGGATTATCGTGATAAGAGGGGTGAAATGCAAATGAGCCAGCTACAGGACGGTGATCAGTCTTCACAAGGGTTCTCGGAGACTTGAATATGAAAGGGGGGGAAGTATTAACGAGTTGGAAGGGGTATATCAAGTTTCATGAAGAGAGAGAAGGAGGAGTGAAGGTCACGACTATTGTTTTTTGCTTTTGTGGGTTGATAATTAATGCCTAATGGGATATGAAAGAGAAGGGGGATACGGAGACTGATAATCACGTCATAAGGAGGAAAAATCAGCTGTCGATTGGATGTCTTTGGATTGTTGATGCCGTATTTTTGGTTTCAAGGCTATAGGGGAGCCTCTTTCTTTTCTTCGTTTTATGCTTATTCGGGGTTAACGTACACGCATGGGATTGTCTGGAGCTCTTCGCACTCGCTGATGAGTGCTTTCCTTCCTTCCTTCCTTCATTGACAACTGCCTATTGGATTCTAATACGATCATTAATGAGCTAAAGAATAATGGATTAATAAAAGTTCGCAAACAGCTAGAATAGTTTTTGAAAAGTCAAGCGAACCAAAGACAATATTGAAAGGCACTAACGCCACTAGCAAGATATCCAGATCTTTACTGTACACTGTTCTAGATTCCCGCATCGCTTACCAACCGAAGTCCAACGGGAAGTCATACGTATAGCACCATATAATCAGGCAGATGTCATGTCGTTATGTGTGCTGCATGCATGTCTCTAAGAGTTTAAAATTCCCAACCCCTGCGATTTCCCATAAACTAGTATAGTATCACGGGTTTCGCCTGGATCATTGGGGACACCTGGACCCGTACCCGTACTTGTACCTGAGATATCCATGAATTTACAAGTGAAACCCTTCAGGGTTCCCTGAAGAGGCAGGTCGGAGAAACCTTGTATGTTGCATCATAATCGAACTCGCGGTTCGGAACTTGATATCAATTGATGTGGGCTTTAGCTACTATGATGCTCTCTCTAAATGTCTATAAATGACGCCCACGTGTGTGTTTTATGAGCTATGTCATATCCTGTCGATTTCCGAGGGGGTTTTGGACGGTGGGGTGTGTCGCGTGGTTACGGTGGTTATGGCGCCTCGTCGTCACGTCGACCATGGCAACGGCCACGATACTATATCGTTCTGGGTCGTGTTACACAGGGAAGATGGACGTCAGTCGGTGAAATTGGGACAACGCGGACGGTGGATAGTCTACACGCCCGGTTCTATGGCTAAGCCAGCTATATAGCTACATAGCTATTCTTGATTTTACAAGACTAAGGGAGGGAGGTGGGTAGCTATGGCCTGATCATTAAAAGACGTATGTCTGCTCTGTACATTTATAACTTTGGCATTGGTTTCCTAAGCTGCATGAGGAGTCTAAGGTAGATGGTATCGGGTGAACATGACAGTATTCTGTATATGGTATAGGGTCGTCGTGGGCATGAAGGTCTGAAGGGGGGTGATTGGTTGTGCAAGGAGCTAGCTTTGGACAAAGGAACTATAGTACCGGTTGACTAAATCTAGAGTGATCGAAAGACAATTTCTGTTATACATTACACGCTCCTGCCGGATTAGATGGGATTGTAAGGATTGGGGAGGGAATAATATTTCTTTTTGCATCTGCACGGTATAGTAAAAATAGAAAAAAGATAATAGGAAAAAAAAAAGATCAGATCCGAAGAAAAAGAAGTGAGAAATGTTATCTTCGAGGGCATATATCTCGTAAACCCCGAGACAAATTCTCAATATCCAGCATTAAGTGAAAAGGGAGATAGAAATAAAGGCCGAGAAATAATGAAAAAAAGGTATATATATCATAAAGAACGATAGGAGATCACAAACCGTTATACAAAAAAGTTCCAACTAGTCCACATTTATTTGTTTTCACTCCACACTACCCAATCAACCCTGCAACTCTTGCCTAAATTGCGGTGCCGTATTCTCCTGGTAAACTCCTTGATTTCCTCCAACAGGAGCCTGGCCGCCTCCACCAAGTTCGTAGACATTTGGATGGGTTTGTGGCGGCGGGACACCACCTGGTGAAACCGGTGGGGGGTAAGCTCCCTTATAGTACTCCTGTCCACCGAAAGCACCGCCGCCAGCCAGTTCAGCCTGGTGTCCCTGTGGTACCTGTGCATATGGTTGTTGTTGCTGGTAGTAACCGGTATTATTGTTATTATATCCTTGCGTGTTCGCCATTGGTGGTTGTGGTGGGAAGTTTTGACCCCCGGATGCTCCGGCAGCAGCGAGCTTCTTCTTATTGTTCGAACGACGCCATAAGAAGAACGCACCGATTGCTGCACCGATACCGGCGAGTGCGGCGCCGACACCAATGCCTGCTACTGCACCTGTGCTGAGACCGCTATTGCTATCGCCAGAGGATGTGGGAGTATCAGAGGAATCGGAAGTAGGGTTGCTGCCATTGGTCGAAGTGTTCGAAGCAACGGTGGCAGTTGGTTCGGATGTTGATTCTGAAGTTGTGGTTGTTTCTTCACTGCTTGTGGTGCGACCGATGAAAGTTGCGGATTGTTGACGGGTAGAGGTTGTTTCGAAGAAGGAAGTGCCGGATTCGCCGGAGGCGCAGAAGACTTGGGTGAAGTCGTCGTTACGGTAGACATATGTTACGCAGCTCGGACGGGCGACACCACTGGTAGTTTGTAGTTAGTTAATATAACTGTTTTTAATATTAACATTCCATGCATATGTTGGAAGGTATTTACCAGTATTGTATCGAACTTGTGCTATCGAAGAAGAAGTCGGACACCGAACTGACACCATATGGTATACATGTTGTTGCAGGACCGCAGTAATTGAAGGCTGTTCTCGTAAGAACGGATCTGTGGAGATTTTGAAATAGAAAGGATTAGTCTAACTGTCAACTGCATATTTATCTTAAGTTTACACCCCCGCACGCATTGCAATCGATAGATAAGAATTCCGACCGTGCGGCGCAGCAGAAACTGCGGTCGCGAGTGGCTGCATTAAATCTTACTATTCACGAGGACTGTGCATTATCGATATGCCGATAACGATATGCGATAACAAGAACAAACGACAACTGTCAAGGACACAACTTACGTCGGACAGCAGAATCCGAAATTCGATCGGTATGCCTGGCAAAAATCCGCCGCGGCGCACTGAAGACCGCAAGTGCTGAAGGTAAGTTGCTGTCGCTTGTCCAGAATGTCCAAGGGACCTCCTCGGCCAATAATTTGCGGTGGTTGATAAACCGGGGCCGCTGTGATATGAACTGCCAGTGCCATCTTTTCAATCTTGTGATTATCGCTGTCGCTGGTTTAAATATTTCCCCAGGTTGTGTTTAACCCGATCGATCTCTCCTTATTTTTCCGGAATAGTCAGGTCGGTAGTGTCAGCAGGTTTCGATAACCGATATCGATACCGAATCCAAATATCGCGAACTGCGAATGTGATTCCCCCGAAATCGTCCTTTGTGGGGTTTAAAAAGATTGAAGTGTCAATTTTTTGTTTTTTCAGATCTTAAAATCGCCTTCTGCAAACAATTTTTACGGTCGATGGGGCTGAACGATGCGAAACGGATCGATGTGAGTAAATTAGCGTCGGGACTGCAAGGTGTAAGGAGGAGCGCGAAAAAAGGAGCGGACCGCCCGCCAAGTTATGCTGACAGCACTGCAGCGGGAACGAAAGAGCGAGCGAAGGAAAAAAAATGAGGGCAATGGCTTGCAGAGGCGAGGACAAGAACAGTCGAAAATTTAGGTCCTATAAGGCTGGCTGAACAAGGGCGAATGGTATATTTTGCCTTAAAAGGGTCTTCTTTCCCTCTCTCCCACGAGAAAAACTGGGTATCGTCGGAATGGAAAAGTAAGCTTAAGTCAACGTCGTCTCCTCTTCTTTTCCACTGGTGTATCGTGAATTACTTCGAAAGTAAACAAGTCCTCCACTCCAAAACCGCTTCTGAACGATAGAAAGAAAGTATAATGTCCAAAGCCTTCCAACTGAAGTCTCTCTTTCAAAAGGGGCAGAAAAAAGGATCAAAGGTGAGAAAGAAACAACGGGAAGGAAACAGGCGGCTCTTAGTTTATAACGTTATCAGCCGCAAGTGAGTTTAGGCTTCCTCCCTTGACCTGTCATACATGAGTTTTGTTGGCCTGGGTGTGGGCAAATTCGTCAGGTTTGGCACTGGACCAAAGTGCAGCTTTTTTTGTATGTATTTTGTTAATATTTGATTTTGCTGCAATGCTACTGTTGCTTTACTAATTGTGATTTGTGCCTCTTATGTTTTGGGATAAATTGTGCAGGGTTTGAGAGATATATGGGACGGCAAGAGGAACTTCGGAACCTGGGAGTTCGTATTCTTTTGAGGGGGGATGTCGACAAGCGGACGGCAGTCCAAACCCTGCATTATTAGATTGCTTACTATAAAAAAGAAGGGCGAAGGTACACCAATTAGCACCGCATTTGTTCGAAATATATTTTGCTACTAATTAGCAAACTGGCGAAGAGAAGGCTGAAAGTTGGCAAAACCGGAAATGTAATGTCTACAAAGTTGAATCTAACTAAAATTCATGATCACGAACAAGAAATCGAACTAGCGTCGTCAGCTAAAGCGTCTAGTTTTGGAATTGTGGATCCTCGTTCTTGAGAAGGTGACACCTGCATCGTGGCTTTGGCACCCTTTTGATCCACCTACGCGATTTTCGGTTACCGCCATGGAAGGGACGACATATTTGGAAGCACCCGCTAGTTTCCCATAGTGAAGCAGTTTAGCGGGTTTCTCGATAAACAATCGAATTGAAGGTGCTACAGAATATCGATCCGGGTGTCGGCCCTCAAACAATCGACAATAGCTACTTCCCTAGAGAGAATTTCAAATAACGTGCCAACATGGAGTATTTCTTTGGGATGTTGGAAACTCGACGGGGTTGGTTGGCCACTAGCACTCTTGATTATATTAATCTTTCGGCCGAAGCAACATGGCAAAAGAAGGATTAGCATCGTTTAATTATCCGGAAAAAGTTCGATAGTCAGAGACGATGTCAGCACGCAGGGAAACCCCATGCCTATTAATTGCTACGAGAAACCAGATCCGTTTCTGTGCCCCCCTGATGGGTTGATTACCAACCAAGAGATCTTGAGAATTCGAATTCGAAGCTGCAGTGTTATACAGATTGCATATATTGTACGCTTGCGCCGGGTGGGGTAGACAGAGCTCCATTCAATATTGAGAAGATGTTGAAATATAGTCCTAATGCACCTATATATATAATAGAGGGGCGGGGAACTTGGTGGAACGACTTAGATAACGGGATTTCCCATCGCAGTTACTTGCATCAAGAATCGACGCCCGCGCGGGTCTAAAAATATCGACACCGAGAGCCAAGGTGCCGTCGATCAACCCCACCTGCTCTGGCCATGAGGCTGGGCGGAGTCTTGTCAAAATACCACATTACAACGCAATATCTCTTTCATCTTCATTGCATTAAATGTATCCTGTTCACATGAAACCTATTGACTTAAAGGGATTATGGTCTGAATATCTCGAAAGTTTTATTCGAAAAATAATTATTACGACTAATTCATGTGGCCACCATCGAGTAAGTACAATAAAACTTATAGTGGATCTCGAATTTGCGATAGACCAAATCATAGCTATATCAAGAAGGGCTATCTATATAGCTACTTATATATATAGCATCCCATTATAGCCCAACAGCCTGCCAATAATTGGCCCGATTGCTTGTAATACACTCTACATATAATTATACGACCGAAATGCGATTACTTCCGTGATTTAATGTATTCATCGATAAAGCAAACCTACAATAGGCACCGGGAGGGAATCGGTGCCGTCAAATTACAATCTACCAGGATGAATACCCGTGGCCTTGGTACTGCAGTATCGGGTGGCTTTTCATAGTTCCTATCAGACTAGTACTCGACGTCAAATTCTCTATTCTAGAGTCTAATTGGTTGAGTGGACTGTTTGCCTTGTTTGGTTACCGATAATCTGTAGACGGTCGCACTAACCATAACACAGTGATATTGCCGTTTCTGGAATAATGACACACATCTCGATATTTTTTCCCAAGTTTTCTCTCAGCGACCAATATAAACTAACTGTCACCACCACCACTTCTAGCTTCTTTTTTCCTTTAATTCCCTCTCTGTCCATCATAGCCCCCGCTTGCTCATCAGGACATAACATCCCATCTTCGTAATATATCCCCAATCCACTCCCTGATATATTCGTATTCCCTCTTTAGTACCCACTTTCCTTTTCCTAAAGTATTTTAAGATCGGACTCCCACTACATATTAGGTGATGGAGAGCCGTGGAGACGAAAACACGAGAGATATAGGGACTAGAACACCCTCGATGCCAAATAACCCCAGCTCGCAAACTAAGATCGATCATACATCCAATTCGCAGCCGATGACCGATGATATCAGAGCAATAGGAATTGAAAGTGAGACGTCTGATTTTATTGGTACTCACACCTCCAAGACAGATGCCGCTCGAGATCCTATTGTCCTCGAAACCCCAATTGATGAAACTAAATTTTGCCCAAATACACCCAGCACGCCAATGAGCCCGACCAAACCCAATCCAGGACTCACTCCACTCAGCGAAGAAACAACTAGCCCGACCACGGAAATCACTAGAGAACTCTCAGACTTCAAGCCTTTCGATAAATTTCCGCCCGAGTTGTTGATGCGAACATTTGAGTTCCTTGACGGAAGAAGCCTGGCAACTGCTGCCCGTACCTGCTTTACGTTTTGCCAGGTAGCGACTCCGATTATCCTATCCAGCTTGAGACTTGAGGTCTTTTCTCAGGATGACGAGTATATTGATACAGTAATTAAAGGTGTTGACGAAGAGGAGCATCGAAAGTACACTACAATTCTTCAAGATCTCAATGGCCTCAGGAATTGTCTCCGACACTTGAGTTACCGAGTTAAGAAGGGCGTTGTTCTAGACCAAGACCTTGAGAATGAATTTCGAGACGAGACTCTGCAGCTCATGGTATTCACACCTACCTACATTACAGACTTAGAAACAGAAGTCCAGCTCTTCGATATGATTGTGGACATAAAAATCCCCTTGCGACTGAAGAAACTTACAATTTTTTTCGATAGCTACCAGAACGAGGACTCTTTCCTTGATAGGATCGAGATTTTCGATACCGAATTTCTCCCAAAAATGGAAACCGTCAAGGAAATCCAGCTCGAGTGGAACTTTACCGCCCCACGAGACACCCTGATGGACACTTTCTTGATACTCGTAGCCATTTGGGCTGAATTCTTAGACGCTGTGCCAAACGTAGAAGTTGTTACTCTCAGATGTCTTCCGGAAAACCCAGCGTCCAAAGGCCCCCGCCCGGTCAATGATCCCATCCCACAAACGCTTCCGCGGAGAATCAACCATGTCATTAATTTGATGGAAAACGTGACATTGAGAGATATTAAGTCCCTCAATGTGGCATTGGATGCTGTTGTATACGACCCAATATACAAATTTACGAAGGAAGACCTTAAAGACACAATGGTCTCGCCAATTTTTGAAATAACTCAAGCGTCGATTTTCCAGGTCCTAAACAAGTTTCTCAGTCGTCACAGACACCAATTGAATTCCTTTTCTTGGTCTAGAATACCAGGGCAGGAAACCTCAAGGGATAGGTTTAGAGAACCTTTAATTGAACCTTTGGCGACTGTACAGGGAACGAAGTCACTACGATTCCACATGGGAAAAATGAACGCTGATATTATGGAAACGCTCTTGGGGGAGCAGTACTTTGCAAATATAGCTACAGAAAATTGGTCATCACTAAGGTTTCTTGAGGTAGGCCACGCAGTTGCTACTAATAAGTGGTGTCGCTGGCTCGGGAAGTTCACCAAGAATTTCGTGGGTGTTGAGACTCTGAAGCTCGTGGCGTTGCGCTGTGACGATATCGATAACAACATGGCAGTTTGGACTGTACTTGGATGTGAGAGCATGGTATGTAATAGACTCTTTCTGTATATTAAATTAGGGTCGATGCCATTCATTGAAACTCTGCTAACATGATACTTTACAAATAGACTGACTTAGCCGGTATTCTGCCAAAGAAACTGCGAGAGATGATAGTAGATCTTCGCTATCAATCAACTAACGATCAAGGTCCCGAGTACATCAAAGATGAACCAGTCGCAATTTTCGATTTATTTGGAAAACTCCCTTACCTCAACACCGTTGATATAGCTCGCGGGATCAAGAGGGGAGATATATGCCAAAGGCTTTCATTCAAACGCAATTCACAAGATCTTTCTAACAGTGCTCCGCAGAAAGGAATTTCCTACCACCGACTAGGACTCGCTCATCCAAACCTTGGAGCTACTCACCAAAACCATCTAAAGTGCATAGAAAATCTCGAAGTTCCTCTTGACAGCAAAATTCAATTCCATGGCCCGGACGCTCTGAATTATGGGAGCATCTTGAGGGAACACGAACAAGAAATCAAAAAATGTACTGCGGGGGGAGTCAACGGTTGCGTTTATCTTCTGCAAGACTTGTGGCATTGTCGCCCAATCGACTTTTAGTCTTAGTCCTATCTGTTTTGTAAATTTATCAGTTCTTCTATGTTTCTTTTCCTTATCAGCCCAACATGGCGAGATTGAGAATAAAATAGAAATTGGTTTTGATTGATTAAGCTCGTCTAAATTTGATTAATTAATATAATTTATTCCTCTGATTATGTCGTAGGCTAGACGTCAATCTCGGAGAAACTCTAGACAGTATCGGCGCGCGCATTGAATTTCAACGCTGAATTATGTTATTTACAACTCTAATGATTCTAGTAAAAGTCTGGTTACGAGACTGGATTCTAGTATAGTAGCACCTAGCACCTCCCTTCGTCACGCCTAGCACGAGACCGATCCAATGTATCCTCCTCTAATCAGCTCCTTGAAGCGGGCCCGGTTCTTCAAGCGCAAGAATCTCTAAGATTCTCGGATACAAACTCTCATCCCATAAAGTATACCCATCCTCATTAAGATGCACATGATCCACAAGCACATCTGTATTAATATTTTCCGTCGGGTCCATCCAAAAAAGCCGTCCAATCCCCGGACCCGGTTCCGTGAGCGAATCGCTAACCATGAATGACGTCCTTTCCAGCTCATCAAGAGTCTCTTTCAACTTTTCATTCGACGCCCGAACTAACTCATCGCTCACATCCTTTCGTCGAAACAACCCGGTTACTAGAACCTTACTACCAGGGCATAACGCCCGCAACGTTTCTATCAAAATCCTAAAATTCGCATAGTCGCTAGGATCCGAATCCCTCAGTCCCTTCTTAGGTCTAAGATTATTCGTACCAATATGAACAACCCACAACTTCGTCGGTTTATCCGCCAGAAGGGGTATATAACCCGTATGAAGTCTATAAAGAACGTTTTCGATTTTATCGCCTCCGACGCCGAGGTTAAAACTTCTGGGAAGATTATGAAGTCCTGTGTTTTGACCTGTAGTTTTGAGACGTTCTAACATAGAGTCGCCAATGAATATGACGTCGAAACTTGGGGTTTGGTTGGGAGTTTGTGCGTCGGTTGGCGGGATGAGTTCTAAGCCTGGTTTATGAACTTCTTCGAGGGTTTTGTGGGATCGTTCTTTGTATTTCATGGATTGTTTGATAAGTTCTTGGAGAGGTTGTGGGAGGGGTGAAGTGTTTTCTGGTTGTTCGGGGTCCATTGTTGTGGCTGAATTCATTTTGTATGTTTTGAATGAGGGTTTTTTTGGTGTGAAGGGTATTTGGTGAAGTCGGCGATAGTTACGCGGGTGCCACCTGATAGTATCTTTAACACTAAGCCTACAGAGGGCAATTCGTTGGAATGAGGTGTTCATTCCATTTCATCCCTCGAGTTTTATATGCATATCTGGATGATTTAAGAATGATTCATCCTTCATTGTGATCGCGATGCGTGAAGCTAGCCCAGTCGGTATTCAACAATCGAGTCATAATGCATAAGCCAGCACGCGGACGCTGCGTTATTGTTCCACAACACGCTTTCATGTTGGATTGTATGTGCATTCCGTGGTGTTCGAGGTCGCCTGAGTTCATGAAGCTGGCGTCGACGAGCGCAATCTTAGATCTTTAGGTTAGGAAGATGGAGTACCAATGATATCTAAGACGAAGAATACTCTTTCCTTATTCAGTTGAAACATTCGTCTTATCGATTAGATTACAAGTGCGCAAAAAGCGATCCAGATCCGCCAATAAAGCCAATTAAATTAATTTCAAATAACCCTTCCTAGCAAAAACCTCAATAGAACCGCACCCCCTTGCACCCGAATATTGTGACATACAATTGACATTTTCCTTTAAAATTATAAATAAACCAGACCCATAAAGCTCACGACGCCGGTCCGCCGTAAGAATTGCAAGGACCAAGGCCGAATGCATTCCCCTAAATCAAGGCATAGTTAGTAGTTAGCTGGGATCCAATGGAGGGGAGCCGGGGGGGAAAGAACCAGGCAACAATTACGAGGGATAATAGTAAGCTTATAGAAGGGAGGGAAAGGTATCATGCAATCTGCTTACCGGATCAGTAAACTCAATCAACCGACCATACGGACACAGTCCCGTATCCGTCGGTGTCTCACTCCTTCCCGCTACAAGGAAATTAATCCTGCAATAAGAAGCTACTAAATCATAAGTAAAGCAACCGACGGTTTCAAAACACCTTCTACAGCATGAAGCGCTGTCCGTGACATTTAGGAGCTGCTGGAAGTTGTAATCTGAACCGGAAACACCGGGGCCGGGGACTGCACCGCCGCCACTGTATGCGATGCCATAGTTTTGGCTCGGGTCACAGGCTATGTACACAATTATTCAGTATGAGATTTTTTGGTGTGAGTTACAGAGGGTTTATTTACCGGGGACGGTCACTGTTGTTGTTCTCGTGCGGGTCTGGCCGGTAATAGTTGAGGTAGTGGTATCCTTGCGTGCAGGTTCGACATTAGAAATGATGCATTGAACTAGCCACTAAAGGATTTTAGGTAATATTGTAATACAAAATCGAGCTTACAGTAACAGTAATTGTTCCAGTCGGCTGCTCAACCCCAATGCATGAGCAAGCGCTGGCGAACGCGCTTGGACCCCGACAGGCCGTTGCATACGCGGGCAGTTCGATATCAGTGCTCGATGCTTCTTGACGCGGAACCAGGGCTATCGGAGTAGGCACATGTCGAGCTTTTGGAGGTACGATAGGCTCTGGATCACGCTTGTCCTTATTTCTTGTCGCAGGACGATTGATTATGGAGTAAACGGTTGTAGTAGTGACCTCGGTGGGTATTATCGACACGAAGGTTGTAGTCGCCCTAAAATCAGGAACGGTAGGGTTAGAATGACAATATAAGATTGCAAGTCCGTGCTAGCTGGTTTCTACTATCATGATTAATACATTCTTGGGTATATATACTGAACTTACGTAGATACTATAATAACAGAGGAGTCAAAAAAGATAGAGCAATCAAGCGATGCTTGTTCTATCCTTCTAGATGCACGGAGGGCACGGAGGCAGTTATTGCCTGTACATTGTCGTTTTTCAAGACTGGCAGCAAGTGCCGGTAGGATAAGTAGAAAGAACGGGACGAATGGTAGAAAAACCATGATTTTCAAATTATTTCAGCGAACTTAAAATGCTGAATTCCCCAAATGTAAGGTCTGGGTAGTATAGATCTCAATGTCAGGAGTTTAAATATCCACCGGTTTGGCTTAGAATTTAAACCAGAGGAGGGCAATACGGTACTTTACAGGGTTGAAACTGAAGTATTTAACTTCAGTTTGATGGGCTCTACGAAAATACAAGCCGGGTATAAGCCAAGTATTCATTCCCCGGATTTACGTCCTCGGTTCAGCATCTATAAATATCCAACTACAATCAGGAGATCTGTGACACTGTAACACAAACGACAATCAGGTTCAAGATGTTGATAGCCAATGCCCTGGTGTAGATCCAAAATACACTTGGTGCACTAACATATAACGAGCATACAATGCATCACCTCGGCATCTCCAGGGACATGGGATGCAATTCTTGTAACACCATAGGGTGGCTGCCTCTATGTTCAGCCTCAAGTACAAATCGGGTACTTCTGGCTGCAAACGAAGCCCAAGGAGGGCGATTGGGAGGTCTAGAGCTATCCTTTTCGGTAGGAAAGGCTATATCTTTTCTTTGTCAATGTCATCGGACCCGAGACTCGACAGCCCAGTCTAGTAACAGCTAATTTCCACTGTGTTGGTTGCAACAGTTAGTACACATCCACCCGCCTTCCGAAAGTTAGTTTTCGTGCTACCATTTGCAAATTCCGTTGAATACCTGGCGGTGACACGAGAAGCTTGAATACGTCCCGAATGCAAGAGTCTCCTGTCTGTTGGTAACATCAAGGCTATGTAGACTACTTCGGCTTTAGTAGCCTGCAGCTATTTCCCGTAGAAGGAATACCGATGCGAATGACAATGCACTTCTCAGAATCGGGATTTTTCAGAGCTATTTGTCGGGATGCAACCAAACGTGGCTAGATACCGTGAAGAAATCTTCAGTATAACATATGTACAATTATAGCCTATATACAATTGTAAAAGTAGCGTACTGTACATCCTAGTTAGAGGAGAATGAATTGTGCGCAAGTCCGGATGTTAGGTATTTACATGGGCCGTAACTGTCCAACTTTGTGACTTGTATCATGATCTATGCCGGTTTATCAAAAAATACTTTAGTTGGCTCTAATGAATTTAAGCCTTGAACTCCAGGTTTCTCATTGATCGATCAACGAATACGGGAAATGAGATTCGCGATCCAACAGTTCAATCAAACCTATGCACTATCACTATCACGTCTATATTTGTGGGCCATTCGGATCGCTGACGCCCTTCAAACCAGGCGCACCGTGCCCCCCGATGTTCTCGAGGCCAGCGTTACCTGGAGCCGGACGTACTATGCCAGTGGAATTCGCGTCTGTATCAACTGGCCCTTCGTGGCTTCCTCCACCCAACCCTTTTTCACCAGGGCCGGGGTGCTCTAAAGTTCCAGTTTTGGGTTCAGCATTATCCTTTGGTGCCGGGTGAGAGTATTCATCAGTACCCCGGCTCTGAGGTGGAGAGTGCGGTATCGATGATGTTGGAGTAGGTTCCGATGGTTGAGAGGGTTTGGGTGTGGCAGACGAGGGCGATGTCTCGGATGATGGTTTTGGTGGTTCTTCAGAGGACGGTTTTGATGGTGATGCTTCGGCTTTCTCTTGATCCATCTCAGCTAGCTTTCTATCAATTTCTTCCTCGTCCTCATCATCCGATGGAGGAGCGCCATATATTTCAGGGTACTAGTAGTCAACTGTCAATCCCGGATGGAAAAAAAAGGGTTTGGTGGCGGCTTTCGAGCTTTACCTTTTGGAAACATGTTTGCATGCCCTTAAACTTTTCAATACAATCGACACCCTTCGGTTCTTCCTTCGAGAATACAAAGCAGCTGAATGCTTCTCTGAACTCTTCGCCGCTAAACCATTATAACAATCATTTATTAGTATAAAGTCGCTTTCTTAGTATCAGAGCCCTAGGATAAGCTCACCAAGGACCATGTGCCATGCCCCCAAGGCAGGGACAGTCCCAATTGATTTCTCCCGTCTCTTCATTGAAAGCGCCTTGTTGTCCGGCCTCCTCTTCCAGGCTTTCTGGGCTCTTAGAGCCAGTTTCTAGCTCTCCTGCAGCCACCACCACAGTTTGGTTAGTGGTATCCGAAGCTGCAGCCTTAGCCTTGGCCTTCTTCTCTGCGACAACCTCATCTATCGTAGGAAAGCGTTCTTCCGGTATAGGTTCGACGGGAGGCGCCCGGGATATGAATGGTTGTTTCTCTGAATGTTTCCATTAGCCATAAAGCCCACCCCGATTGAGAATCACCTTTCTAAAACAAGGTTATCATGCATATGCATACCAGCCGGTTCCTCAGCAAATATTGTCGAGGTGTTATACCAATATACAATCGCAGCCCCAAGTCCCAATCTACCCGAAAAGCTCTGGAATTTCCTCCCAGCACTCGGCCTAGTGTTTGTGAACAACGATCTCGAAGATAATGTATGAGGACATATTGTGTTTCGTTGTATAGTCGGTCTTAATGATGACGTCGCGGATCTTAGGAGCGGGCGGGACGACCGCTGTAGCGAACGAGAAATCGTCGATTGAACCATCCTGGAGACGAAAACGAACGGTCCGGTAGCGAATGCCTTATTCTGATATCCTCCCCCTTATGAATATTACTCGTGGCGCGATAGGATCGATAATTATGGTATAGGAGGAGCGGAAAGGATGGTCAAAAACTTTAGTTGCATGGAATTTTTGCCTGCTTTGAAATCCGACACATCAAAAGCTCGCGCCCAATTGCGGCCTTGACGAAACGGGACTGTCACGTGATATGTGACACAGGTTGCAATTGTTGCATTTTGAACAGATCAACGCAAAATCCCATGGGTGCCCGGTTAGGGATTTCGTTCCGCCAAAAGGACCATGCATAATAGTAAGTACCTATATACTTACTTATATTATTAGACATGATCATGTATATTGAAGGTGCAACATGACACAGGACTAGCTCAAATAAGGGTCATAATATCTAGCGGATCAATTCATATGGTCAGATCCTTAATACAGAACACTATAGTGATAATAGGCGAGATTTCTTTTTCTCCGACTAGACTAACGACCTAGGCCTTGGATGCATCAAGTGGCGACTGCAAAGACGTCCTGGCAGGCAAGTCCAGACCAGGCCACCGAAAGAAGTCGAAAATGATTTGGAAATCGACCACTTTCATGCCCAGGAACGCCGAGGGCTAATTCACTAGATGGATTCTACAACTCGATGATGTTCGAGCCGTTTTGGAACCGACCTCGCCTAGTCTAACCCGATCCGAACACCTCCAAGCGAGCGCTTGCAGGAGAACAACACTGTTTCTACCACATATGGCGCACATGACATCTGGCGATAACCGTCCTTTTCAAGAACTACCCTTTATTAGACTCAATGTACGATGGAATAACAAAAAATATGAAGTTTGTTTTGTTTATGAAACGAAATTCTAAAAGGGTAACCTACACTATATCTTGATTTAGGACGGCCCAAGCCTGATATTTGCTTTTATCATGCGCAGATTAACGTTTAAACGAGGAACGTCGATACGTTGGAGCTATCACTCAAAGAATGTCGACGCTTATAGACGCGTGATTAATATTATAAGGTTATGCATCTGACTATTGCGGCTGGTGGGCCCAATCTTAATTTATGTAGTGCCTACCGGTGGGGAAACAGTTTCCCTTGGCCTTGATCTCGTCGCAAGGCCTCGTTCCGATAGGCCACACTTGTTTGTGAAACGATTGACTAATGGGGATGTTCAATCCCATATGTGAGCGTATAGCCTATCTGAAGTCTTTGATTCCGAAAACCAGCGAAGCCGTTGAAAGTTTTTTGAGCCTCGAATATGGTGGAGGGTTACACATCATCGATGCTGGGAAAATACTAGCTGCTTTTGCGGGCCCTCATCCTAAGCTCCGGCGATGAGAGTTGGGAGTATTAATACTTCACAGGCTTGCCCTGCTTTCTGTTTTATTCTCCATCATTCGAGATCATCACTCCTTCTCATCTTTCTTGGGTAGTCATCTGGCTTGGAGCAATCCTTCGTTAGGCTTCGGCACTGTCACATTCATTTTCTATTAACTGAACTACATTCTTTTTATATCACACATTCCTTTACACATATACATCCATCATGCGTCCAATCCTTCTTACTGTGGCCTTCCTTGCCGCCACCGTTGCGGCCAAGCCATACGGATACGAGGAAGAGGAGCCAGAAGTCATGCCCTCGGTCAAGCCCACCCCCACTCCCCCAAGACCTGGTGGAAAGGGAGGCGAAGAGAACCCTAGTCCATCCTGCAAGCCTACCACGATAACCAGGAACCTGCCACCCAGGACTGAATACAGGACCAAGGTCGTCACCAGGACCGCCTACAAGAACATCCCCGCAAAACCCAAGACTGAATACAGGACCAAGACTGAATACAGGACCAAGACTGATGTCAAGAAGGACGTCAAGACCGAAACCAAGACTGAGACTAAGACCGAGACAAAGACCGTCACCGTCACGGAAAAGCCCACCGGAAAGCCAACAGAACCCGCTGAAACCCCTGAACCCACTGGAAACCCAGCGAAGCCTACCGACCCTGGCAAGCCCATCGGAAAGCCAGCGGAAGAAGAAGAAGATGATGACCCGTACGCCTACGGTTATGGCAACGCCGATGAGGGGGATGATGAGGATGTACCCGGCAAGAGCCCAACTCCAGTGGCCCCTACTACCACCAAGGCCGCCAGCACCGGCACCGTCGGTCAATCCGCCACCAACACCAAACCTGCCACCACCACCAAGCCAGCTGCTGATGAGGATGAGGGTGAAGATGAAGAAGAGCCAGCCGTTAAATCCACAACCAATTCGCCTTCCGCCGCAAAGCCATCCTCCACCGCTGCTAAGCCATCCTCCGCCGCTGCTAAGCCATCCGCCACTCCCGCTGCCACCGCTGATAAGAAGACCGACACCCGTTCCGACAAGACCAAGTGCATTGATTTCCATAACGACTGCCGTAAGAAGCACGATGCCAACCCATTGAAGTGGAACCAAGAGCTTGCCGACTTCGCTCAGGAACACTCCAAGCTCTGCAACTTCGAGCACTCCGACAAGCCATGGGGTGAGAACATCGCCGAGGGTTACGCTGATGTCACCGACGCCATGCAAGCCTGGTACGACGAAATTGACATCTACACCAAGGGTATCAAGGACTTCAGCGTAAGTTGATCTTTATCTTTAACCCCCCATATAACATGTTTAACCTAAACTAACAATATTATTCCAGCTTCCAACCGCCCACTTCACCCAGATGATCTGGAAGAAGACCACCGACTTCGGTTGTTACAACCACAAGTGCCCCAAGGGTTATTACCTCGTCTGCGAGTATACTCCAGCTGGTAACATCAAGGGAGCTGCTCAGTTCAAGGAGAACGTTCAGCACATCCCTAAGTAAACGAAAGTTTAACTACCTTATGTACATGTATGTTATGATTGATATGACTGTTACGAATTTTATGACACCGGAAAAGACGATGCATGCTATCCCCCAACCCCCCAAATCTTTCTTTCTCCCTTTCATTTCCAACATTTTCCTTTGGGATCTTTCAGGGAATAGATGGAATTTCCTTTTATTCCCTTTCTTTTGAGAATGGCGTTTCTACATACTTTTCTCTCTCTCTCTCATACAACCCTGTTTGAGTATATATTCTTTGTCCTGTCAGATGCCAGAGCTTCAAATCTTTGGTGAAATAGAATGTATATATCATGAAGAACAACCAACAATTTTCTTTCTAGAAAGTTTTGTGAAAAAAGAAAAAAAAAGGATTACTATATCTCCCATCGTGATAATGTGCAGTAGACATACGTACAGGATTCGTCAGCCCCTCTGTTAAACATCCCAAATGATTAAGCTATCCAATACTAAACGACTAAAAATCGGGTGGTCAGTCTCCTATCGAAAGTACAACCGGTCGTTTTTTTCTTTTCTCCTTCTTCTCTTTTCTTTTTTGCGTGATATAGCTTGATGCTCAGGTAGCACATCTATAAGTCAACTTACTATAATCTTAGGTTTTAGATTCCATGTTTATAAATTCATAGACAACCTTGGCGGCTTGCGAGGGTATGCAGACCCGCGGCATTGACGCACATAGCGTACTAGGATCCGAAGGTTGTTATAGACTAGCTATAGTGGGATATATTGGGTTTTCTTTTCTTTTGTAAATTTATTCGTATGTTAGATAGGTTTTTAGAATACCCATTTGGCTGGTCTATATCTAGTCTTTTTGAATAGAGCGTCGTATCTATATGAGCTCATGAAGTTGGTGCCATGTTATTTCCGGCCTAGCCCCAGGTCTAGATCTGTCGGATGATCTTGTTGAGTTCGAGCTAGGTTCACTAAATGGACATCGATATATACCTCGGATGGTGGAACTGTACATGTAGATATATATATAGGTACGTCCCTACTTAGGCATATACCCCATATGTTAGTATATTCTTGGGGTATATGTATGGTATTTATTCTACAATACTTCTTTCTTTCCGAACCCTTCGTGGATCCGAGCTGGCGCCCCCCCCTTTAACTTGGTCGATAAGACGTCACATTGATGAGTAATTAAGTACTTCAGCGACGAGCCGAGTCGATGTGAAGTCCAACTAGCTACTTCGCTCGTAAGTATAGATAATTATAGAACTATGTTCCTTTAAAAAGGGAATTGACATGGTATTCCAAAACTTTGCCAGAAGGAGGGGGTTTATTGATATTGTATTAATACAATATTCTCGTTATAATACAGGATTATAGTCTTTAATCTTCCAGGTCTGGGTACGAGACAAGTCTTCAATGCGAATACAAGTAGTATTAGAGGCGAAAATTTAGTAATAATTTGAATTGGAACGGTATTGAAAAACACCACTTTGCTAGCATGCACATTAAGTATTTTCGTGATTAGTACTCCCGTTCTTTTTTCATTTCTTTTTTCCTTTATTTAGAAAGTATTGGGTCTATCGATTCTCCTTGAGAGTCGAATTTTGAAGTATTAAAATGTAATAGTTAAAGGGTACCTTAGCGCATCACCAATCGATCCATTGCCCTAAAAATTTAAAATTTTTTTCATAAGTTTGAACGAAAGTAATTTCTATGTCTAGATATTTAATATTTACGGGTGGCATAGTCTCGTTCCTAGCGGGTGGCATATGGTATTCCTTTATTTTGGTCAGCAATATCATAAGCTTATATATTAGGTTAATGTAATGACTTTGTGAAGTTAGTTAACACCCGGGTTTTGATATAATGACATCGGTCGACATATCGCCGCCAGTGTCGAAACCGGATCCGCGGACATGCATGTTATGCGGTGAAATCGTATTATCGGATCCAACTCCATGGATCCAACGGCACCGCAATGGTGTTACATATTGTAGTGCATGATGGTCTACAACCTCTATCTACCGAGTTACTTATTCTCGATCGCCTTATATTCCAGCTTCCTAAGTATCTACTCGAACTGGAAGAAAAGAGCCGCAAACACCAAACCCCCCCACGACACGCAACAGCGAGAAAAAAAAAGGTAGAATCCAAGGAACGTGATAATCGACGCGCTCTCAAACCGTTGCATGCAGCTTGTGTCCGTGTGTGCGTGTGTGTGTTTCGGTTAACTACACGAAAAGAACACGGGCGGGATTAATTCATGTGCAGGTCTAACTTACATACATACACGGGAACTTTTTGATCATGTGGGATATAGACGGATATGGGTAGTTACTTTTTTCTTTGTAACTTTAAAAAAAGCTTGAATCTGAGGTAACTACCCTTTTTCTCTCTTCTCTTTGTTCTTCTTCTTCTCGAACTCGAGTTGGGTGTACATGTTAAGACGTCAGTTGTGTGTGTGCTAGTTTATTTACTAGCTTTGATGCATGCGGATAAATACTTTTAGTCAGTACTTGTAGTTACATCACTGATTTTTTTTTGTGAAAGTGATATATTTTTTTGTCATCGATGCATTGTGGATTATATTATTTTTTTCGTGTGGCTGTCCGGACAGACGGTAAGCTTAGCTTCGGTAGCTAGCTGGGTTTAATCCGTGGGGTAGTTAACATCCAGGTATCAATCAACCGTCTTGTGACTTTCGATCCAAAAAAAAAATTAAGCTATCCCATTATAAACCCTTCACAATCATTCAATCATTCAATCATACACTTGCAAAATGAAGGCATAAAAAAGGGCTGGTGTTTTCTATTCTAAACATAAAAACTTAAATGCCGCCGAAGACAGAAGGGAAGGCGGCATGGTATATAATCATCTTGACAAGCCCGGGGGGTTGGACTTATCGCGGTAAGGTATAGTATAGTAAGAAGAGCTCGGTTTTTTTCTCTTTGGGGCGTCATGCTGCAGAGTTCATGCAATTGCAACGCCCATCCCCCTCCCCATGTTAAAGATCTGTCCTTTGCTTGCGCAATCGTTCGATACTAGTTAGGAAGGGAAAAAAAGGATGGATTCATTCCCATGTCAGTCAGCCAGTCTAGCTGGGTAGGAAGGGAAGGCTAGGGGGGGGCTCGTGGGGTTGAGGGATTGTAAGTATATGCGGATTATATAGCTAGTGTGCATGCATGTATGTAGTATGTATGCATGGTATCTACAGAATCCCGCCCGCTATTGCGGATCGGTATCTAGGGAGTTTCCGTGTTTCAACTTTGTTCTTCTTGTTCTTCTGTTTCTGTTCTTCTTCCTGCTTGGAGGAAGTCTTGGAGGCTATTTGATTGAATATTCTTCATTGGTTCGACTGGTCCTTTTTGGTTTTAGGCTTTTAAAAATTTTAACTTGCAAGGGGGAGGCTTTAGTTTAGTAGAATTTTTTCCTTTGATAGGTATCACCTGAGCGACGACGGGAAAAGAATGTTTAAATGCTGAATGGGAATTCAAGGAATTTTGGAAGGATCCGAGGATTCTAGAACTTCTTTTTTCAAATTCGTCGGATAGATACCTAGATACCTTTCTTTAGATATTCAGGGATCGATTCTGATTTTGATTTTGCAATTGATTGGGGAGGTTTATTGTTCTGAGATGAGATGAGATATCGACTGGGAGCTATGGATATCCGGATGCATATGGTGAGCTTGTAGAATGGTAAATGGATAGGAGCTATCTATCCGTCAGGTCATATTATATCATATTAGTCAAAGCACCGAATACGACCTGACATCGTATTTAGTGGACCTCTTAAGATCTTGTCAACCACTATTCATCAAAACTTCCAAGCTACATACTTTAAGCACAGTCAGAAAATACGGGAAGCCTAAAAAGCATATTCCGAAGCTTTGTGGCGCAACGCAGCGAGGATGATACCAAGTATGTCTGTAAACGCGTGAGCACACACCCTTCGCGTCGACTCCCCGGCCCGAACAAAACAAGCAGGAACGGATTGATCAGACCGTCCCAAACCAGAAACCAAGATGAATCCTTGGAGGGGAGTAGACCTAATCTCGTGAAAGCCAAAAAAGTGAGAGGCGGGGACAAAAAGAAGGTGTGAGCTCGAGCTTTTTCTTTTAATCAACGGGACGGAGAAGGGAAAAACCCCTCTCTCTCGTGCTCGTCTCGAGCTATTAGAGCGGGACGGAAGTGAGGGTTTGCAAATCTTTAATGTTGGGGTGGATGGTGGATGGTGGATGGTGGATGGTGGGGATTTGATTTAAAATTTGGCCTGTTGGACCTCTCGTGACACCGTGGAATGGGAGCTTTGGATCGATCGTGATGCAAAGCTCGAAAGATTGCATGAGATATAAAGAAATACTGGAACGGATTCAATGATAGCTAAATACCTCTTGCCTAGCTAAGTATATATGGTACTTATATATAGATATTCTCAGACCATCGTCACTCATTTTCATGTCATCAAAATTCTAGAAGGAAAAAATTTAAAAATGCTTTCAATCAATTTGTTCGGGATCCGGGATATGACGCACTAGCGAACTTCCAAGTGCCCTGTCAGTCAGAAAAGGGAGAAAGAAGGAAAAGAACTCCACAGGCTACTGCAAGGCTCCACGGAGCAAATTATCCATGCCGGAACCTGTAACGTAACAGGCAGATGGACGGAAAGAACTCCTACCAAGCAGCACGCAAGTGAGAAAATAGGAACCAACCCCGCTGTAACAAAAAAAAACCCCCAAAGAAAATCAATTCGACGCTATGGAAAGCAAAGACGCGACCGGCACGCGATGCAATGATCATCTTGCAGGTTTTGCAGCCAGAAGGTTGGTGGTGGGGCCGGAACTAATAAGGAATACAGATTGGGGCTGATCGGAAGGGTCAGCTCGATCTGACGGTTAGGAAAAGAGCTTAAACGTTGCCATTCGTCCGTTTATTCGGGCTTCCTGAAATTAGGAATGAATGAGTGAATGAAGCTCGATTTCGTTTGTCGCCAGAGCCTATTCCCTCCCCCTTTTGAATCTCTTTCATATCGGTAGATGAGGGGCAGTAGACATATGTACATACATACATCGGTGCGTATCTGTGCATGTGTATATGTGTGTATACATGTAGACGTCTCCACGAATGCGGATTGGCATTTCGCTCCTTGTCGGTGAAATAACCTGGGTACCCGTCCACCGTCGAATCGATTGGTCGACTCGGACCAATTGCCAACTGAAAGCGCTTCTGCGGTTAGGTCATCCTGCAGATAATAGGTTACCCATCCCGGCTAGCCCCGAACAGGCTGGTTGGGTGGTTGTTTAGGCTTTTGCACCTGCGCCTGCATGTATGCACCTTGTACATTGACATTGGCCCCGCCCACAGTCGCGTTATGCTTTCACCCACAGACGCATATAAAAGGAGTTACCGACAGAGTGGATTTATGTACCAGAACCTTACGGCCAGGTCTATCGATACCTTCGTTCAGGTATATAAGTATGTACCTGCGAGATGTGCCAATTTTAGTCTTTTTTTTCTTTCTTTCTCGAGATTCTTGTTTGAGTAGACAGGTCGAAGTTCGGGTGTTCCAGGTGTCGCCATCAAACGGCACTGCTTCATGTCTGTAGACAACTTGCATTCCTCGCTGAAGATATTTTTGTTTCGCGAAGCCGAGAAACATGATTTGATTTTGCCAATTCGGTCGTCACTAGGGAGTAACCAAGGAGGAGTATTGCCGTAATGAAGCTCAGGAGTCAGTCTAGTCCGTGACAAGTCGTGAGGCATGTCGTCCACTAGGTCTTGGCGGGATCCTCTGAGCCCCAGCAGGACGTCCCAATACGGCGCTCACGTGACTGGACACAAACAACAACGCGTGGAAAAGAGTACATACAAAAAGTAATACGCTAATGCTCGAAAACACCAAAAGCAGGCCTGCAGGTCGCAGGCAGGCTGGCTCTCTCATACATAATTTCGCGGAGAACATGGGTGCGGATGTGTGCTTGTACTGTTTGGTCAAACCTGTGCACGTCGAGACTAATTGGCAATTTGGGGATGAGGTATCAGGCACGGTAAAAATGGCTGGTCGGGTACATTTTCCTGGCCAGGAGCGTGATGCCTTGACCCGACCTCAAGTTGCAAGAGACAAGACACGATCACGAACCCGACCAACCCAACACCAGAAGAGAACAGCCAGCCAGCCTGGGAAAAAGAAAAACCAACAGGAACGCTGAACAAAACCACATCCACGCCCACTTCTTTCTTCTTGCAGTGTTCTCATACACACTACCACCACTGGCCCGTACTAGTAACAACCACCACTACCACCACCACCACCACCACCAACCACCAACCACGGCTCATCTCCATCTCATCCATCACTATCACCACCATCATCACCATCATCATCATTATCATCGTCACTAACTTCATGAAGAATAACCTCATTCATTGACCTGTCCTTCCCTCTTCTGACCTACTAATTTAGCATTTCGTCTTGCATCCGGCCTCGTTGGTCGAGACCAACCTGTGACTTCTGTGAAGTCGTTGTTGCTCCTTCTCCCTCTCCCTTTCTGGTGAGTACGAGTACAAGTACCTCGTGATTGACTGTTATCCATCATGTCTAACACGTCGAAGAAGTATCGTTATTATTATCATAATACTATTCTTCTCTCTATAGCATCGTAGCCATCCTTTCTTTCCATTCTCTTTCTTTTTTTTTTGTTTAAAAAAAATTAAATAAAAAAATAAAAAAAAGATGGCTACACCACCGTTCACATCCTCGCCAGCCCTGGCTACGCGTGGACAACTCCGACAACACTCTGCAGTTCCTCCCTCTTCACCACCAATCCCATTCCTCTCCAGGAAAAGATCTCTCAAGAGAACGGCATCGGCGTCTTCGTCGATAGACCCTGATTCTCCTTCAGATAGGCCGTCGAAAAGACGGGCTCTTCGATCTTTGAGAAGAACAAATAGTGTCTCTGGATCCGAACTCGCCGGCAACGAAAATGCTCGACTGACACCATTCCCTGCTACTCCACCTCGCATTCTCAAAAGAACGCCTTCTCTTCTTCCTGCCATCGATTTCCAGGCTTCGCCTCCTCGTCAGGTCCGACCAGCGAAATCCGAACAGGTTTCTGATCAGGAACCAGTTGTTGTTGCTCCCGAAGAAAAAGCTAACCATTATCCTACTCCGGTTCCGACTTCTGAAATTGGTATCCCGACATCTCCTGCCCCTAAGGTTGCTGCTCCTGTATCCTCCCGACAAGGCTTGAACAGAACCAATTCTGCTTTTTCTGAACTTCGTGCTCCTCTGGTCTCCGTCCCGACCGTAACACTTCCAAAGAACTGCCAACCAGTTACCTTTGGTCGTTCCGTCAACAAATGTACTTACCTTATGTCTAAGTCACATACCGTATCCCGTGTGCACTTCAAGGTCACCTACCTCGGCTTCGCTCTTCGAAAGTCGGTCGAAGTCCATTGTGTTGGATACAATGGAGGTAGGGTTCACTGCCGTGGTGACACTTGGGAACTCCGTTATGGGGATATCTTCTGGTCGGAATCCGGCGACGATATTATGGTCGAGACCGACAACACTCGTGTCGTCATCCGTTGGCCTTCTGACGACCTCCAGGCCACCTCCCCTGTTTCTCCTGTCATCAAACCCGTTGTTATTCCCTCGAGTACCTTCCCTTACCCTGCCGAGTATGACCTCTCCATAGAAACCAAGGCTAGAAATGGCCGACCGTTTCCGACCGAGGGAGTCGAATTCTTTGGGAAGTTCACCCACGAGCCTGTTCCCAAGATAAACATCCCCAAACCCAGAAATGGGTCTATCGATATCAATGCTCTTACTGAACCCGCTCCTCTTCGATTGTCCCGCGAACCCTGGAATAACAATCCGGACTCTCCTTGCCCACAACCGAAGAGACAACGCTTGATGCCGGTTTCGCCTCTACCCTTCGCGACCTTATCGACATCCCAATCCAACTTCACATTATATGAGGATGAGGATGATGAGGACGATGATATCGTTTTTGCCCCGATATCACCCGTTAAGGATGAAGAAGAAGAAGACTATGGCTTTGTTCTTCGTGAATCCGAGAAACCGGAGGCTCTCAACACAGAGGTCGAACTCGACGATGATGAAGAGGATGAAGAGGAAGAAGAGGAAGAAGGAGTGAATGACAACGAAGAGGAGGACGCCAATTACGACGATGAGGATTCCGAAAACGTCAATGAGTCCGCTGCTCATACCACTCCGACCAAGCATACCGCCAAATCGCAGAAACTTGCTTATAAACTAAAGCACAAACTCGACGAATCTGTTTCTCAGGACCCGCTCACCCCGAAGTCCAAAATCTCCCTCATGAAGCATCTTTCCAACCAGATTGCATTCTCGCGACTTGCTTCCACTCCTCTATCTAACCTTATCAAATCTCTCCCCCCTGGTGTTCGGGAAAAGGTTTCTGTTGAATTTGTCCAGGCCCTCTTGACCAGTGTCCCGTGCATCGGAGAGATTAAGCGTGAGGGAAAGGATGCGAGCGGAAAGCTATTGGAGCCCGAGTATTACTATATCGCAGACATGGACTTTGATTTGGACCGCAAGTCGATCGTCTGTTCCCTTAACAAACCGAGTTTGAGGTCTTGCAGGAAAACTCATAAGGTGAATACTCCCTCTATCATTTCTCTGTCCATACCAACAAGCTGACCTCACCCTCTCCGTAGCAATACTTTTGGAAGAAGCCGAAGGTTTAAATTCTTGACCGGCTTGACTCTCCGACAATCGATCGATGGGATGCGACTTCATGGATGGTGGTCTATGTTTTGTCCTTTGGCTGGTTGGATGGATGGATGGATGGATGAACTCTTTTTCGCTTTTGGTTTTGCTCTTTAACTTTCCCCTCAGCCCAACCCAACCCAACCCCCTTTTCACCGACCTATCTTCTTTACCTTGGTGAACCCCCCCCTTGGTCTCTTTCATCATCGACTTATGCCCTGACTCGTTATGCCCCGCTTTTATACCCCATGATTTGGTTTCTCCCAAACCTATTTGAACCTTTTTGCCCTTAAATGCATCTGCATCTCTGAACACTATGATTCCCCCACCCCCTATATTTATTCTTCATGCTTTCCTCACTGACGCTCGTCATGCCGTATGTCGCTTGTAATACCGTTTTTTCTTCAAATCAAAAATGGTGTAAATATTGAGAATGGTTATTTCTTATACTCTTATCTTCACATTCTTGAAGTTTTCTTTTTTCCCTTGTCGATACCGTAATTTTTTCGGTGGTTGGGTGGATATTTTTGAAATTTCGAGTTCCGTCGAAGCCCGCCAAGTTGTTGTTGGTTACCCCGTCACACGAAAAACATTACCCCTCCAAACAAAAGGCTGGGAAGACGTGACTTTTTATACCCTCCGTGACAAACTTTTCACGAAGTCACATGAGACGCAGAGTTTACCTCCAAGGCTTCTTGGCGAGGACAAGGGTGTTTCCGGAGATGGATTAGTGGAACGATGTTTCATGGGACCCCTTATCCTTGGCTCTAAACATGTGACGCAAGGGCAAAAGTGTGGGCCCACGCGCAAACTGTCATGCATCGCAGCCGGGCGCTTGACAGGCACAAGAGCAAGCTTACGGGATTTGGTAATGGAGATATTTCTTTTTCTTTTTCTGCTCAAATGCTGGATTAGATCGGATCCTTAAGTAATGGTATATAATACGGGGTAGTTTTGAGGTGACGTTCTAAATATCCATGATTCCTTGCCTGATGTTAGTGTTACTAGTGTTAGGACTATATCGGATGGCATATCTGAGGTTTCCGTTATCGTCGCATCCGTTGCTTGTTCGGGTAGTTTGGACATGGATCTAGCCTATAACGGCATTTTACTACCACATCTTCCGGCACTGGTGGCGCTATATATAGCCTCCAACTTCACTTCATCTGAAGGCACAGAAGCCAATCCGGGGATCTATCGTGGGATATCTTGTTCAAAGGCAGTAAACCTTGCCGGATATATAAGAAGCATTTGTTTCTCTGCTGAGTGTGTGGTGATCGGCTTATAAAGTCTCATCCGTGGGTCTGAGGTTGGCGGGTCGCTACAACCAACACTCTCATCACCACCTCCATCGATAATCATCACCTCAATCATCGCCATCAACCAACCAACCACCCTTTTTGCGCAGCCACCTGCTAGAATTCGGTATAGTCCTACTTTTATCATCACCTAGTGACGCCTACTGCGATTCTTGTCGCTGATATAAAACCTTTTGTTTCGCTGTAGTTGATACTCTCCCATCCTTTGCCGATTAAGAGCTGCTCACCGTTCCATCATACAATTCCTAAGCGGTCTACACCACCCCACCGCCGAACTTCCGGCGCCAATTTAACGTTTCTCCCTGGTAGTTTCTACCAACAATCTTTCCGTTTATTGAACCATAGTCATGGATTCCAAGATGGACGTCGTCACTACTCCGGTTAAGAACCTTAAGCGTGCCCGTTCTCCATCGGAGGAGGAAGACGATGGGCAAGCACGAGATAGCACCTCCAACAACACCATCGACAACACCACAACCACCACCAATACAACCAAGGCCTTTGGTGCTAAACAAGTCTCCTCGGCATCTTCACCGCTTGATCTTGGATTGCCGGACTTCCTCGTCTCGCCGTTTTCGTCTGCGAAACGTCTTTCATTGGGACATAATTCGGATGATACCCGTCGAATCACTCGCCATGCTGCTGCAGCTAACGACCCGTCTCGCAAGGATCCATTTGAAGTTTTACCAGATAATGTGGTTCGCATGATTATCTTCTTGTTGCCACATAAGAGCATCGTCAAGCTTCGAAGGGTTAGCAAGTTCTGGAAGGGCAACGTGGAGTATGTTATTACTCAGGCTGTTGTTGAGAAGGCGTATGGAGGAAGAGAAGCGACGGAGAAGTTGAAGAGGGAAGGGAAGCTAGGATGGCCAGAATTTGCCTTCAGAAAAAATGGTAAGTGCTTGTGGTTCTCTTTGATTTGTCCCCTCGGCCTCGGCCATTAGCCTCTCTCCCTTTTTTTTTGTTAGTCAGCTGTGTGCCCGCCCTTTTTTTATCTATTGGATGGTTATGCCGAAGCGTGATTGCTGACTGTCCATATAGCCTTCCTTGAAAACGCTCGTACCGCCGGCGCCCCTACCTCTGTCAAAAAATTTACAAATGCTCAACTGTGGGAGCTTGTCGGCGACAGACTCGTCTGGATCGATGACAGCACTAACCTCAACGTCCAGCATCTCAGTGCTTGGGATGTCAACGAACGTAAAGATTCTCTTGTCGCACTCGCCGGAAACCCTAGGGCCTTCTCGAAGAACAAGTTCCTCCACAGCGTCATCGCAGATGAACAGCGAAAGGCATCTGCTGAGCGACCGAAACGCTCCACCAAGAAAGAAAAGGCCCCGGAGGCAATCATTATCCGTTGGTCATTACGCGATACTCTCAAAAACCGTCGTACTAAGATCAAGGTCAACTTCTTGGTTCCGTATGGATCGACTCATATTATTCTCGATTATTTCCAATGCGATGAAACTGGGGCTGTTCATGATCGCTGGAACCATAGGTTCCTCCCTCAAACTACTAGTCGTAATAAGTATGCTTGTTCCCCCAATATTATACATCTCATTGCCTCGGTGAAGCACCGAGACGGAAGCTTCAGCGCTAATTTGAATTTCGTAGGCTCGCCTGCATCAATATCATCACCGGATATGCCGATTGGAACATCAACTTAGAGGACTTTCGCCTCGCTTTTCCACCATCCCATGGTCTCTACCTTCGTCCACGCTACCAATACGGCTCGCCATCTTACTTGATCCATAAGGACAAAGCCTACTCCTTCACAAGCCCCGACCGCCGTCACCCCTTCGTTCCCCACAATACCGGGGAACATAGGGTTTTTCTCACAGTCCGTGACTGCAAAACCGGGGCCACCATCGAGCATAAAGAGATGAAAGAGATTGGAGATGAGTTGGTCAACCACCAGTATCCACAACCGGAACATACCATCATTAGTCCGGACGGGAGATTGATTGTTCTCAACCTCCACCGCAATCTCTGGATCTGTAACGCGCAAACTCGAACCTTTGTCGAAAAAGTCGAATTGCCTTGGCTACAGTATAGTATTGTGGGTTCACGGTTTGATCTCGAGTTTAACGAAGACGGAAGCCGCCTCTATTTAACGGAAGAATGCAATGGCGCTGATTTCAACGTTATCGAGCTCGATTCGAACGACAAGTTCAAGCCTGTTTTTATCAAAAGCTACCACGTCCCAACTAAGAACAACTTTGTTAGTCGCACAAGCTTCAACCACAAGTTGCAGACGCAGGTCTTGACCACCCGCAACCCATCCCAACCGATGTCAGGAGAATGGAGACCGGAGATCGTCAGGTTTATCAGCATGGATGAGTTGATGGAAGATATCCCCAAGGACCTCTGGGCTGCGGAATGGAAGTTGCAACTTGCCAACCCTAATGAGAAATGGAGTTGGGCTGGTCCTGGCTCGTCGCCACTTATACCTCAACTCCCACACCCAGGGATGAGCCATGCGAGTGCTATTCTCGCCCAAATAAGTCAGTTAAACGGAGGTAACGGTACCTCAATAGCCACTCAGATTAGTGTTGCGATTGGGTTTAACGCGGGTATTTTAGGTAACCCTCTCAACGCCGAAGACGGTACTGGAGTCACCCCGCGTGGCAAGATGTTCCTTGAAACTCCACGACAAGATTATGTTTTATCCACCAAAGCTGCGATCACGCTTCCACCACTTGCGAAACTCCAACCAAACGCCATCCAAGAGCCTGCTGAGGAATCAAGCTCCCAAGCTGAATGGCGAATGGGAGGTGTTTACTATACCGGCCCCGCTACACCAAAAAAGAGAGGTAGGAAGACTCCTAAGAAGTCGGCGGCTAAGGTAGATGAAAGTAAGATTCACGAGCGTCGTGAATGGTGGATTGGAGGACGTATGTCTCCGTTTAAGTTGAAGAATGGGGAGAGGTTTATCGTCTTCGATCAGGATGATACCGTCTACTGCTGTGACTTTGGGCCGGTTGGGTGGTAGGCCTGTCGTACAGCCTTTTACTCCTTCCCTCCTCTTTCTTTGTTTTGTTCATTATGGAGGCGTTATGTGGCTGGTTTTTATCCAATGTTCCTTTTTCGTGTTCCTTAATCCTTTCTTTCTTCTTCTTCTTTCTTTGTCTTCCCGTTCTGGTTTTCTGGTGGATGCTTCGCTGTTTACTGGTTGGTTCCTTTTTCTGCTGAGATATATGGGTTTATGATGGGATCCTTTTCATCGTTCTCTCTGCCCTTCTATCAATGCTTCGCAGTAGGCATGATATGGTGGTGATGACTGATCGACGAAGCTATACTCGTCCTGCGACTTTTTTTCTCCAGGCTCACGATGTTTTTAGCCTCAACTCCATCCCCCATATTTTTCCTCTCTTTTTTCTGTTTTCTCCCTCAGCTTGTATGAACTTGTTATTCATATCACTCCGTACTTTACCTCGTTTTCATGATTCCGTTTTTCGCGATTGATACAAATGATATACCCTACCTGGGTGGTGTTCTTGGGGCCTCCTTTTTCTTCTTCTTCCTCCTCTTCTTCTTCTATGTATTCTCACTACTTTGTTTCTTATTGTTTTTGTTTTTCTCTCTCTCTTTTTTTTTTCTTTTCTGTCTTTTTGTTTCATGTGAATTATTGGGATGATGGGTGGCCACGTGGATGTTTATAGTGGAACTTTTTTCTTATTCTGTTTATGGGAATTTAGGTGTTTTTTTTATATTATGGCGTTTAACTTTTTATGGAGGGGGGTTTTTTTTCCCTTCTATATTTTGTGGTTGAGATGATGGTGATGGTGATGGTGATGCATGTGGTATGATATGAGAAGGGGGCTCGAGGAGGGTTGTATGTAGATGTTGTGGAAGAGAGGAGTTGGGGGGGGTGTATATTGATTTGTGATTATGCATATATGATGATGATGATGGTGGTGATGGTGATTCGTGATACTTCTATGGGGTTTTTAAATAGTCGGGTTTTACCTATATCAGCTAGTAGTACTTAGAAATGGGTTTAATAATAGTGGACTAGTCTCGTTCCCAGATCATGATAACCAATTCTATTAGGCCGGAAACCGAACGAGGGGGGAAATGTAGCGTCTTCTTCTTCTTCTAGATTCTTCTTCTTCTTCCTTCCCTCATTTTTTTATATATTGTTGTCCGAAAAGGGAAACTAGTGTCCAATTTGGAATTCCTTGGCACAGAACCAGTGGTGGAAGGCCAGGCCAGCCCACCAAAATCCGGTGTAGACTGGGGGTGTCGCACGATATTGATTGTACGCGTTAACTCTCTCCCTTCTGCTTTCGAAATTTCTTACGAAAGCAGTCGGGCATAGAAAAGGTAATCAAAATGTATTGTAGGTGGTAGTATAGGTAGGGTCCTAAATCAGATATTTAACAAGTGTAAGAAGTAATTAATAGAACCAGTACTTGTACCTTGCAACGTACTTGGCTATGAGTGAAGCAAAGGAAGTATACACAGGCGCTTATTGCTAGCAAAGCTGGAATATGAACAGGGTCTGTAAAAAATTAAGAGGTAGAGCGGTATTAAATCAAAAGTAAGTTCCCAAATACCTTTTCCTAGATACCCAATAAGAAAAAAAGGGGGAAAGAAAGCCGCTCATGAACCACACACGCTAAAAAGCAAGCTCAAAAAATAGCATTATCCTCACGGGCATTATATTCCTTCATATCCCTCAAATACTCATATCTTTCCATATCATCCTCCAAAGTCCAGCCGTAAAACTTGCTCATTAAAAGAAGGTTCTTCTCTTCATCAGGCTGTCTCTGTGAATCCATCCTTGTGCCCCGAACAACATCAATGACATTTCGAATCCTGTTGATTCCGCAGGCACGCTATGCCCGCTTTGCTGTCGAAGCTTCAAGTTCTTGCTTAATCGTCTTATCGTTGGGCAAGTAAACCGACGCGACGGCAAGTAGCTTGTATGCTTCCGTTCTCCTGTTCAGGGCTTTATATGCCATTGCAGTTCTGAAATAAATCTTTCCCATTTCACCGGATGCGATAAATCCGGATAATGCTTCCATAGCTGCGTCTAATGCTCCATTATCTTCGTCGAGTCCGATGCTGGCTCTCATTAACCTGATAGTTCTCATACCAGTCAAGAGAGCCATGTCGTAGTCTTGTAGTTTTAAGTATGCGAGGATTGTGTTGGCGACTAATCGTACTCTTAATAAGATCCGGGCTTGTCCAGCGTGCTGATCTTTAAATGGGCCAGGAGTGCGGATTATTTTGTCGAAGAACGGGTCGCCGTAGACTCTTCGATTTCTGGCGTTGATGACGATGTGAATTGCGTGGAAGGCTTTGTTGTAGAGTTTAATTGCTTCGGTGTATTTTCCAGCCATCAAAGCTTCGTTTCCGAGATCCTTCAGTTCTGTACCTCTTTCCAGACATGTTTCGGGCGAGTCTAGGGGTGTTTCCATTTCTGTTTTTAATGCTTTTCGAACTGATGGGTAGACGGTTATGTTGCCGTTGATGTGGAATTCGCGAAGGTCTTTGATTTGTCCGAATGGTTGTAGGAGTTGCGATTGCTTTTGTTTCGATACGTGAGGTTCTCCGGGAATTGGAAATGGTGATGAAGAGATATAAGGATCCTGAAGGCCGATGTTGAGTATCAAGTGAGAATTAAGATAAGGCATCGTCACCGAACTATAAAACCAAGACCGACAGAAACGATCATGATCCCCTGTTTCCAATAAAATAATAAATGAAAACATAGCCTGCGGATCCTCCATTGCTTCGGGAGAAGGGTAGACAGCATTTATCTGAACTGATAGAGTATGTAATCTAAACCTTTCTACCCGGAACGTATCATCCAAGATATCGACTTGGCCGTCCAAGGCGACATGGTACTTTGCTTGATGCCAGGGAGTGGAGATTTTAACGAAGGTGTTAAGTTGGTGGAATATCTTGCGAGATTCGAGGTAGATTTGACGGTTGATACGGAATATAACGAGAGATTGAAAGAATTCGTAGGTGTATGAGCCGTCTTCGAGGGGTTCGCGGTTGTTGTAGGGGGAGAGGAGGTAGGTGTATATTTGGTTGCGAAGCTCGGCTGGGATGCTTAAGAGGGTCGGCATTTTGAGGGAGGGTTGGAAGAGGGCCGGAAGCGGACGGTATGTAGGAGAATGGAGTCGCTAGGATAGTGAGAACCGATCGCCGTATTCTGAATGATGGTGATGGTGTGAATGTGGTGATTGCGATGAGGTTATGTGGGGGTGGATGGGGTGGTGGAAGGTTGAGGAGGAGGAGAAGCCGCAGCCGTCCGATGTGTTGAGCTGATGTCGGATTTAACGGAGAATGTCATGGTGTTACCAACACATTTGTCTGTTGTTTTTTGGAGACGCCACACAGCTTAGCCACAAATCTCATAACTTCGAATTCGAACTCGAGGCTTCGACATTTTGGGGGCTATACGGTGTGCCAACCTGGAATGCTAGCGTCTGGCCTCGAAATTAATTAATGCCAACTGGAAATTTGCTATCAATCAAAGATCATACATCCTTAGCACTTTACACCAGTACGGTGGTGGCGACGAGGCAAGTACGGTAGTACAAAATGCAAAGTTTGAGACTGATTAGAACAGACAATGCTTGAATTATTACCCGGAGTCCACACGTTATCCTCAGCAGGATAGCCCTCAGAAATCTTGCAAATAATGTTCCCAGTGCGCTCCCTGATCCTGCAAGTTCTGTCTTTGAATTACCTGACTAACAGCCCTGAACGCAAACGACGTGTGCCGTTTGTGCAGATGCAAGAGAGACTTGGCACCTGGTACTTGTACACCCCTGTATTTTTGAGTTAACGAAAGATGAAATCGGCCAATCAGAAGAGGATTATGGGTTGGCTGAAGGGGGAAGTTTGACGACGAGGCAGGGTCGCTTGGTTTTCTTTGTTCGATAGACATTACATAGGCACATGGTGGATGGCAACTGGTGTGGATCGCGTCTACAGTACGAGACCAAGGAGCGCTCGAGCTAGATGCTTGATTTCTGGGTTTATAAAAAGGTCGTCGGGGTCCCTTCAAAGTGGACCCTTCTTCCCATGTTAAGCCAGTATCTTCGGACATCAGCATTCTCTCATACACTAAACATTCACAAACCAGCCCTTTTTGCCCAGCTATAACATTTTCCTTCTTACCTTCTGAATCGCATAAACTTCCTGCCGCACGTCTCGTGCCCAAATTAAAAAATATCCCGCGGAGTCGCAAATCGAATTCGCCAATCCTAGCTCTTCAATTTCATCGTGCAACATACAACAAGCTCGCTAGCTGCAGCTCATATCCATATACCATAGCCAAGGCATTTTAGCCTCAATTTCACAATGGAAAACGAAATACCACATGCACAGCGCACGAGGAAGAGAGCTCCACGATGTAAAGAACTTGATAATCCACTTATTCGAAAAGAGATTGAATTTCGCTACGGTATCGAGGGCCGGAAACTCGATGACGTAGTCGAAGAAATTAACAAAGCCTACGGCCTGAACGCAACGTAAGTCTAAACTATCTAGCACTGGGAACGAGACCAATCTGGCTCTAGTCGGTACCGGAAAGCAAAATCGAGTAACTGACTTTCGCTTAATGTAAAAATAGAATAATACAGTACCGAGGACGTCTGCAAAAATGGGGGTGCAGACAACGTTTAAATCATAAAGAATACCAAAGGGTCCATGAAATTGTTACAACTCGGAGCGCCATGGATAAAGAATCCAAGGTTTTCTTGAATAGCTCCGAACTCATAGTCCTACCTGAAAAGCGGCTCCAGCGGTGGGCAGCAAGGAACATTACATTTACAGACCAGATAATGTCAAAAGGTAAACCCACAAAAACTTTTGCTGGTTGGCGGACCTCTATACGTACTTGAGGCTAATACATACATTCACGATATATAGCGAAAAATCCCACGCCATGCCTATATAATCAGGCCTCACCTATGGCGCTAGATAGACACGAACCTTACGGGCTAGTTCGAACCCCATCGCCAAATTCCAAGAGCTGGTCTTTACCAATCATCAAAAAAACTGTCGCCATTTATTATCCCCACATACCTATAGGACAACTCTATGGCTATCTTCAGCAAATTTTGCCTAGGAATCTTTGGTATCCGGAAGATACAGGCTCTGCGCTTAGCGCGCAACAATCCCTCCCACACCTTCCGCTTCTGGGAAACATCATTTACCAGATATCGAATCGGTTGGTTTACAGGCATAGAGATTTATATCCACTCCTAGATCAAGTTGATAAACATGGTTTCAGACCGCAACTCCGGAAACTACTATCAATTAAATCGCCGTCAATTTTAGCAACATGCTCTGCCCTCCTTGATTCCCTTTATTTTCGGAGGGATGACGAGATGTTAAATAGTATTTTCTCCAACCATCCTCAACTCAGGAGAAGCCTATATCATTACTTAAAAAAGTTTATGTCAAAGATGAATGATGTTCCTCAGTTTGCAGGGGGCAGACTGTTGAAGGACATTTTGGACGGAATCTCGAATCTTGACCTCTGCCCCGAGTCGGCCAAGGAGGTATACACTCTTTTAGCCGCTTGCAAACGCAACTCAGACGACCTAGGGGTTTTCCAGCGATTATGGGACCCGAAGAAAATAGGATTGCAGGAGTTAGAACGTTATTGGAGCAGATATATAAGTGTCGAAGAGCAAATATTATATTCGAGAAACTTGAGTCAACTTAAATCCCTTCTGGAATGTGGATTTACATCCTTCATATTCAACATCTTGTTTCAAGCGATTGTACTAGGCGATCAGAACTCGATGCGAGTTTTGTGTGAGCAAGTTGGTATAAAATATCGGACAGATGTTTTCTATGATTCAGCAGATCAAAATAATGTTTGGGAAGTGCTGGATAAAGATGCTTTTTACGGCATTCTCTCGGAGTGCATGGCTGAGATCTCGGGTTCCGGTTGGGGAAGACGAACGGATCGAAAAATTAAAGGACCTGAGATTAGCCTGTACATCTGTGTACTGATGTATGCAGCGTGCATAGAGCCTCAGATCACAAAATACGTTGTTGAAATAATACAGTGGAAACATTCTGTTTCAGCGGTTGATGCGGCTCGGATGGCGATCAACGCACTACCAATTAAATCTGGATTCACACTGGCTTCCCCCTACAAATATTGGAATATTTTCCCAGCTAGTGCCTTAAAACACACGGCAACCAACAGACTGTCAGTCCTGGAGACCTTGCTTTGTTTTGGGTTTGATCCGAATGAAACTAGTTTTTGGCGAATCTCTTTATGGGAAGAAATCATAACGACTTGGCTACGACAGGAAACGATTCTACTATTCAAGCTTTTTCTTGATTCAGGAGCTGATGTCAATGTACAATTAGGGCCTCTTGAAATCTCTCAGCTAATAATCTCCGAATTATCCTTTCGCTTTGGAAGTATTGATTGCTTTGGCTCCCACGAAATGTACACACCTATTAAAATAGCTTTCGGGCTTGAAGCTAGTTCTATGTTTTGCTTGTTACTAGAAAGACATACCCCTCTTCACCAATCATACGATTGGCTCACCTCAGGGGATTACGGTGGCGTCCACCCAGAGTTCATCCGGGCAGTCCAAGAACGAGACCACGCTGCTATCGAAGATCTTTGGGATCAACGAACCCTCAAATTAGCCATTGTTAAGGCGATAAAAAACCGCAATTTTGATGCCGCAAGGAATATTATATTCACATATCCTCGCGAGTTCCGGCTAAGCTCTCTGTTTCGAGCTGTAGCAGACCTCTATGTTTTCGACTACGATTTAAGCTTCTGTATCAATCTTAGTGATTTCGTCAGCTCGCTTTTTGAGGAGAGCTTGAAATTCATTTTCGGACCCGGTACCCAGGCATCGGACGGACATGATGCTGCTTCAAAATCGAATATGCCGGATGATAATTGGATGCGAGGCTATTCAGCACTATTACAGCACGCTATCTCTCGCGTGGGGGTGAAGGCTCTAGAGCTCTTCCTTAGCCACTACCCTGTAGTTGCAAAACTTAGCAACACAACTTTATACAGCAACAGCCCTTACCGACTACATGAACACAAAATCTTTTTGGTTCACCATGCAGCGGAATACAGTCTGGACTGTTTGAAATATCTCATATCGCAGGGGGCTTGTATCGATGAAGCCGAAATCCGGCATGGTGCTAGCTATTCTACAGCCTTTCATAGCGCAATCACAAAAGGGTGTGTCGAAACTGTGGCCTACATCCTCAGCCAAGGAGCGAATGTCTATGCCCCTTGTGGGTCTGAATCATCTGCCATCAAATATGCAATAGCTAGACAACGCATAGATTCGTTGGCACTTATTTTAGAAGCTGTGCCAAACTCTTATCCCCTAGCTTTAGAGTTAGCAGAAAGGCGAGAATATAAAAACACATATATCGCAGAATATGTTCGTACTTGGAAACCAGCGAATCTCGGGACTGATATGGGAGGGGAAATTGTTGATTTCACCAGTGGGGGTCTAGTTTTGGGCGCAGCGATTGGTTATTAGTCGCTCGGAGGTTTTGTAGTTTACTGCTTTTCTTGTATACTTTTTTTAATAGTAATTGGTTGGTCTTGATCGAGAATACAAGTTTAAAACTATACTATAGGACGGATTTCTTATATCTCATTTAGAGCGTCATTCGGAACGATTAGTAGCAGATTGATAAAGCGTGCGAGGGTCATGGCAGAATCCACGATAGAAAAGTTGCAAATCAAAGTTCGTAATACTTTTGCGGTATCGATGGCATTTATACTTGAATGTGGTCTCGTTTATACTTGAATGTGAATACTTTAATTGTAACATAACTCTCAACTTAGTCTGCAAAAGTACTATATTACAAAAAGGTATCCACAGTATAGCCACCTTGTCGACATGTCTCGTACCCAGCGCTACAGCCCCACTCAGAAAGATTATAGGGTAGATAGTCACCGAAAATATCTTCAATGATGAAGAATGCAACGGTAGTAGAGTACAAGTAATTTAAACTAGGATCGGAAGTTAATAGGCTTATGTTTAAAGGGCTAACTTAAGATCAAAAAACGGTTGTATTCGTAGGGATTCCTATCTTTGAACCATTTCAATTGATCAATCAGAGCCGGTTTTAGAATTAGAACGTCGCAGTCTCACTTCTACCCAGAAGCACGAAAGGTTCGTAAATGGCTCGAAATTTTGCACCTTGTAGCTAGATTTCGAATGAAAGAGATGACTGTATTAATAATGATAATTTTCATCTTAAATTTAATGTAATATCAGTAAATAAGAATTCTTGAGAGCCTTAAGAATCGGATTCGAATGTGTATGGTTTGGCAAGTAAGGCGCGCATTAATTCTGAGTGGTGCTCTGAGAGAAATGCATAAAATTCGCAAGGTATCGATGAATCTGTGAAACGGGCTGGGCGCTTAGATGTATATATTGATGGTAAAGGATCTGGCATCCATGTACAAGACTACACGTCAGCCTCGCCGAAATTCCGGCACAGTTCGCGACTGCGGTCGCATTGGGAATTTATAAAGCCTCGGAAAATCATCAACCATAACGCCATTCCGTGTTTCTTTGTTCGACCTAAAAGCTTCCCCACCACTCACCTTGCAGCAGAGCTTCACCTCACCAACTTGCAACAGTTAGAGAACCATATATATATATCGTCTAGTTCCCCACTCCCAAACAACCAACTTGCGGAAAGAAAGCTATGGAGTACATGAAACATCAATTCCAGTCTGCAGCGAGGTAAGCTAAGTCTTTTTGCTTCGAGAATAGTCGAAAGTGTTGTTTGAGTTTTGATTGACGTTTTACGATATCAACTAGGATGGTTACACCAGTGGCGTCTTATTTCCCCGACGGTATCCGCGGTACTGCAGAAGTTGCTGCATATACTGTGGCCCCAGTAGTCGGATATTTTGTAGTCCCGTTCGCCTTAGGCGCAGTTGGCTTTAGTGCTATCGGCCCTGTCGCTGGTAAGTTCCCCCTGCCCTTTTCACACCATTTTTGAATATCTGAATGCTTAGGCTTGAAATGCATATGCGAATATATGCTGATACTTGAGTTTACGACCATAGGTAGCTACGCTGCTGCTTGGCAATCATCTATTGGGGTCGTCCAGGCAGGTTCGACATTTGCAGCTCTCCAAAGTGCTGCGATGACGGGGGGTGTATCTGTCGCTGGCGGGGCCATAGGGGCAGTCGCACCTATTGCGAAAGCTGGGCAAACCCTCTGGTCATGGGGCAGGAATGCTACACGTTATAGCTAAGGGTTTTAGATGGAATTGGGAATTCTAGGGATAGTATACAACAGAGATCTACGGCGTTTGGAAAGTCGTTTATCATCATCGATTCTAGCTGTTAACAGGCTGACGCAGCAGTATATTCCTTGATTCGTATTTATGTACAAGGTCTTTTCATATATATAAAAATTCAACGGATAAATTCAATTCGAGGTTAACCGGAAGCTCCTGCAGTACAAGTAACTCCCAATGATGATGGCGTGTTAGCACAATAAACCGTATTCGCTCCACTAGGTGTGGTGACTCCCCAGTTCACAATTTGAATATCACATGTCCCCGCAGGGCTGCAGTTAATATTCGCAGTTGGCACATATTTTCCGTTCGTTTTCCCCGTAAAGTTCTTAACCTTGATCTGGCTAAGTGAGACGATTCCAGGGTTAGATGCACAGTATGTGGCATCCTCGTTATAACAGCTTTGAACTTGGAATCCGTATTCACATCCAGTAACCGTGATACCGTCCCAAGTAACATTTGTGACGGCGGAGCTACCGTATCCGCCTGGGTATGTCTTTATACCTGCAGCCTTGGTAGATCCGATCATGGTACAGTTCTTGAATAGAACGTGTTTAACCTCCTCTAGACCTGACTTTCCGAGGGAGCCGATGGATAGGCCGTGGGAACCATTGCAAACCACATTTTCGGCGTGGAAGTATTCAACGCCACCCTTGGGGACAACGCAGTCGTCGGTATTGGTGACTTCGACGTTCTTGACGACGGTGTAGCTGGTACGAACGACGGCGAACCCATCGGTGTTCTTTGGGAGATTTGTGGATTTGGAGATAGCGCTCAGTTTGAGGTTGTGGAAGTTGATATTTGTAGTATCTTTGACGGAATTGAAGACGCTTGGCGGGTTTTTATACCAAAATCCATAAACCTCAACGTTCTTACTATTGGTGATTTCCATCATACTCGGTCGAGAAAATGTCTTATCCGTTGCAAATCTATCATAAGAGTTTTGTCCATTTCCATCGATAACACCCTTCCCGGTCAAAGATCGGATTTTAATCCCAGTAATCTTGCTGACTTGTAAGAAAGCACGCTTGCCGTTCCAGATATTGGTATCACCATTAGCTTTCAGAGTACCCTCGATTTGAAAATCGCAGTTGGCGCATCCGGTGAAGTTGACGGAATCCTTTAGGTAGTATGTGACGCCCTCGGGGATAACAATCGTTCCTCCATTACCGCAGGTTGTAAATGCGGATGTAATCGCTGGGGAGTCGTTACCAGAACTCGCACCTGAAGCTGGAGTGCAAACGGCTCGACGGGCGACTCTATCTGGAACGATATCAATTGGTGAAGGGGCGGCGGACGTTAAAGCACAAAGTGCAAGGCCGATTAATAGCTTCATTGTAACTATTCGTGAAGAGAAATATAAGAGGTATTGTCGTCGTTATACGTTAACATAGCAAACTGTGAGACTGGATCTGAACCTCCTTGGGACTTCGTTTATGAGTTATATACATCTTGATAGTCCCGAAGGTGAAATATTTCTCCATGATCCATGGAATGACCCTGATATCCGCCCGCTTCCAATGTAGAATTGGAGCCGACGTTGAACCAGAGTTTCAGTTGTCGAGACATGGGAAGGCGGGCCTTGGTTCCCAAGTGGGTACTAAACGGGTAATATGGCGTAAACGTTCGAATATGGGGTTCAATGACCTCAAAGAAAAACGTAAATGTTATCCAGAATAGTAGACGTTCTTGGAACGAAAAACTCCAATCTGTCATAGACAAAACGAAAAATTTAATACGTCTTTGATTGGAGGAACTTTCAACTCCAGAATACTCACCGGATCTAACAAAATCTGGACCTGGAAAAACATTAAAACTTGATCCGTGGACAATAAACCCCATATCGCGTTGGAGAAAGTTGGAATATGGGGCACCCGCATTTTATCCCCGTCGAATCCCAGCCGTTTCGGCTAAATCGATCGCAGCGAGAGACCAGCTAAATCGAAGGTTTCTTGTGCAAAAAGCTTGATGAGTTCCAAACCGGCTAAATTGAGGAATCGATGAAAGATCATTCAAACCATGGTAAGAATTTTCAACCGAAGGAAGAGCTTTCCTGGGTCAGATAATAACTAGCCCTCGTCCGAATTTTCTGGACGATGCCCGGAAAGTTATGCCTAAAGTCTGTTCTCTTGATACCGATTTTGTAGACCCCGCATTGTCGACTGATTTCGCAGCCGGGTCGTTAATTTCAAGGTTGGTAGACGATCGTATGATCAAATGCATGAACAAACGAATAGATTCAGTTCCTCCAACATATCTGTTCTTACATAGGAAAATATTTTATCCGCCGATTAAGACGATAAGGGATGGTTTTTATCGGAGTTGACCAGGTTTTCTCTTAGGCCTAGGGTCTCCTGTGTTCCAGGGTCGTTGCGAAATGTGACATCGCATGCGCATGCGCTGGGCTGCCGACGCTGTATAAGCACCGCGGGTTGAATTTGCAAACTGGTGGTCTAGTTCCTCGACGTTACCGAGCACACCAAAGCGAAATGTGAACTCGCACCCATCTTGCCTCCAGACCAGGCCAGGCCAGGCCATGGTACCGGCGTATTGGTCAAGTGCAATTTACTGCCTATGGACTTGAAATGCTTCAGCCCCGCGAAATCGGTCAGTTCTGAGGGAAAAAATTAGTCAGACCATGGTCCATAAAAGCAAGTAATTTAATTTCACAACTGCCAGCTATAGTGGCAGAAGAGCCAAGTTGCAAGTCGAATTGAAAGGTCCTCGCTGGTGAATCTCATTTAGGTCTAAAGCTTCCATCTGTTGTTACACAGACTTTGACTCTGCACATCTGTCCAGCTGTTGATCAGCGAAATTTTGGCTTAGCTAGCCTAGTCAGGCCGGAAAGGAATGAGAAAAAACTTTGCACATCGAGCTCCACCAGACTAGCAAAAACTATCTTCGAACACATAAAAACCACAACCTTTGATGATAACCAGGATCATGATTTTAATCAATATGAATCAATATCGCGATTGCACCATGCGCACGCGTACCCATCATATGTGCCATGTGAGCAGGCTGGCGAGTTAGTCCCAAAAAAAAACAATGTGCATCTGCTAAAAACGCAGGCCAACGCAGGCCAACGCAAGCTGGGAACGAGACCAACGCAAGCTAATTTTACTAAGCTAAGTGAGAGAAAAAAAGAATCAGCGCGAGATTGTGTTAACTTGATAAAGGGTCATGGATCAACCTTCTTGAGGGAAGTACTAAGACACAAATTCCTGAATCGGTTGACTGCGGTTCCGTGTAGGCGCTGTGTTAAAAGGACCAGTGTTCTATGGAGAGGTAATACACCCCGAGCTAATCTTTGCTGCGACGTCGACCTTGATGTTTCAGGGGATCCCATTTGAGAAACGGCTTGCGGCTGTTCCGAATCGTACTAGCTAACTAGATATCTTCATATGGCCAACAGAAAATGTGGGCAGGTGGACAGCCTCTTACGAAAGGATGATGATGAAGACTGGGTTTGCACAGGATTCATTCCACTACCGAAAGCCACATTGTCATTGGCTCATTTCGTTCTTCGTTCCGACCTAGCGAGGCGCAGACAGTTTGTTGAACTTGGACTCTCGATTGTTCGAATCTGGATGAAATTTGCAGTCGGGTGCTGTCCCGGCCGGAACCTTCTCTGGGACTAAGACGAAATAAAGCATAGCATGGTAGCAGAATCCTGCAGAATTAGATGGCTTGTGGCCCAAACGACCACTAGACTGTCAACGAAAACCTCTATGGCGTAGCCTGTCGTTCTTGATGTCTCGGACTTCTCTCAACTAAGGTGAGGCTTGAACGGGACAAACGGTGCGCTGGATCACGGAGAAAACTGTCTTTGATTTTTACCCACCTCCCGAAGAGGCAATTTCGATATCATACTATGCTTAATTTTGCTCGTAGGATAGACATTTGACTTCACCCATCGATATCTCGTGGCTGTATGATGATATCAGGAACTATCCTAACTAAATCGGGTTGTCTTCAACCCCGCGATGGAAAGAATCCTTATCGTAAATGAAGGCTTTTAGACGAAGCCTCTTGTTAGTTCCGAGACATACAGTCCAAGAATCCTCCATCTAGAACCTAGATTGAATACTAAGTAGATATAAAGAACTTCGAGGGGCTCCTGAAAGATGATGTTCTCACCGGCTGTTTCACATCCTGTGTTCTAATTGGACAATTCCAGTCTTCGCTATGACCTGAGTGCACATAGTATGCCATATGTCCGGCAGGAAGCGACCCTCTCAACTGTTCCCCAGGGCTCTCCCACTGGGAAAGTCCCTGCAAGTAGGCAGAATTATAATGTCCTGATTGGCTTCTTCCATTTTTCGTTAACTGATCCGGTCTAGCCTCCCTCCCGGTGGGTGATTTTCTTTTTTAGCGACAGTTCGACCCGCAGCGCAGTGATATTATCTTCAAATCTCCAGGCTTTAGCCTTCAGATCGATGTTTGGGCACAATATTTACTGTTAGGATAGCGGGTATAAGTAAACCCTCCGGGACGAGGTCTTTGATATTTTTCAGAAGCATTCATTCCCTAGCTCCCTCACACAGTAGTTCACTACAATTCTGATTATATATTCTCCTTGTCGGCCATCTGAATTTGGCTTGACCTTCTCAGTAGCGATAGTCTTCTCTCTAAAGCTGTCCTCTGAAGATTTCCATACACCTATCGGTCCTTCCTCTTCGAAGCTTCCTCTGTCACAATCCTCTTTTCATCCTACCAATCCAGTTTAGATATTCTTCAAAAAAAGGATCATATCTATTACTGTTACGACGCTATCGTCCTAAAGGTCTTCTCGTTACAAAGCTTAGGCTAGTTTCGTTAACAAACAACGACATATTATAACGTTATAATCATTCACCATGCCTCAAAACAGCTCCAGTGCCCCTGCTCAGGTAATCCAGGCCTAATCCACACGTCAAGTTTGTCGCAAACCTAACTAACTGTTTCCTGTCAGGTCCCCCACAGCGAACGACCAAATGTTAACGTTACTGAAGACCTCGATTATAGCAAACGCACCTACGTCTCCTCCCCAAACAGCACTGATCACTGGACCCCCTTTGGTGCTGGTGCCTCACAACGCCGAAACAATAACGACGTACTCGCTCGCGTAGACGAGCTTGGACTCTCTAAGGGTGCTCCGGGCAAGATCTAAAATATACTCATATATGTGCGCTGGCTTGTCCATAAGTCGCTATTATATTGAGGTATGCCTTTCTCTCGAGGGCATACAGCGCACTTTACTTTCGCATTCATTCTCCTGGTCTGTCAGTGCATCCTGAGCTCAAAAAAAACACCCCAGAAAAAAAAACCTGGCTTGTTCTCGCATGCGTTGCGAAGCACAGGTTGCGTACAGTCCGGGGCGGGAATGGCTCGGTGTCTCCTTGTCGGTTATTGTTGGGCGGTCGTCACTTTCCATTTCATATCATCATCTTTAGGGTCTTAATGCTTCATATTGCTCGGAATCGGAGGAGTACAAAATTATTGGTCATATTTTCAGAGATTCCCCACCGCTGCTACTGGTCTATTTATTTTTTTTCTTTTCATTTTCTTTGTACCTTTCATTTCATTTTTTTTTTTTATCCTATAAAATTATTAGACCCTATCTTACGGGGCACCAAAAACACAGGTGGTGATCTACCTACGAAACCTTTCATTCTCGTTTTGTTTTTCATTTTTGTTTATCATCATGTCGGTATCAGTCAACCGTGGTTTCACGGTATTGGAGTTATTTCTTGCTCCGCAGTCTTAATCCTATTTTAATAGTTTTCCTTAATAAATTCTTTCACATCGCTCTTTTCATTTAGAATCGATTAAACCACTATAATGTAGAAATCTCCTACATCTGATACATGTGTAAGGGTGTATTCTGATCCAATCGTTCTTGAACGAAGCCAGGGCGGCCTTAGTACAGAAAAGCAACCGAATTTTACTGCTTGATTAGGCGGCGACATGGGTATCCTAAAAAAAATTGGACACTGCGTTAAGCCCCCACGCAGGCATGTTACAAAGCTGCAAAGTGCATTGGCTCTCACGACAATTGATGGAGTCGAGGTCAATAGAATGGCGACACTAGTCGTAATTTTTTTAGGAAGCTACTAGCTACAGACACTTACATACAGAAATGTCATCTTTGTCCTTTTGGAGTTCGATCGAGGCCCCAAAGGAAAATAGATACTTAATATAATCCTAACTAAGGCTACACTGAAGTTGCGTTGCCGAAACCCTTTGCAAGGTCAGGTAGAGTCGACACTGGCGGTTGTGGGGTGCCGACAAGAAGCACGACGAACTAGTGCCCGACCGCAAGTTCGTTCATTCCTGAGGAGACCAGATTTTAGGTATAACTTGACGTGGGCAGGTTTGGAAGATGGGGTTTTTCCCAAAGCAGTTGCAGGTGTCGCCTGCAGTCGGGTTTAATTGCTGCCGCGTATGCAGACATGCTGCACACAATTTTTATTATTAGGATTTTTTAGGGGATGTCGTCAAACCTCCCCTGTGCATTCCTTAGGTACTTGCCTGAGTTTTATTGTCAGGATTGAAAAAATTCGAAAAGGCCGTTCAACAGCTGGCGACCCGATTGTTTACCCAAAGATGATTTCAAACTCACCTACCAGCCACTCATCGTATTGGAACCGGAGCTCTAGTGCTCCCTTACTGATTAGGCAGCTTTGCAAACTAGTTCGGTGAAAGGGGGAGGTTTCTGGGCGGTAAGATTAGGATGGAACGTGGGGAAGAAGTTCCGGTGATCGAATTTGGTTTCGATTTGCGAGGCTCAAGGCTTGTGCCTACGGTTTTACATCACGACGATCGGTTACACAGCTCTTGTATCACAATGTTGACGTTGTCTGGAGGCTCTCTCCTTACCCAGGTAGCCCAGGTATGCTAAATTGTTGACTCCCCTACGCCAAGTCGATTGCAAGGTAGTCCATGCATACTAAGCTGTCGCCGTCAGCTATGAGAACAATATTATCTCAAGTTTTCATAAAGAAGAACTATATTCGATTAATATGAATCTAAAGTTTGTGCTTGTAAATTTACCAAAATGAAATAAAAAAACGTATAAACAAACGCCATAACGCTCTCGCTAGAAAATGCGGCAAGTGCAAAAACAATTAAACACCGAATGTATGCTAATTAACATCGACAAGATGAATAATGAGTAAAAACCATCGAGAATCTGGAACAATTCCTCGTAGTGAGACGTCCATTGGGTAAACGCCGATCATACAACTCCATTAGATGCCGCGCGTACGCACCCGCTTGCTTTAAACAAATAACATCAAGCTATGGGTCCCCCTCGAATCGATGTGTATCTGTAATATATTATAATGAAAGAAAGAAACGCTGAATTTTTTGATTCATTCATCGTCATCATCGTCATCATCGTCATCAAAGTCGAAATCTTCATCCATCTCGAACGGCGCAAGCATTCTGCTTTCGTCGACAATGTCGTCGTCATCGATGACCTCCAAATCATCGAAATCCAATTCGAGTTCGAGTTCCTCTAGTCCCGTGGTGCCACATAAAACCTTCTTCTTTTCTTCCTCGATGCATTTTTCCAATCGATCTAGCTTTTCACCAACCACTCCCTCTGCGCAGAGATAGCCGAGTCTATAGTTGACATCCTCAAGAATAACCCTTTCTGTCACTGTCAACATGTCGACTGAGAATGCGCCGTCGAAGACTTGTGTTGCAAAGTGAATGTTGTGTGGCGGTCTGTCGTTCAAGAACTTGGTTGCTATTAAAAGGGTAGTAGCAATTGTCAATTCTCCAAAGCTACCGTCGTGAACTGCTGCCATGAAGGATGAAGCTCGGCGGATCCTGGGGATTGTTGGGTGTTGTAGAAGAGTATGACAGAACTTCGAAGAAAGGGCGTCGAGAATACAACCAGCCATGGAAATGGTGTAAGGAGTAAAGAGGTGCTGACCCCTGTAGAGAATTTGGGGGATGATGGTCGAAGACCTCGGCGCCTTACATGAAGGCGGCAGCAAAGTGATTAGGAAATTGGCAGAGGCCGTAATATTTGGTGTTTGCCAGCTGGTTGTTTGTGCTGTCTTCTTCGTAGTGACCTTTCTATCACTTTCCAGACCCCAAGAATCCGCCTCAATTGAATCTGGCGGGGTGGGGAATGCAGAAAGGGGCTTAAGGAGAGACGACCAGTTTGCCGCATGGGTGGATGGGGAAGGAGATAGCGACTCGGGAGAGTCTGGTAGGCAAGTTACTGTCATTTTCGCAGACATTGTGGGATGTTGAGTAAACGAAGTAGTGAAGTTGAAACCGATCACCGTACGATATACTGGCGAGAGCAGGTCGGGTGGGGCTGTCGAGGGGATGCCAGTGTTCTCATGGGTTGTTGACTAGGAAATATATATAACCTTGAACCGGAGATCATATATACAAGCCAAGTTTGGAGTTATGGAACTTGAAAAAATATGTAGATCTAAGAAGGGATGAAGAAGTGTGGGATTATATATTCAGAGCAAGTAGCAATCGAATAACCGAGCCCACTCGACCGAGAAAGCAATCCAACAAAACTACGACGATATGGTAGAAACGAAACTTTAGAGTTCTAGAACTTGAACGCAAAAGCGATTCAAGCGAACAACGGAAACTTCCCTCGAACGGATCTTTTAACCAAACGAGTGAATTTAAAAACTTCTTCGACCGAATTAAGCTATGTTGAGCCCTTCTTTTGTCAAAAAGTTTTTTTTAGGAGAATAGGGAAAAGAAAAATTCAACACTAGCTTTCAGTCCAGTTGTCAACCACGAGATTCTAGCCACGAGATTTGTTTGGTGTTCCTAAGAGCAATCCAACGATGCTAATTCTCTTCGGGTGTAGGGCTTGTCGGTAGTTTTTTGAACTCCTGAAAGAATATTGATCGGGTAAAAAGGGCTAACCAGGTGCGGTCTGATAGTATAAACGGTCCAACAATCGGTCAACCAGCGTCTGATCCTAAGGCTCCGGACGTTGGTCAGGTTCTAGAAGATCAAGGGGGTACGCTGAAAAGCTCTCGATCTTGTGTTCTTATGATCTATGACCTAAACTGGCACCAATCTTTCCCTAAATGCCTTTGCTGTTGGAAAAAGTCGAGATGATTCGGTGTATAAAACCCCCTCAAAGTGGTAAAAGCTCGGACGGTGAATCTTTATATAAGCTGGCAAGATTGGACAACTCTGTCGATGGTTATCCGCTTCCGTGAAGTTGGGTTTACAGAGAATTTGATGTTTTCGGAATCCGGAAGGGGCTCCTCTCTTGTTTAAAACCAAACACCGCAGATATGGAAGGTATGGAGGCTGATGTTGTCGTTGCTATGTGTTGGTGTTGTTTTTGTGGCTTTTTATTTGTCGGTCCAGGTTTCAGTGGCGTGACAGATTTGGGAAAATATGCTTCAGGGTGATGATGCCGGGAAGGGTGGAAAGAAAGAAAAAAAACAGAAGAGAAAAAAGTGTCGATATATATTATTAAAAAAATCGATTAGGTCCAAAAGGGCATTACAATTATTTAGTTAGGCATGAAAAGGGACGGAGGCAGGGCTGTTAAAAAGAAACTGCCTTGTCTTTCACATCGATCGAGGGTCAGGGCTGAGCGAGATTCTTCAGGAAGGAAGGAAAGGCCTGGTTAATATCTGAGGTGTGGGAGGATCGTGGGGAGTGTTAAATATAAATTAGGAGGCGAACGCCGGAGCACTAAGTGCCTTGTTATGTTTACAACCTGCGTGATTATTATCATGAGAATCACATTCAGGAGAGAGCATACGAAAAGAGAGAGTGCCCTAAGAAAGGAGAAGTTAGATTATTGTCCCCCTTGTCCTAGTCGCTGTCACCATGTAAGATGTTACTGTACTGCCATGGCCAGCCTTATCTTTCTTCCTTAAAGCACAATAATAACATAACAAAATAGTAACAATTAATAAGTTATTACCGGGAGGAAATAAGAGCAGCTTATTTTCGGATACTAATAATTCCATGTCACCGATTCACCGTGGCTAAAGAAACCCTTTGCGCTAATATTGTGCTTCAAACTATTCCCTAAGACGACTGGGTTGGGTTTCTTTTGCGCTGTCATTTCTCTTGCATCTCGCATGCAGGAGAGAGGCATCCTGCATTGTTGTACCGCATGAGCAGGGAACCTCATTGGGATGGGTACTTTAGTCTACGGACATACGTGTGCAATCCCTCCCCTAAAAATGTCGTGATCACCGTTAAACGGTCGTCGAACATGTACATATCTGCAAGGGGCGGAAGTGGCGATGAGTTCCTTTTGACGTTTTCGAATCTTCTTTTCGGATCGTATATCGTAAATGCGGTAAAGACGTAATTTCAAGAAGGGTTCACGGCACGACATTTCTCGGTCGGTACCATGAATTCATATGAATCCCACCCCCAAAGCCCCAAACAATTAACAGTAACGTAAAGAATTGAAAATTTTCGAAAGAGAAGGCAGTGGGCCCAGACCATTTACCACGTCAACCCTGCAAGTGACTTCCTGCGAGGAAAATCTGAAGTCCACAAGATGGAAACAAAATCCATGTTGGAACGGCAGAGATCTCAGGGCGAGTGGGTCCTTCTTTGATCAACTGGGGCTGTGAGGCACAGGATGGAAGCTTGGCTATTTGTTCGGATCGTGATTGGGGGCCGCAAAAAAATCGTGCTAAATGTGACGACGGACGCACCGCATATGCTATTGATAGCGGTAAGTCTCATCCGAAAAAGACGGTTCTGATGTCAAGAAGGCAACTGCACCGATCACCTCTCGTCGGTTTGTCTTCTACAGGCGGCCTGCAGGTCTGCTGTCCAGCTTCCAAAACTCTAGGATTCGGCATCGACGTCACGGCTACATGACCAGCTGGGGAGGCCGACAACGGCCGTGGAACCGGAGGAATTGCAAGCATGTTGAACCGAGTACCACCCAAAACACTCCACAAAAGGACAACTTTCTCCCTTCTTTTTTTGTTTTGAGAAAAAAAACTCCAAGGCTTTCACGTCAGTTGATGTTCGAGAAGTTAACAGAGCTTCCTAAGAACTCTCTCGAGCTCAAGCGCTCCTGCCAATTTGACGCTCGTTTGAAGAAATTTTCGAGGCCGTTACCACTCTACCACCGAGACTTGTCGTAGGCTATTTTCAGCAAGCGAGAACGGCAAATACGGCAGCCATCGAATGCTTGTGTGCTTTTGCCTCTCTTTTGCCCATGTGATAGTGAAATGGACATTACGAAATAAAAACGCACCAACACAAAAATGCCATCTTCGACTAGACCCTTGGCTTGCAGCTTGTGGGCCGCTCGATGGATCACAAGATGCTAGATGACGGTTTAGCTGCTCGACATTGACTAGTATCTATCGTCACGCAGGTCGGCGATATCCATACTATAGACCTAATTTGTCAAAAATGTCCATCAAAGGTCAATGTGCAATTCTGTGCAGCATGCTAGCAATTAATTAGGTATTCGGTCCCTCGTCTTGGCTTTGGATTTATCATATGAACTCGAAAAGGCTCGAAGCCGTGCGGCTGATGTTTATAATTTGACGGCTTAAAAAAGGGAATTAGCCGGATCAAAGGATTTCTTTGTTAGCTTAGCTTCTTCGATTTAGCTGATCGACTGTCGCAAATTGAGTATTATATTATCATACTAGCCCTGAAAGTCTCAATTGTTCAAACGTACTAACTATCGGAGTGTTTTAGATGGTGGCGTTATATAGCAGCGCTTAACCTAGAGTTTAGTTTACCACCATTATTCCTTCTTCGATTGCTCAGCTTAGGAGTAAGCTACGTCAGCCCTACGAGGCACTCGTCAGTCCTGCCGAACAAATGGACTGCTGAGTTTGATCGTACGATTGAGACGTCGTTATAAAGGCCTAGCTAATATAATATAGTTGGTAGAGTGTGGGCTGTGTTCAGCCCTAGTCGCAATCGCGGGCACGATCGATTTTAGCTGATTTCTCACAGCTTGCGTATGCACCACAGTCCAATGGTGGGCAGAATGTTGTCTCGGCATAGAATTATTACAAATTAATCAAGATATTCCTTTCTAGGTGGATAATCCGGTATCAAAGCTTTTGTATTAATATTCTCTCTAAGGCTGCAGGCTGAATAGGAAAAGACTACGGATACGGTAGGCGAACTAATATCAATTAACTAATCAAAGGTGACATATACGTATGCGCTCGCTGAATAACTACTGCGGCTTGCTTCCAAGGGCGGCGTTCTTTCCAACTTTCTTCTTTTGTTTCCAGAGATCATACTGCTCCTGTCGCTGCTGCTTCTGCTTTTCGAAGATCGGTTTGAACATCGGAAGGATCGCCTCCGGGATGGGATACCCCCAAGTCATATATACGCCTCCTGTCCACTCTGGATACTGCCGCAAAGTACTTACATCCACTTCAAAGTTCGGATCTTTCGGGAGCGCCCAAAGAGGATCGATGCTCACTACCGATTTCCTCGCCAAAATATTTGCCTTAAGTGCAATATCCGCTAACATATCCATCATCAAGGCGAGTACGCTATGATAGACCGTAGTAACGAGGATTCCATAAGATACGAATATATTAGTGGGCGTGTTTACTCCCTCTTTATGACCCTGGAGTAACCCAAATACCCAGTAGCTTTGAGCCCATTTACTAGGATCTTCTTCTTGATCGTACGCATCAAATTCCTCCGAAAACTTTTCGTAATACGATTTGTATCCCTCCTCTTTGCGATTGTATTCGCGGGTTTGACGTGGTCTCATGTCTAGCTTTTTAGTAGGGGCGCCTGGGTCACCCACTTTCCATTCCTGCGCGTTGATAACTGCGGCGAGTTTCACTGTGAATAGGGCTAGACGGTCGTAAACTTGCTTTACCGTCGTCCAAAGCAAATCAAAGCGGCTATCGTTGATGGAGACTACCTGCTGTCCATCGTAGTCATCGGGCTTTGGTTGGAACAATTTTGAAACCGCAACTTTTAGGGCAAAGGCATCGGGAGTATATGGATTAGGCGTCCCATTAGACAAGGTTGAACTCCATGGATCAGGTGGGAACGAAGAATCAAAGATCCCAGCCCTATCCATCAACCCAGAAGGTGCTCTGGGTGTTCGATGTTTTGCTTGATAGAAATGCCCTGGCTTATTCGAATCCGGTTTTTCCCATGTAAACTCCGTCATTAACGGTGAAATAATATCAAAGTATTCATCTCGAAAGTCTAACCAAGTTTCATTCTTCGTGTTTTGGTAAATCCCAGCAGCCATTGCTTCCACATCCCTTGAGAAATATCGAAGTAGCTGCGACGTTCGTAAGAGATACCACATGGGGTTTTCAGGCATGTCGGTAGTAAGGTCGGTTACGAAGTTATCCCATGCGGGTTTTCGGACGATAATATCGTCGCTCGGGGCCGCCCATTCGTTTTCTTCGGGGACTTCCAGAGTGCTAGCCTTGTCTCTGTAGCGTTCTTTGAATGCTTGAATGCCATTTCGAGCTCGTTCATCGAAGCTTAGCTTGTCTTCTGAAGAATTCGATGTGTCTCCAAGTCCTTGGGCGTATGTACCAGTTAGGCATGTGAGCCCGACGAAGACTGCTGTGGGGTTTCTAATCGATAACTTCATCTTTAGGCCGTCTGCCTACCTCTAACTGATTAGTCTGGACAGAATAAATGGGGTGTGACTTGAGTTTAACAGTCACGCTAGCAGACTTATTATGGAGGGGCCATGTGGGCTACATCGTGAACATGAACAAAACGTGGCTCTATACCCGTTGTATGAGGCATTATGAGAGAGTGACCTTACTGGAAGCGTTTTGTCCTATCGACAACGCACAGTAATGTTGCATTTTTCAACCACCATGTTTAGAACATGCCGACCAGGCTGAGATAGACCTCAATACTTCTCCTCGAGGAGTATTGAGATACTTTATGTTATAGAAACAAGGGCAAAAATCAAGGAGAAAAAAGATTATAGGTGCTGGAGTGGGACACGTGGGATAGTGCTATTTCCACATGAGAGTTGGATGTTCCTCAACACTACTTTCTACTATAGTAATTTTACTAGACGCGATGTATGGTTGCGAGACTGGCAATGTTGATATTGTCTGGCTCCGTAACTAGATTACAGTATTGTCCCGGATCTTGCTCGCCATATTACTATTGCTAAAGCTTTCGCAAATCTAAAGCCATAGCGGTTAAATCCATAACAAAATGTTTATAAAATGCCTACTACCTTCATCGCTCCTCTACGCCCTCCTCAGCATAATCCTCCTCAACCTCGTCGCCGCTCAAATGATCACAGACCAAGAAACAAATCCGAACCCGAATACCCCAGTAGTGCCAGTAAATAATGCAAACACCGGTATAGTGGGTGACGACTTCAACAGCCTCCCTAGCGACCCAACAGACCCAACAGACCTCCCAGACGTCGAACCTGTCCCGCAAATCTCAAACCAGCAAGTCGATACAGACCAACAAGCCGCGATCAGCTTTGTAGCAGGAACATCTGGTGGTGTCCCAACTACGCAAGAAATTGCAGCCGAAGCAGTTCTGCAAAATCAAGATCTGGGGGTAGGAAACGAGCCAGTTAACAATGCAGCTGTGAATATCAATACCCAACAACAGGCGCCAGTTACAGAGCTAGTCCAACCTCTATCGCCCTTGAGCCCCAACGATGATAGGAATTTACCAAATATACGTCTGTCTAATGCGCCAACTACTGGCGCATACCCCACTGGGAACGCCCTGGTTCAGAGAATAATACCACCGATGCAGATAGTCGAAGAAATATACAGAACCTATGCACCAAAGCTTGAAGAAGCGAGGGCTAGAAGGTTTCCGGGAGGATATCCTGGTTTGGATGTAGTCCCTGAAGAACCGCCACAAGATATATGGGATCAAAGTGCTTACACTAGTATCATCATAAGACCAGAAACGTGGCAGATATTCTTTAATCAAACTACACAATTTGGATACGGAGGAACCGATCTGGTCGAATATGTCTGGTGGGCATGCAGTAATATCCAAAACTATAGGATATCATTGGAACGCTTAATAGTACCTTTGGGCAGCTATCTCAGAAGAAAGAATCCTGCGCTTAAAGACCGACTAGACGATAGCTGGAGGAAATTGGGTAGAATGATGAGATATGTCAGTAATAGAGACTCTGACCCCGGTGTTAAAGCGACGAATCCGGAGTGGGATCGTCTAGGACTTTGCGACTCTCGTGGAGGTTATTTGGGCGCGCCGACACCTCAGCAATGGAAGACTAGCAAGAAAGGGCGCGACGAGCTCAAAAACGCATTACTGAAGAAGCTCTTAGAGTATCAAGAATTGGCACCTCGCGAGATACTTCTAACGGACAGCCTATTCGTCGACGCTTTCTCCATGATAGTCGCCTCGCAAAGGGGTATGGTCACCTGGCTTACCGACGACTTTACCCCATTAATCCGAGAGATTAATGACTTTTGCTGCAAAAACCGCGATTTACTCGCTAACTCTAACATGCGACCAGCCGGTATCTGGGACCGTAAAACAATGGGCTACAAATCTTACTGGCATGAGAAGTATGGTAAAATATATCATTACGTCCCTCAGAATTTCCCATATTGGCCTGCATGGGATAGGGCCAAAATTGAGAAAAACCCTGAAATGCTAGAAACATTGATTTATGCTACGCATGCTACAGCTGCGGGTCTCACTCGTGGCGCCCTTTCATTCCTAACAGAACTTTTTGTTGACTTTTCTGCTAAAGTATGGAATTTGGGCCAATACGCGGGGCTCCCGGACCCTGATTTTGGCTATGCCAGCGCTAGCGGGTATAAAGGTAGCAATAAACTTGTTACCTTTACCCTTTCTCCGAAGTTTATGTTGGGTGCTGCGGAGAGAGGGAATTCGCATTTCTTGTATGGTCCGGTGTATCCATCCGAGTCTCCGGTTGGACTAGAAAATTGGGACGACGCAGCAGAAATTGAGAAAAATAGCTGGAGAGATAAAGAGTTGGCAAAGTTGAAGGAAGATAGGGATTTATTTGATAAAGAAAAGGCAGCAGAACCGGATACGGTGCCTTTGTCGGGGCTGTCGACTGGAGCTAGTACGCCACCTCAAAAGCCTGGGAATGCCCCTGGACAGAAATTAGGAAACAAGGGAACAAAATATAGAGCGGTTAAGAAGCCTTATAGATAGTTGGCAGAAGGCTTGTAGCATATCTAATTATTAAGTGTTCCTACTAACCTCCAAGGACCTCGTTGGTGTTTTATTTTGGAAGATAGCTGTTAGCATCATCTGTCTATAGGTCTATTCCAATAACCAACTATGATACAAAATATTTGAAACCCTCAAATAACTCTCGCTCGTGGACTTTGCAATTGCCTTCCTATATACATCACGACATATGCTCAGCCCCAGCAGTCCATTTCTCCCTTTCCGACCTCTCCCTTTCCATTCTCAACCTCTTCTTCCTCTCATAAACCGCTTTGATAACACTCTTCATCCTCTCCGCTCCTTCCTCAAAGTTTGCTCGAGCTAATCCAACAGTTTTATCAACTTCTTCCTCCGTATATTCAAAATTCCATGTGCTCATCCATGGACTAGTCTCCGGATCAACACCGGGGACCTTCTCATTAGGAATCAATGGAAAATATGCAATCGTAATTCCGGCTTCAGGTTTCGTGAGCTCCCAATCCTCTTCAACAGCTTTGCTCGATGGTGGTTCTTTATCCGTCTCTCTTTCCTCTTTAGTTCCCACCCAGACCGTAAGATATCCTAATCCCTTATGTTCCTTGCGCCTCTGTCGTTCTTCGGCATCGGTAGCTGGTGCTGGATCTTGTTCTTGCGCTTCCTTGAGTTTCTTTTCAGAATCTTCATGGGACTGGCTCTCCATCGCCTTCGATAGTTCAGCCTCAGCGTTTTCACCCCCCTCTCGCGGCCAACCGATACCAACTGGCCATCCGCGGATCCCACGTTGCTTAGCATAACCTTCTGTTAGAGAGATCCAATTTGAAATCTTGATATCGGCCGAGGAGTCAAAGGCGATGACGATATCCACATCTCGCCCTGGTCGGAGAAGTGGGTAAGTAGCCAGGTTATTAGACATTCCGGCATCCATTACTTGTCAACGCATGCACTCGTTAGTTTTAGAAGTATATATAACATTAATGCAATTTATTACTCACGTTGAATTTCTTCCGTCTTGTGGATACTCTCTGCTACGGAGTTTGGCAATCGATCCCTCATTCCAAGGACATAGTTTGGCACAGCAGCAGGTTCGATGGGATGGACCTTAACTAAATCATCGTTCCTATCCCGAACTAGTTTATCTAGCTCTTTAAACAGGATAAAACTAGCAAACATAGGACGGACTTCAGCGTAATAATGTGACAAAGTAGCGCAAAACGCTGAGCCCCACATTCCCAGAAGTGTTGGGATCTTCATCTCGGGATTTCGGGTGAGGTTGTATCCATTATGAAACTTGCGGCCTAGGGCGTAGGTTGGAATTCCGGCTGTAGAAGCGGAATGAGTTTTTGTCAGTCTCGTAACCAAGTTCTCATAACAAATTGAATTTAATTTGTGGAGGGATAGGGTATCTAGCTTCAAGACTAGGGTATAGGCTTACCGCCTAGTTCCTCCATGAAAAATTCGTAACACGTCATCTCGGCCCATTCAAACCAAGCCTCATCCTTTGCCTTCTGTTTCGCTTCCTCGGCTGATATACTCTTATCCGACGGTAATTCTGTAGGTTTCTCTCCATCACCCCCAAGACCTGGAATCTCATGACGGACAGCAGTGTATATAGATAGCGGCTGTTCGCCGTTATCTACATATCTACGTTGAGACGAGAGCTTCATATCTTCATCATGGACCATCACTTCATTCTTAGGGACCAAGAGCCGAGCTGCAAGTAGCAATCCGTAGACATCCACCAACCCGAATGAGGCGTAGCCAAAGCCTTTTTTCTCGATCAAACCGCGGAGTAAATATTTGTTCGTCGGCGCCGAAGAAATCAAATCCATGACTGCCGGAGGGTATGCGATATGGGTGTCAATACGGTGTTTTAGGTGTTCCACCACATTTCTGAAAGATCGATGTCCGATACTGTAGTATAGTGTTAGTAGCCAGCAGGAGCCGGATACACCAACCAGGTAGGTCGTACAGTCGAAGAGACCGGCGTCTTTGCAAGCACCCAAAGAACCTGCTCCGGCGACCATGGCTCTTAGGCCACCGCCTGAACCAGTAATGGCAATAGTCGGAATATCGTCTTCATGAATAGTCCATTCTGGTATTTCTAGATATTTTGCCAGAGCCTTTTTGACATGTTTCTTGCGATTCTGGCGATACGCAAGTTCTTCATCGCAGAGCTGATCGGAAACCCGAACACGGGCGTCCCAGAGTACTTCAGGATTTACCTCTGGATTACTAGCCTCTTCCCAAACTTCAGCAGCAAGGGTTCCTGGTTCCATATTTATCTCTCGTTGGATTTTATTCCACCAAGCGGGGATGTCAGACGCCCAATCGGGAAGCCAGTTTAAAGAAGCGGTGAAATCGACTGAAATATTACCAGATGATATCGGTATGTACTCAGCCAATTGGCCCCAAAGCGTCTTCCGCTCAGACTTTATCTGTTCTTGTCTCTGCTTTTCTTCAGCGTCGAGCGAACGCTGGAAGGTTCTTGCATGTCGGGCGAGTTCCTCTTCGCGTTGTTTTATGCGGTCTTCTAGAGCATGGGTTTCCTCAGCGGTCTTTGGTTGAAGTCTTTTGGCACCTGCAGCGAACCTATCGCGTAGGGGGACACGTCCATGTTCAGACTGAGACTCAGACCCCCCGTTATCAAGACGGAGAGTGCAGGTGTTGGTGTTGGAAAGTAGATATGTTGCGCCACCGAGTGTGGCGGAAAAGGAGGCTAGTGCTGGGAAGAGCCATTTCTTACCATTGGATGATGACGTTGTTAGTCGTGAAGTTGTGAATGAGAAAGTTCGGTGGGCAGATATGCGACATGATTTGTAGACCGGTGGAACCCTCAGATGCACCACCGGTATGGGCAGTCGCCTGCAGCATGTGGAGAGCATTGCAATTGCTGTTTTTCTTTAACTGCACGCGGGAAGGATTTGACAGTTATAATATGTCATAAGATCGGAGCCATTGGTTGTCTATATATGTATGTTGGATATGAATCGATATTAGCGTCGTCGCCGAATGATAGATCTCCCCAACGTGTATCGGAATGGTATGCATACCTCATTGTTCGTCCGACTCCTCGGGATATAAAAGTAAATACTAAATAAAGCTTTTCAGCTTGGAAAGAACGAAAAGAAATGGCAGTGGCGTCACTGTCGGAACCACGATCGATCCTGCGCCGAAACCGTGGTGGGTTTGCTCTCGATACCGCTGCCTTGGCCAGGCCCTTGCTCCTGCAGGCTTCCCTATCACGGCTAGACTGTCCCACCACCCAGTCCGGTCGACACCAAGGCACAGGAAAGTAAGGTCTGATAAGGTTGAAGAGAGAAGGCCAGCTATTGCTTCTTTCCCCGGAGCCGCTTGCCAAACCGTTGAAGCTTTGCCTTCAATTTGTCTCTGATCCGCTCGAAGTCCCACAATTGGTAGCGAGCCCTGGACTTAGCGCGGTGCGATTGAAACTGTAATTCGCCTGTGATATCTGCAGACTTTCTTCTCAATCCGTTGAATAAGCTGTGAATCCCCATCCTTGAATTGTTCAATTGTCCGTGAGGCTTGTCGGGGTCGCGAATGGGCCGCGACTGGTTGATTGTTGGTGGAGCTGGTCTAGAATCAAACGGAAGGGGGTTGGAGTTACCCGAACAAGAACATTACCTTCACTTCACCCCAGCTTATCCTTCTGCTTTACAACTCCATCAACTACAAACCACATTCTCTAACTACCGCCTACTAAGCTAACCATTCAACTTCCCATACCACCGAATCGTTTTACCATTTATCCGACCGAAGATACCTATATAGCTCCCTCAGTGGCGGCGAAGGAGGAAAAGAAAGAGAAGGAAGAGGAGGAGGGACCATAGAACAGTACCGACCATGGCGGTCCTCCCCGAGGAAGAGGCCGCGGAGGTCGAGGTCCTTAACGAGCGCCTCAAGAAGATGACTGGAATTACCGACAAGATCTCCCGAAGTTTGACGAAACTATCCGGCAGTGCTCAGCAGGTCGAGATGTCCGTTCAACCAATTCTGAAGCAGACGGGTTCGCTGACAGCGTTGGCCGGGAGTACGTTCTTAACTCTTCCATATACTGCTAATCGGAAAAGATGCATACTAAAACGTCTATATGACTTTCATAGATATAAACTCTGGCATTCGGGAAATCGATAAGACTATGAAACTGCTGGACCTGGTTAAGCGGGAGGAGAATACGATCAGAAAGGGACCACAGGTGGTTGGGCTGCCCGACTACTTGGACTCCGTCAAATGTCTCAGCGAAGGTCTCGCCGCTCTTCAATCTACGGGCCTCAAATCAGCTGAAAAAGCTGTGAAGGAGATGGTAAAGCCATGCTACATATTCACAAGAAGCTAGGGGTACAAATCGACTAACGGTGGTGAATAGACCCTCCTTTTGAAGACCGGCTCCGTCCAGCTCGAAGATCAATTCAAAAAGACACTTGCCCAAGACTCTACACCCTGCGAACCCCTCCACTTCATCACCAAAAGTAATACCCCTCCCCCGTTTTGCACTCCCAGAACCCTCTACTAACCAACTTCAACATTCAAGAACTCCCATTCCCAGTCTTCACCCCCGAAAAACTAAAAACGATCGCCGTAATAAACGAATTCCTCTCCTCAACAATCGGCACAACCGCAACCTCCCAATCCCAACAAGCCCAATCTAGCGCCATAAACATCTACGCCGACGTTCGAGGCACCTACATCTCCTCATCCCTCTCCTCTCTCTCCCAAGGTTGCGTAAACACTGCTACTCGTAGGAACACCGCAGTCCCATACGAAAAAGGTGACAACGGTATCTCCCACTACGCACAAGCATTAGAAGGCATCTTCTCAGCAGAATACGATAACATCCAACGTCTTTTCAAATCGAACGTATGGCTAAAAGTCTACACCCAAACGACTCAACAAGCTTTAACTGTGTTTTCGAATACTGTTCGTCAACTTAATAAGCACATCGTAAGCTTTATGATCACAGACTGTTACCTAGCTTTCGACGTTATCGAATGTGTGACTGCAACAGCCACAAGACTCGGTACCAAAACCGGTGAAAAGAATGAATTCGTAGAAGCCTTGAAACCAATCCGACAAACCGCTTCAGCAAGCTTCTATGAAATACTAGAAGATCTGAAAAGGAAAGGAAACTCAATGGCATCGGTTCCATTAGACGCCACAGTCTCGGATTATACACAAGCGAATATGGCCCGTCTCCGCCGTCTAACCGACTACCAAACTGCCGTAGCAGGGCTTCTTATATCCCTTGGTGATAAAAACTGGAATTCACCCTATTCCCCGACATTAGCAGCAAACCAGCAATCATTCGACGTCGGCGCCGATGGTAACGTGCTTTTGGCGAATTATTGCATGGAGTGTATCGACAGAATGCTGGAAATCATAGAAGCGAAAGGGAAAATGTACATCAAGAAACAACAGCAGTGTGCTGTATTCATGGTGAACAATGTTGCCTATGTCGAAACTTCAATAAAAAGAGGTGGGCTGGTAGGAGTCCTGAGTCTAGGAGGCGGTATCGCGAAGGTTGAGAAGTGGAGGAAGAAGGCGGTTGAGGAGTACATGGTTCCGTATGTAAACCCTTTACTTGCCCAAAACCCCCACCTGTGAGGCACAATTACTAATTCAACCTTGAAACAAACAGATGGAAAGAAGCCGCCGGCTACCTACTCGATATGACGTACACTTCCAAAGCTGCGATCACCGTCGCCGCCAGCGGCTCCAAGCCCTCATTAACCTCAAAGGACAAAGAAGCCATCAAAGAAAAATTCAAAAACTTCAATACACTATTCGATACATTAATCTCTCAACATAAGAGTTATGTATTCCCGGATAAAGAAGTAAAAGCCATGTTATTCAAGGAGATAACATTTATAAGCCCCCTTTATGGAAGGTTTTGGGATAAATATCATGAAGTGGTGAAGGATAAACATGTCAAATATGATGTTACGGCCTTGCAGAGTGTTTTGGCTAGTTGTCAGTAGATGAGACGGGGAAAGGTAGGGGGCTATCGCCTTTTTTGTTTTTGGCATGTTACATTCTTTTCTTGATTTCTTTGGTATGGGAGTCCTTTTTTTTTGTTCAAGTCAACGTTGCTTTTGAAGCTCTCTTTTTTGTAGCCTCGAATCTAGGCGCTTTTGAAGCGGATGTATGTGTATTATCTTATTAGCGGAGGGTGTTTATGTATAAAACCCGAAGGGATTGTGGAAAATCGGGCATTGGAGAGGCCCTATAATCAGTTTAACTACCTAAGTACCCAGGCCATTCTCATATAACCTCACGGGACGCATGTAGATGTCTAAAGCTCGAATATGATCACACTGAACAGGAAAGTCATCTCAATCGTCATTATCACCAGCTGGCTAACTAAATTTAAGAACAAAAACTAATATAGACAGGAAAAAGCCATTAAAACGCAATACCAAATGGGTGCAAATTGGGGGGACGAAACCGGAACAATCATCATGAAAGGAATGCTAAGCTAATATCTTACACTGTACAATAAACTCAAGTGAAAAAAAAAAAAAAAAAATGAAAATGAAAAGCATTAGCGTGATGAGCATTGCATGCGTAAAGAAACCAAAGAACCACACATAAGGTGTATAAACCAGAGAATTGCTTCTAAACAGCAAGAGAGGTAGAGTAAAAAATGAAAATCATGAAGAGCTTTTTTGCTTAGAGAAACAAACAAGGAAAAAAAGGAAATGTATCATGCCAAAGAGATGCTCACACTTATGTACTCACTCATTTACCCCTACCGCCTCTTCTCTTCCTTCGACTATCAATATCTTCCCTCGTCCTCCTAGCATCCGTCCTCTTTTTTTCGTAATCTTTCCTCGATCTAGTTCGTTCAGGATCGGGTTTGTTCCTTTCGCTATCTCTTCTCGTCCTCCGATTCCGTTCAATATTGTGTCCCGTGCTCCCTCTTCTGTCACTCTGAGGCATAACCCTGACACTAACGGCAATCTCCGCCGTGTCAAGCACCTTGTACTCCCTCAACAACCCAACCCCCTCAACCAATTCCCCGAACCCATTTTTAACATTCCCATCTTCAAAGCGACTCTACCGCTTTATAGCATGCGTAGCCCTCTGTATCCAGCTAACTCTCGCCTTTCCTTTCCCCTGCGACCCAACTTCGGCAGGGGGCATCCCTCCCGGTCCTACACCCCCTTCGAACTCCGGATGCATCTTTTGTAATTTCCCTCCTTTCCCACTATTGCTCCTCGGGTGTGGATGAGGTTCCCTTTCCCATTCCTCGTCATCATAGTATTCATGACCACCTGGGCCCGCCAACGTCGCCGCTCCGGCGTTTTCTCCTGCTGCCGCCGCCGACGCCCCCTGATGAGAAGAAGAAGTGTTATTAATAGGCACAGAGGTAGTAGTAACATGTCTCTCCGCCTCTCCTAGGTCAAAGTGTACCGTACTCTGCTGCGGCATAGCCCCCGCCACCTCCTGAGGGATATTAACCGGAGGAACTGGTTTCTCGGTTTGGTATCTATCAAACACGTCTCTTTTCTTCCTATCGAGATCTTCCATTTGTCGCTTGTAATTCGCCGTTAATAACTCTTGCTGTTTTTCGAGTTCTCGAAGTCTTTCTTTGACTTCGAACATTCTTTGGCGTTCGCGTTGGAAGTAGGAAACTGCGTCGGCTATTGTTTTGTCTTGCAGATCGAATTGGTTGCGGACGTAGTCATCGAAGTTGCCGGATGATGATGATCCTGGTGGAAGGCCGGATGAGGACGTTGGCATCGTGGGGTCTGTATTTTGGGCGGTAATGGTGTGGGATGATCCCGCGGGGTCTAAATCTGTGGAGAAGCCTGCTGGTAGTGTACCATTATTGTTATTCGGGGCCGTCGATTGGTTTTGGTTTTGGGAGGAGGAAGAGGGTTCTATACGGCGAGAAGTATTTGAGGCGTACGCATTTGTTGATGATGAAGTATTATTATTAGGGTTCGGGGCAGACGATGTTCGTAAACCGGCTGTTTGGGATTGTAGGCGCTCGACTTGTTTATCGTATTGGTTTTGGTATTTCGAGGAGTTAGACGTTGGCGCGCCGTTATAGGACGATGTTCTATCCGGGAGGTGTGTCGTTTGAGCGATAGCAGAAGCACCGGGAACAGCAGCGATTGGCTCGTACGAAGTTTGTTTTGTGGGACTTTGGCTGCCACGGGGACGAAGTGGTGCAGGTGCTACGAACGATTGTTGGGATTGACCCATGACCGAAGCCTTGTTGACCAGGTTCTCCCAGATGTGGGCTGATTGCGGGGAGTCCTTTGTCGGATAAGAATTTCCAGAGATTAAAGTGCGTTGCCAACCGTCTAGGCGCTTTTGAAGTGAAGAGGAGATTTCCGGCCATCTCGATAATTCTACTGAGACGGATTCAGCCGAACGGGCGATGATGTCGCATCCAGCGAGTTCAGATGCAGAACGGTCGGTAGGGCCTAAAAGGATGAGGTTTATGAATTCACGAATGATCCAGGCGGATGTTTGGGAGAGAACGGTGCGGACGTCGGAGTAACGGTCTGAAACACGGTCTTCGTCGAAGTAGCGACCCGAGATAGCGAAGTGTAGGGGGTACCAGAGGGCCTTGACGTCTTCCGGGGAGAAGACAAGGGAGCGTGAGAGTTCACTGGTGTCTAATCGAGGGCGTTCGGAGCGGTTACCTCTGTATGTATAATATTATTAGCTCCCTGTATCATATAATATTATATTATACTTGGTTATAGTTATAGTATAGGCAGCGTAGGTATAATAATGCTATTGCTAAAGGGAGCAAAACATACCTAGCTTGAGCAGCTTTATCCTTATACCCTCTCCCTAGCTCCGTCCTCTCAATGATGACATTGGCAAACTCGCGATGCGACTCGGCGAGTAGCGCTGTCAATTGTCTGATGCAGTCTCTAGCATAACTGCGAGCGGCGGCAGCAGCAGCCTCGGGAGGACCGGAACCAGTATGAGGAGTCGAGTATTTTAAAATTTCGGAAAGAAGGTCATCATCGAAAGAACGGACCCTGGTGAAGAGATAAGCCAATTCCCAGCGAAGGTAGAGTTTCCATTCGTCTGCATTTGTGGCGCGACTTGCGATTTGAAGTTCCTCGATGGGGGCTTCGACGGCAAAGTTGCCGGTAGTTAGTTGAAACATCCTTTTTTGTCAATGCCAATCAGATGTCAGATCCGATAAATAGATAGATAGTATGTAAGGGATAGGAATGGAAAGAGGAATGGAAGAGGGAAAGAGAGAGAGATGATCAAGAGAGGGAGAAGGGGAAGAGAAGAGGGGAGGTTGATGGATTGATTGATTAATTGATGGAGGTTGTCCCAGCCAGCGCATTTAACAGGCAAATGCAGATGCATCTGCAAGCAGAGCTGTCGCTTCGTTGTCGCAAAAGCCTGGTGGTTGGTACTTCCTCAGTTGCTAGCGGCTTTCTAATTGCCAGGCCGTGTTTCAGCCACACAATCTTAGTCAGCAGCCACAGCGGTCCAATCAGGCCACTAGCCACATTTAGAGAAAGTGGCTGGTGTCAAACTCTTCCCGTTCAACCTAGGTAACTTCAACAAAACTTCAACTTCAAACTAAACGACGGACAGGACATGCGATAACTAACGACGATGCTGCGACCCGCCGTCAACGCTGTGCAGGTCGACTGTCAGTCTCTGCTGGCAACGGCTAGAGCTGTTTCCAGGAGAAGGACAGGTAAATCCCATCACCAATTGCCCTTTGCATATACCCCTCCATCTCTATCTCTATCTCCATCCGATACTAACTGATTGACCGGATATAAAATACAGTGCACACGGCCCGCCAGCTACAACAGAACCAGAGCAACTGGGCCCCTCCTGCCTCAAATCGCCGTCCTCCAAACAACAACTATAATAACAACAACGTCGATAGCAACAACAGTAACAGCCGTAATAGTAATGCCAACCTCTCCGACCTCTCCGAATCCCTCGCTTTCCTGACCTCCAACCGTCCACCCCCCGGAAACCGCTATCAATCCCGTCGTAATGGCAATAACTATAACAACAACAATGGTGGCAACAGGAATATAAACCCTTACAATAGAAACCGGCGGTCCGACCCACTCGAAACCAGCGACAACCAATCATTCATTCGCTATCGACCTTTTGACGGCTCTTCTTCTCGACCCCCTCGAAATCAATACGTTCCGGGTCCTGAAGATGACCATGGAGATGCAGTCAATGGAAATGTCCCCCTGACGACCCCCACAAACCCAGCCTACGCAAAAATGCTACGGAAACTCCTAGACTTGACGAACAACTCTACTCCTCGAGAGGTCTTTACTCATGCCAAGCTCATGGCTTCGAAGGGATATGCTCCTACGTTGGAAACATACAGCTGCCTAATCCAAGCATGCGCTCATCCAAACGTTGGCTGTTCTATGCAAGAGACTGCGTTATCCCTTTTCGAGGAACTGAAGGAAGAAGGCTATACACCCAATAGTACAATCTACCACAGCCTCCTCAAGATATTCGCCTCTTCGCCGGATTATATCTCCATGGAAAGGGTTTTGAAGGAGATGACGGGTACATACGGGATATTACCTGACGTGGAAGGACAACAGCATATCCTAAGACATTATTTGACAACGGGACAGTTGGAACGTGCGATGGAAATGTTTTATGAAAGGAGAGCTACTGGCGAGAAGGTTCATTATAACACTTATATGGAGATCATAAAGGCCCTGGGGAGAGTAAATGAAGTTGAGGAGGCTATGAGGGTCATGATCGAGTTTCAGAAAGAGTGGGGGTCCATTGCTGGCTCGGGCATTCAGCCGATTGCTTGGTATGAACTGCTTAATATTGCAGCTTCTAACTATCACGTATGTTCTTCCCTTTCGTATGTCCATTCTTTCTGATATCAAGCGTACTAATGGTGGATAAAAAGATCGATGGAGTATCCTACATCTGGAAGAAAGTCGTCCAATCCCCTCCTCCAGGCTCTCGTGCAACTCTGAACCCCGACGACGGTCTCTGCCTAAAAGTCCTAAACACTGCCGCCCGTCACGGGAACCCAGATCTAGCACTCGAGGTTTTCCGCATCCTTACTCTTCGAAACGTGCCATTCCAAGAACACCATTATGCAGCCCTGAGCGCCGCATACGCCCGCTCCGGACAATTAATTCCAGCATTCAGAGCTCTAACATTGATGAGAAACCAAGGAATAGCACATACTGCTACCACCGCGAACGCTATCATCGAGGCCTTGACAAGTTCTGGAAAGATTGAAAATGTGGATTCCGCATACGCTACTTTGAAGGACTTTGTTGCGTCCAGCAACGACAAAGAAGTCGTCGAAGTGGCAGGTTTCAATGCTGTTTTGGCAGCCTGCGTGAAACTCAAGGATTTGGAAAGAGCATTGGGTGTCTACGCCGAATGTGCGGCTCTGAGCGTCGCTCCAAATACTGAGACGTTTAATATATTGTTCAAGGGATGCTTGGAATGTGCCACTCCATCCGAAACTCCTGACGCTACTCCTACGGCGCCGAATAAGGAGCTTGCAATGTTCTTGGCAAATGAAATGAAGGAGATGGGATTACAACCGGACTTTGTGACATATGAGGAGTTGTTGAGGGTTAGTCTTTACCAAGAAGAAGATTATGAAGATGCCTTTGTGTATTTGGAGGAAATGAAGGAAGTTATCCCTGGCGGGAAGGTTAGGCCGATGGTGTATAGCTGGATTGCACAGAGGTTAGAGGAGAAGGGAGATGAGAGGTTGGGGATGGTGGTAGAGGAGATGAAGGGTTTGGGATATGAAGAGGAGGCCAAAGTTTGGGAAGAGGCAGTGGCGAGAGTGGCGCCGCCGCAGTTGGTATATAAAGACTAGATCGAACAGATATTTAAATCATCTAGGTATCTAGTCTTGAAAGGAAGATTTGTATATATGTAATTTTGTGCATTATCATCATTGAGTACCCTAGTATATAGGAATTTATCTTACTAGAGAAAGAGTTTAAAATGGACGACGCTCTTCTAGTTTCTACCGCGGACTTCAGTCCATTCAATTAAGTTCATAGTCCCTTAATCTGCTGTTATGAGGATCCGAACTGCATGGTGTCGCTATGGAAGAGCACGCGCCTCACATAAGCTCAATATTATATCAATTCTGCTCTTGTAAATTTAAAATTATAACTTAATCTTAGAGTTCTAGTTACGTGACACGGCGTGTTTCCTATCGATTAACGCTGGCCTACAGCAAGCTACTAAGTACTGACCTAAGTTCACAGGTACCTAGGTACTACTTAAGTCTACATCACAGCTGCGCAGCATAAACACCTTCCGGACGTACTTTCACATCTCTTAATCAGAGAGCACCGGGCTCGAGCCAATTAACCCTCAATCAATATCTATCTAAGTAAATACTTACCTACCTCCTACACAGCAGAAATTAAGTTATGCTAGCCGTCAAAAATCTAACTATTGGCTGAATCTTAGTTAAGACAAGATACAAAATGCCTTCTCACACAGAGAAGGTTGCAGAACTGCTCGCCCGTCCACTGCCTCAAATCATCCAGCGGGACGACACTGATCCCGAAAATACCCCCACAGACGATAGTATCCATCCTGATCACATCTTCTTCTGGGATGGATTTGTCGAAGACGTTAAAAAGACAATATCAGAAACGGATTTATCGCAAGATGTATCCCTGACGGATGCCCCGGAAGGTGAATGCATCATTGTAGGCAATAGGTTTGCCCTAACAGGTCGATTTAATGCGAATGTTGGAGTTCCATTAGCGAAGGCATTCATCGCTACATCTGGCACTAGGGAGGAATTGAAGAACCTGAGGTTTGCTGATGCAGAAGTTGTGCCGTTGTTTCAGAGGTTTGGTGCTCCAGATGTAGTTTTGGTTGAATTAAAAAAAGAAGGGGGGGATATCAAACCCTTGCTGAAGGCCGTTGGGGAAATCAAAAGGTTTTGGACGGCAAAGGGTTTTAATGATATTCGGGTATCTGAAGGAGAAAAGGGTTTGGGGAGAGAGTTTTTAAAGAACTATGTGAAAGAGATTGGTAAATCCATCTTTATTTATATCTTCAAGTATTCTATTAACATATTCTATGAGTAGGTCAGCTCGCAAAGTTCATGCACTGTATTAACCTTAGATACGGGTTTATTTCAAACTACGAAAGCACCATATTCGTGAGACGTACGGGAGCTAGAAGATTTGAACTTACGGATCCAATTGGGTTTCACGATGCCGGACCTACAGTTAGACAGTGCTTTTATCATTTTGGTACCTTGCTTGTAGATGATCCTGGCTTTGAATATACAGGTCGAATGGTGAAACTTAGAGATGTTGAGACTTCCTCTAATTCCTTCAATACATCTTTGTGGGTAGGCTAACTCATAGATAAGCTCAGGATCCCACCATCTAGAGACAGTACGGACTCCCCGCCAGTGTATTCGGAACCAGCACCAGAGAATGAGGGTCAAGAGGAGGACGATGAAGGGACAGAAAACCGAGGGGAGGAATTTAGGCCAAGTCAAGGGCCTACGGCTGGATCTATGGCTGTCACTACAGTCCCTACCGAAGACTGTGGAGATGTTAAGCACGAAGAAGCCGGGCCGATAGAGCAGGCCCTGTCGATACAGAACGAAGATACTCCCGCCAGTATTGGGCATAGTCGAGCTCAGAGCCCTAGGGAGAAAGAAACGCCAGATGCCACCGTTGAGCAATCATCACCAGTACAAGAAAGCATTGCCACTGCAGTTACCCCCGCTGACGTCTCGGGCAAGCCAAGAAAAATCTCGGATATCACTTGCAGGTCTGTTGTATTCAAGAATGAGACGGACACCTATATATTCGATATCGTAGAAACAGTTAAAGAGAATCACCATAACGGGAAGAAGGTTTTCCGCGCAACCTTAGAGGGACAGGAGGTTATTGCCAAATTCTGGCCGGAGAGTTTATTTAAGCTGTAATCCCCCTACCCCCTTCCTTTTTGCTCTTGGAAATTGAATTACTCAAACTAATATGCTATCAACAATTTAGTTATACACGTGAAAGAAACACCTACCATCATCTCCCTCCAAGTCCATACTTTCCTCAAATGATTGCATATGGTGATTTAATCCTATCTCACTCATTGGAGAGGGGCTATATTCTTGTCATAACCCAAGAAAAAGGCATTCAGCTCGGATACAAGATGATAGAGCAAACTCCCAAAGCAGAGAAGAGGAGAATCAGAAACGCATTGATCAAGGCAGTTAAAGTTTTGAGAGAGAGGGATTCCATGCATGGAGACCCACAACCGTCGAATGTTTTATGGGATTCGGGGACTGGCAAGCTGAAATTATTGGACTTTGAGATTATGTGGGAGAATTATGACGAGGATCCGGCGGACAAGGTTGAAGTTTTGGGGATTTTGGGGAAGATTGACGACGGTGATAGTGATGACAAGGCTATTGATGTGGGGGAGTGAGGCAGCCTTTCTGTTTGACTGTGCTTATCATAGCTCTGGGCTTTTGTATATTTTATCAAGTGCCGGTTTCCTAGCCTGCTACTATTCTATCTGTATTCGGCAAGCCATCGAGCCGGAAGAAATGAACTCTGGCACTAATGGGTTTTTGAGGATTCGGACTTCGAGAAAAACTCTAGCCTTGGGCCTGGCCAATGGGCGAGAGGTGTTTTCGATGATATCTGTTCTCTTGTTTGCCGTCAACTTCTAGTGACTAGTCTTAGAGATTCAAAAAAAAAAAAAATAGTAGTCATAGCCTAGATATACAGACTATGACCTCCATTTGCTACACATATCTTAGCCACCAAGATACCTCAAGGCTTGAAAGCTCAATTCCTCGATTATAACTGTTCACCGCTTCCCCAATCAGGATCATATATACCATTAATCCATTAAGATTCTTCTTCTTCTTCTTCTTAGTTACCCCTTCCCCTACCGCCTCTACCACCGCCACCTCTCCCTCTAAACTCTCCTCTTCCACTACCTCTCCCTCGGTCACCTCTATGATCACCCCGTCCACCGGCACCTCCACCACCTCTTCTGTTTCCGCCGCCTCTATCACCACCACCGGACCGATGATGATCCCCACTAGCGGCTTGTTGTGCTTGTTGTTCTTTTACTATATCGATAATTTCGTCCGGAACACGGAGGTATTTGATGTTATTTCCTCGGACATAAGCTTCAGGGAGGCGGTGAAAGGTTTCGCCGTCCTAGTATAGATCGTTAGGAACAGTATTTGAAAAGCTATATACAGCTTTCGTGGCGTGTTTATGGAGGGAATGAGGGGCGGAAATGACGTACAGGACTTGTTTGGATCACCTCCTTGAGTGTAAGGTTCATCCACGTATCGCAGGAGACTAAATGGCCGTTCAGAGTTTCGCCGTTCTTGAGTTCGACGAGGAGAGGGTGGCCTTGGACGGTTGTTAGGAGGGTTAAGGGAAGCTGGAGGTATGGTGGGTGTTAGCTGTAGATCTTGCTTGGGTGTGGATAGGTGGGTGTGACTGACCATTGTGGAGGATGTGAGTGGGTGGCAGTACACCCGGGTGTTAGAGGGGTAGAAGTGAAGGTATTGGAAACCTTCTGATGTGGATGGATGTTTAGGATGAAGCTGGAGGATGGGATTGGATATGATGATGATGTTGGTGGTGGGTGGTGTGGGTTGGGAGCTTTGCTGTGGTTAGTTCGTTAGCGTGGGTCGCGAACGGTACGCATTGGTTGAAGGGTTTGGAGTTTCTTTTTGCATAGTTGGTGACAACGCGGTTTTTCGGTGTTGGATTTTTGACGAGGGCCGACTTGATGATACAGCGCTGCAAGATTGCATTGCGACGATGTTATAATCAATAATAATACATATTTACTTCCGTTATCTAATTTTCGTGTAGCTGTCTTTATTCTAGGTGTATTAAATGGATGGGAAGGATGGTTTGGCAAGGTAATTCTCATATTAGCTATATTAGGTTCACTTGTAGATATCTGACTTTTTCATTTATTTAACCAATAAATACTTAAGTATATAAAGATTACATCTCGTTTGTCCTTTCTTTTCCTTCTTTTTTTATCGAAAAAAAAAGCCAAGCTCGGGAAGGTAATCTGAGAGAGTAAGCATATAGGCATTTCCTAGTACTAAAAGCGGTTTACATTGCTCTAGAAGCTAAGGTGTAATCGAAAAATGTATCCATGTAACCTATTTAATATTTAACCGCTTACAACCGTTGACCATATATTTACTGCAACGCGATCGTATCTGCGATGGCTTGCATATGGGACCATAGTGTTGTGCCACATTCAAACGTGACGTTTTAGAGGCGGGGTCAAAGGATCCAGGAGCCATAATTCCTATTTAAATACCAACATGACCCATTCGATTCTTGAATATTATTTCCTATTTCTACGTTTATTCTTGAACGAAGCTTATAAATCTATAATATTCTAGTTTTGTGGCATCAATACTTTTCGGCATTCGAGCCTCTCGTTTTCTATTGTATAAAAATAAATAGCTCTCTGCGGCTCTTATTACTGTTTATAAAATATTGGTACCAACTGCCTAGCAAACGAACGTCAAAAAAACTGCAAAGAAGGGGCACTTAAAATTGAATACATCATCTATTCCGGAACTAGCATTGAATGAGGGTACATAATCAATTAGGTCTAGATATATAAACGAAGTGCGCAAAATTCGAAATAATGGCATCCTTAGTCGGTCTATCTCAGGCGCCGGAAACCCTCTATCTTATTCTTGAGTATCTCGAAAACAAAGACTTATTTTCCCTCCTTCTAACATGTAAATCTCTTTATCCTGCTTGTTATTGCGAATTGTGGTCCATGTTAGGCTTTGGCGGCTTCAATCCTATTAATCCTACAAGGCGGACCGTGTCTTCCAAAGGGTATGCGCGATTTCGGGACGCTATAGACACTTTTGGAGCCGATAATCTTGGGTTCAAATATACCAAGTTCCTGGGTCTTGGCGCTTCCCTATTTCAGAACAAATATCGCAGATTAGGTCTCGGAAAGAAACTGGGCGACTTACTCGAGACTGGGAAATTGGCACCTAGGGTTGTCCGTGTACGTCTTCATCCTTGGGGTAGGTGTTCCTTGAAATCAATTACAGCTAGCTCCAACATGAGCCCTGGTATATTTCGCTATAACTGGTGCGATACTAAGAGTTTGGAAGTTGTAGATATTCCTCAAGAGTTCAAGGAAGAAGTGGGTCATATACTTGTCGGATTGAAAACTTATTCCAAAACGAAGTCGCCAGAAGATTTGTCAATTTCTCTTCAGACGGAACTTGTTCACTCGATACCACAGCTCTTCGACCTAGAAAAGATTACCACATACGAGTTAGCCGTATATTTTTATGAGAGGGGTAGAAAGAAGAGTTGGAGCACCCCTGATAGCCATAATAACATCGGTGATCATATACTCGAATTAAAAAGCCTCCTCGCTGGAATGACAAATCTGAAGCACTTTTCTTGGAATATGAATTTCCGTTCCACTTACAGGGATGTTTTTCTGATTGAAAAGTTTGCGACAGAATTTGATGAACTCCAAGCGGTCTTCACAAAGATGCAATATCTCGAATCATTGGCATTGTTGGACTACCTTTTCCATCCTTCGTTCTTTCTTATTCCGCCTAAGACCGTTAAGAAACTGGAATACGGAGGGAATTTATCGAATATTTGGTGGAGACGATTTGCAAAATACCCCTTCATAGGCGTTGAGGATCTGTTTATACATGCAGTGGAGCCATTTAAGGGCTATCCTACGAATGGGTTTCTACCTCCAGACTCCATCGAGGACGTCAATACTCTTTTGCTAGGAGAGGTCGCAATAACCGGATTAAAAAAGTGCACTCTCGGTATATGCGACGAGGAGAGTAGCTCCCGACCACTCGATCTGGGAGAATGTATCCTTCAGAAGAACAGGGATCTCGAACACAGCATTTCAAATGCGATCGCTGAGAATAGGGCCCATATGCTTGTTCTTCGAGCTTATAGCAAAATTTCTGACAAACTATTCGACTACAGCTCACTAATAACTCACAAATATACACCAAAATTTGTGGAGAGCGCCCCAGGGGATGAATCTCGTTTCAATGAACAAATCAAAGAGGAGTGTACACGAGCGCTACTTCATGGCTCAAAGCCTGTAGGCCTGGAAGACTGGAAGGCTGCGCGAACCCGAGCGAGAGAATTCGCTCAAAGGTGCCAATTCGAGCTTCAAAATAAGCTTTTTACGTGTATAGACATGGTTTCAGACGATTACGCTCTTCGGCTTGCGAATGGAGAAGACTTGGACCGGAGCAGTTTCGAAGAGACATGCTTCAAAATGTTTTCGAAAGGTCCGAACTTGGAGGACGTTCGTAAACTAACAGATGCACGTAATCAAGCCTCGCGGGCCGTAAGTGCCTGTCTGAATCGTTTCAGGGTTAGTCTGAACGATAAAGATGATAAAGAGCAATTTATCAAAATGTATAAGGAGAAGGATTTCCAGATTGGAGATGCCGAGATTGAGAGTGCCGTCGACCGGTGGACGCGAAAGATGATCGAAAATATTGAGGAGGGAGAGGAGTCCGGGAATCCCCCGCTGATGATGGAAGACGATTCGGATAGTTCTTTGGAAGATACATGAAGTAGTTAGAGTAAAGTGCGGAGCAGTGCGCGGTCACTTAGCCTGCTCATACCATTTTCAGGTGGCCCCGCTGGGGAGGCATGCGTGGGCGTAAAGTTATGGGACTAGTACTTGCATGCCAGTCAATAACTTCGAACTGTATAGAGACTAATTGGTACGCTAATGTTTTGGTAAGACGGTCGACTACGGGATTCTGAAAGTTAAATAGTAACATAAAGATATTAGATACCTAATTGAATACTTGAGTACTTAATTACTGCATTGTGCATGTGACTGCCGGGATATATAACAGAGCTGCCAACTCAATTCCGGTGCTATAGCTATAGATTGTAGCCGATACTTGGGAGTATATAAAAATTTACTATAAGCTTATATCTATCAACTATGTAACAAATGATATGAGGAATAGAGAGTATTTTAGTTTTTCATTTCACGAATTTGGGGTTCGAAATAAATTATCATTCTGGTGGCTTCCTGAGTGTGTTATTTTGGCCATCCGTTACCCGAAAGTGGGACATGGTTTAGACTAAAGACCAACCTGCCGGTGGATACTACTTAACTAGTTGCATTGGAAAACACTCCACGTGTCGTCGGCCAGACTTTGAGTAACTGTTTAACTAGGCGGAGGCCGCTCTTTGATACCACGTTCGAGCTCACAACGACCCTGGTAACACAGCCAGGCTGCGGGTGAGAAACACACTAATTGCGGGCTTGCTGCAAGATTATGCAGGATACTTTTGTTATCCGAAAAATGCAACCTACCGCCATCATCTTTGCATCATGACGACATATCTTACCACGTTTCAAAAGGTTCGTGCATTTCATGCGATATCGCATTGAGCTGCGGACTGCTTCGCTCTGGGAATGTGTTTACACTAGTCCCCATGCGTATATGGATATGCGCATGCCTGTTTATAAATTTACGTAAAGACGATGAATTCGCGAACAATAGCTAATCGATTTAAGATCCGAATAGTCGTTTTTCCAATATGGCTGAGAGGGTCTCCGGTCTAGGCTAAGAATCATTCCCTATTGCCGCATCTAATTGCCGATTATGATTATTGGCGCTCTGTTTCCGGCGGCAAAGTGGCATCTATATATCGTGGAGTGACCATCGAGTTTCAAGTTTGTACAATTGTGAGAACACTAGCTAGTCTAGCTCGAGAGACTACGACTCAAAAACGAAGCCAGATTTATAAAACGAAGGAGTTGCCGTAGAGCAAAAAATGCATTTAAGAGAAGGATCACCCGATACCCAAAAGCGAGAGCGAAAGCTGGGTATGGCTTATTTTTAACCCCCTTTTCTAACCCGATTACTTTAAATTCGTATAAATATCTATAAATTTACTAATAAAATATTCCACAGGATTCTACGAAAAATTCCGTGTGGCCCTCCACGACCTTGGTTATTACAACAATGTCTCAATCATTGCTCGGTATTCCGATACAAAAAAGATCTTGAATTCATGGCCTCAGTCGATTCTCCGCGGGTTTAGCTATGCTATTCAAAACCACCCTGAATTGTCGACAACGGTCATTCGGGATGAAGATGAGACTCTTTACTTCCAACGCCTCTCGACAGTCAACCTCGAGCAGCTTGTTACTTTTAAGTCTCTAGAAGATATTGAAGGAGAAGGAGTGGACGCGAAGTTAATAACGTTAAGTACCAGCGAGAACAACAAAGGATTCCAGAATACTTCAACGACACCGTCATGGAGGGCTATTGCGCTGCGGGAGTCGAGTGACTCCTTTAGGATCGCTTTCATTTGGCACCATGTGATAGGGGATGGCAGAAGCGGTTTAGCTATTCATAAAACTCTTCTCGAGGCATTCCGGCTGTTCGAGGATGATATGGACTGCAAGAGTAACCGGCCGGCTACCACACTCGACTTTACACGCGTGCCAGCGTCAATAAAACAGCTGTTCGCATCGATGGAAGAAATGCTCCCGAATTCATCCGCTCCTGTACCAACAAGTCCTCTTCAAGGTAAAAAATGGGCGGGGGAAAATTACAGCGACCATAGTCCGATCCTTACAGAGCTAGGACACATCAGGATATCGGCAAATTCCGTGGAAAAGGTTCTCACCAAATGTCGAAAGTATGGGACAACAATGACAGCACTTCTCCAAGCTATTGTGGCAAAAGCTTTGCTAGATCAAGTTCCCTATGACCGCATCCGCACGGCCGTAGCGGTTTCTCTCCGCAGGTTTTTTGATCCAACTCTTGGAATTGATGATTCTGTCATGGGATTATGGATAAGCACATACACTACCGAATACCATAAAACACAGTTTCATCAGAACGCCGAGGGACTTGACAATTTATGGCAAATTTCTCGGGAAAATACAGCACAGATAAAAAGGGTGGTAGAGAACGGTGGGAAGGACGTCGAAATTATGGGTCTCGTGGGCGTAAACGATTATAGCGCTGCGGTCAAATCAAGGGTCGGACAACCACGCGATAATAGTTTTGGACTTACGAATCTCGGGGTTTTTAAGGCGGCGTCCACAAACGAAAAATATGGAGGTATTATACTTGACGACATGTTTTTTTCACAATCATGTCATGCGAATGGTGCGGCATTCCAGATTTGTATCGTAACGGTACAGGACGGCGATATGAACATCGTTTTTAATTGGCAGAAGGGGATGGTTAGGCATGAGGAAATAGGTGGTGTTCTGAGCGGGGTAAAGGATTTGATGGGGCAAATCACCTCTAGTGAATGAGTTTTTGTGAGCCGGTGGTGTGAATGTCGCACTACGGGGTTGGAGTTATCAGGCTTGTCGGAGTTGAGGATAGATTACATATGCTCATGAAGTGTTTTTAAAATCCTCGGGATACCGATAAGAGATTTTCTTGAAGTTTCTATCTCTGATTACTTAAGATCCAGTTTTGAAGGATCAAAAAAACCGCCTAAGTCTGAGAATTTAATGCGATCTTCGCAAATGACCTTCAAAGAACCCTAGTCGCGAGCTAGAAGTCGGCCTGAGATCGTTCGATAAGCCAAGGCTGAGCGTTGGCAGGGATACAAACATAACCTGCAGATGCCCCGCACTTGTGACTTGGGAAGCCTCACCGTCGATGCAAGATACATTAGTATCCCTGTAATAGTAATGAAACTTTTTAGAACGGCGGAAACCTGCAGCACCTGCTACCAAGGAAGATGAATATATGAGGCTTGCTGAAACAATCCCATCGGCCATCGATCCGATGGCTATAGTTCTGCTATTTGTTTCGCGATCGATCTCTCAGACGCCCTGTGTGTGCTACGTGGTTGCTGTGCTTAATTAATTGTCATTGACCGCATCATATCCCGAAGATGGGATCAAGGAAATAAATCTTATGATTGTGTTTATTTTAATAAATTTAGCATAGCGAAATTTTGGAGTATAAAAAGCATGATAACCATCCTCTCCTTATCGTGAGAAGTTTATGCTGTATGCCATAGAATAATATCTAGAATTGCTCAAAATCAATCACGGAACAGCAACCCTTTTGGATAAGAATTCAACATTTATCTGTAGCCGATGACTAGACGAATATAGATAAATCTTGTAGTTTATATCCAAAAAATAACCCCGCATAGAACCCCAGAATGATTGACGAAGCTATCCAAAACAGTAAGGTAAGTTTCTGCATGATATCCTGGTTTGCCACACTCGAGTCTGACAGTAAAATTAGCGCCACAGTGGCACTGAAACACCACGAGAATTGATGATCGAAATTGATTTTGACGACGAAAACGCCAAGAGTATTGACCTCGTAGCAATTGAAAGAACATGGTCAAAAAGACTAGAGCAACTTGAAATCAAATTAAATCCTTACAATACTGAGCTCGTCCCGTCGATTTCTCACGAAAACATCCCATCCGAGCCTCTAGCAAGATGGTACTGCGAGACAACAGCCGACGGCTTTTTCCATGATATAGGAGAAGTTCGAAAGCTTTCAAAGTTTCCCAACATCTACCTAGATTGTAAAAACCAAGATCAAAGATTTGGTGTGTATGGGAGAAATATTGGAAGTGACGCAGGCGCAACTTGCGGCTTAATATCAGAGGTCTCAAGAGGGCTTTCTCGGCTCTGATTTATCAGTGCAATACGTATTAGCACAATCTTCTCTTTCCCAATTTGGTCTCGGAGCCATACACTCATCCACCAATAAAAGAGGTTTCCCTACATTTCTGTTTTTGCTCCCTTTCCTAGGCTTGGGGTGTTTTGATTAAGGCGTTTTGGTTTGAATGGACGGATTAAGGAACTGTATCAAAATTTCTGCGAGGCTTGATATTTATAATTTGTTTTACACCGGCTGGTTTTGTAAAAATAATTCAAAGAGGATCTATGAACGGTTTTAGATGCACTCGCCCTGAAAACTATGCAAACAGGAACTGATCTCTGCTGCACTCACATGTATATAGACTATCTGTCAATGAAAGGCTAAAAATCCCCAATATATAGAAGTTTAAAATATATACTAAGATTTAATTACTATCTAAGCTCGATTTAACAAGCCATCTGAATATTAAGACCGTGATGTTAATAGTCGTCGGTTTAGGTGGAAGGTAGATCTTCCAATAGGAAGCCGGTAGCGACATACATCGTATCGAATTGCTGATTGGGCAGGTGCAACACAGACGGGATGTGATATTTTGAAACCATGCAAGATATTTCACATGAAAAAAAAAACTCCCCCAATCGATCTGGAGCAATTGCATGTACTGCGGTTTTATGGTCAATTGGTTCCTTTGAGAAGCATTTAATTTTTGTAACTGGGGCCAATAGCCGGCTAATAGCGATAAAAAAATCGATATAACGACATGTCGACATAGCTTGTGTTCGGCATGGGTGGTTGAATCCTTCGAACTGAGCTCGGAGAGAACTGGAATTTGTCCCGGCCCGCAACTGTAAACAATAAAAGATTGTATTATCACAGCCAAAATTTGTATGGTCGGCGAATATAACCCCCAAATACCTATACGTCCTGATTCTAACAAATAGACTAATGCTCATATTAACATCGCACGTCAGAATTCTAGCAGGTGCAATCGCCGTTCGTATCGACGTACGTCAATTCTCAAAAGGTTGTGAATGTTGTGTCCCAGCCTTTTGGGAAAAAGGGTGCATCCTAGTCTCTTGGCCGCCAAACGGTGCAGGAAGGCTGAAAGACTTCGCCAAAACAGACCTGCTAACTAGCCCATCGACTCATCATTGTCAGTGCCGGCACTCCGATCTTCTCTCCTACAACCACGAAGAAGTCTCGGGGATCGATTATAAACTGGAGACATGGACGCTGGCTCAAAACGCCACCCATGCATCGACTAAAACAGTCTCTTTGATCTTAACCTCTTTCCTATTCCATCCATTCAGGGTCCACCTACGAGCTTAAAGCAAGATTGCAATTATTGTTGCTGATCTAGCGCTCTAGCTACCTGGCTTGATGGCTTGCTGAGCACACACCACCCGCACATCCCCGCACTGTTACACAACACAAGTGTCGATGGCGGCCCGAGTTCGCAGGGACAATAGTGTCCCTGAAACTACTCCTCGACGACTATATTCCCCAAGAGAATGGGAAGAAAAGAAGCATATTATTGCAAAGTTAAAGGATGAGGGAAACGAGCAGGAGCAAATTTTAAGGGAACTTGAAAAACAGTTTCCAGAGTTTCGGCCAACGTATGTACTTTTTACCGCTTTCAAGATTTTCTGTCTACTACAAGTTTAGATCGAGGAAACTTGTTATAATCATGCAACGTTTTTCCAAGTGGTGAGGCTATAGCATGCTAAAAAATGATCGCTTAATTAGACTTCCCATGCTTAAAAAGCGAATGCGTGACTGGAAACTCACTTCATATCACAAAGAGCCCGATATTGCAGAAGCGGTTCGAATCACGGCCGACCGTGAAAAGCTGAATAAGAAAACAATTTTCACCATCGGCGATAAGAGGGTTACCCAAGAAGAGATACAGCGTTACCTGCGGCGGAAGGGTATTAGAAACCCGCGGGCCTGGGCATCAACTGTTGTTAAGCAGCCTGTTTCTGTTATTCAAATACACACACCTGGACCGTCGCGGCCATCCTCACCTAGTCCTGGGGCTTCGAGTGGGCGATCTGAAAGCTCAGATGACGTCGAAGAAATAGATCGGGCTTCTGAGCTTTCAGCCAATGCAACAGAGCGACGGTTATTCCAAGAAGCCTGTGATATCTTCGTATCCACGGCCTCGAGGGAGCATATTCGGCAAGTAGTTCGGGGACCCCACGAATCCCAGATGTTGGAGGCAGCAATATGGAACACCGACTACTACTGCGATATGTTGTTTGTTCTTGAAGACCTTAATCCTGGTCTGGCGGATTTGACCTCAGATGCCCTCAACGATTTCACAAACGGGATGTGGAAAGGCTGGGACTATCTCTTCGATGATAATATGATCGCCTTTACATATTTCAAGGAGGGCTTCGCTAGTCTGGATAGGCTAGTTCATAGTCATAACCGACGCTTTTTACCTGAGCTCCTAGAGATGCTCTTGAATCTACGCCTGGAGCCCCGAGTAGATGTTTTGCAGATACTGCTACAACACCTTGCCACGCTCTACAAGCATAGCGACCCAAAACTTTACGATGTCTTTCTCTCCCTCCTTTCCCTGGATAACTGGAGTCGTCTTGAAGTAGTCGAAAGACTCATGAACAAAGTATCAGAAAGGTTTAGTCGGAAGTTGGGCCCTGAGCACGCGGAGACCAAATCAATCCAAAAGGCACTTACACGTTCGGTGTTCCGAAAGCTACCCGTTTCCAAAGCCATCACCGAGCTCCAGGGTAGGGTGGCTGAAGAAGAAGAGGAGAACACCCAAGAACTTCTTTACAAAAAATGCAACGTTTGTATTGAATTAGCACTATGCTACCGTTCGAGAGGCGACCTGGTGCAAGTCGAGAGCTGGGTTTTACAAGCGATGTTACTATCCGAGCAGCTGATGTCAAGCTTCCACCAAGCGGATATTAGTGTTCGATGCCATAGAGTTATGTCATATGTTGAGAGGAACAAGGGGAACTGGCAAGCAGCTTACGGTCACTGGCAGTGTGCGGTGCTTAAATCTTCACTTGGGTTGGGCAGTACTGATTCTTTGACGGTTTTAGTGGAGTCTGAGCTGAGGGATTTTGTGAAACGAGCACAAAGAAATGGAGTCGTTTTGCTAGACAAATTTGCGGGGTTTGAGGATGAAGTTGATGATTTTCATAATCCAGATGTTGCACTTGAACCGGTTTCAGAGCCTTTGGAGTACTACTTCCATGATATTGTGGCGCCGGCGGTTTTAGGTTAAAATGACTATGTAAATAGTTACCAAATGAAATGTATTATTCTGGAAGTTTCGTGCGAAAGTTTTACTTAGTAGCCATTATCAACTATCTACTCTTGCAACCCAAAGTGATAAACCATATATATGTTAATAGATTTTAATAAGTACCAGTCTTTTATTGATTTGGGTGGATGCGTTTACGCATGGTAACATTCCGAAAAGCTCTAGCGATCTCGAACTACAAATTGGCATGATATTGATCTAGTCGACTGGTAAGCTATCGCTAGATCCTAGCTTGAGTACTCCTGACATCTAAATACTCAAGTACCTACATTCTACTCAAATAGTCAGTTTAGTAGCAAGTTTACCGAGTGACGCTAGAAGTAAAGGAATCGGATTCGTATTGTATAGAAAGCTGCATAAAGAGGCATCGTGTTTCAATGTAGCTGGTAGATAAACTACCTAAGTATCTATAATTTCTAGTCTCATGTCCGGCTTAGCCTCGAGGACAACCGCTAGTGTTATAGTCTTAGGGCCAACTGGTCTCGTTCCCATACGTTGCAAAGGGAGGCATTGACGAACCAGCCCGTGAAGTTATTGACCGCACGCGCACTCGATATTTTGGTCGGGGTTTAACTGCCGCAATAGGAGCCCAAAGACTTGATTAATTGCAAATACAGTTTCGCAATTTTTGATATCATTTGCATCTACATATGCAGATGCCGAATTTGATTATATTATCGTTCTCAACGTTATAAACCCGCGCTAGGCTTGCACAAGCTTGTGAGTTGTCGCTTGTTATAAAATTATGGCTGGCTTCGGCTTCCGGAACCGGACCCAAGCTATGTTATGGCGCGTCTTTATGGGGCTTAGTTTCTTGTTGCCTACTCCCTTCAAATACATTCATGATCTGTAAACTTACTATGATCCGCTTGACTACCGACAACCATCACCTCTCAAGCGAACGATAGTAGCAAGAGCGCCTTTCATCGGTTACGTAACTCTTTCACTAGCTATGGATAACCCTGTTGCCGCGAATGTCCTCGGAACCGCCGGAGCTGTAAGTTGATGTTACTAAATAATTGATAATACATTGATCTTGTCCAACCCAGTCCCTAAAAAATAACCTTTTTTGTCGCAGGTTTGCTGGTCTATCCAACTTATTCCCCAGATATGGATAAACTACCGCCGCCACCATACCACAGGCCTCCAACCTTCCATGATGCTTCTATGGGCATTTGCAGGGGTTCCACTTGGCATCTACAACGTCGTAAGCGGTTTTAACATTGCACTACAAATCCAGCCTCAGATTCTCACGTTCCTGAGTTTGGTTACATGGGCGCAATGTCATTACTACTCCTCAAAGTGGGATTTGAAAAAATGCCTAGGTGTAACTTCGGCTATTGGAATAACCCTTGGCGGCCTTGAAACAGGGTTGATATTCGCGCTTCGTATCCCTAAACGTAATGGACTTCAATGGCCCTTAACACTCATGGCGGTTCTCTCGGCTGTTTTTCTTTCCTTGGGGGTTCTAAGACATTACTGGGATATCTATACCCATAAAACTGTTAGGGGAATCAGTTTCTTGTTTGTGTTTATTGATGCGCTTGGAGACTTGACGAGTCTGGTGTCAATATTCTTCGAAAGACACCTGGACGTACTGGGCATGGTTATATATGGAAGCGAATTGATATTATGGATTGGGGTTATGGCTTGTGGCGGGTGGTTCAACCTGAAACCGTGGGTCGAAAGGTGGCTCAGAAAGAAGAGGGAGGAAGATTCGCAGATGGCTATGGGAAGTGATGAAGTTCAAAGACATAATGCTATTACAGAACATAATATGCCGTCATCAACATCAGTTTTCCGGACCCCGAGCTCAGAAGACAACGTTGTTGTCCGGAGAGGAGCCAGGACTAGCGAAATCGAGGTATAATACTATGTGTGAAATAGTCTCGGGGCTAAGTGTAAATTATAAAAACTTATAGATTTCAGTCGATGAAAAACTCGACTTCTTTCTCGCCTAAGGAACATGGTTTATCCTACCTTCGCATTAGTTTCACCGCTCTCTGCTAAATCGACGACTCTTCTGCTAGTAGTTGTAAAATAGCTCAAAAATGTGGCCTGGCATGTTTTGCAAGCTCCTAAAGGCTTATCCAGTCCTTTCGAAGTTAAACAAAGAGAAAAGACTACACCATCTTCATGAATTGGCATAACCGAAAGTGGAACTGTTTCCGCACAAGTTCCAACATTCCACTTTTCCAAAGCCCTGGACCAAACGCCTGTTTTCTCGCAGATGGCTCGACGGCATTTTTTGACAAAGTCGAGCGTATCTAGGTCTTTAGTCATTGGTTGAGAGGTGCCCAGCCATAAGAATGGGGCTCGTTGAGTTGAAGATCCGGGAATCGCTATCATGCCACAACATGCACGGGGGCGATCTTTATTTCTCTTTATGAACAATCTAACCCATTTTACGAGAATCTCTAGAACGTAAGTAAGGTAGAAGCCGTAGTCTATGCCATTCCCCGGCAGAATGTTAAGACCAATGAAAGGCTGAAGGAAAAGCGACAGGAGTGCTGCTAGGACACAAGCTTTGGACGTGATTGGTATCAAGATACCGTTATAATCAAGGAGGCCTAATGTCCGGATATCTCTGCAGCAAAAAAATGCGGTTAGCTCACTGCGGGTGCTTTAGTGTCGGGGGGTATCTACGCTTGGTTTTCCACCTTTTACTCGGGCACGATAGTTCCCTGACCAGTTGTCCTATAACTAGCCTATTTTTCCCCGTTAGTACTGTGCACATAGAGGTCAGCCAACTGACAATTTCGTCCTTATTCAAATTGGAGAGGCGATTTAAGTCTTTTATGGGTAGTGGATGCATTTGTAGTGTGGTTCTTGTTTGAAACTCTTAAACAAAGTAGTTGGGAGATATTCCGATTCGCGTTGCAATGTATACGGCTTTGAGACGATGTTTCAAAAGCTGGGGCTGTAGATTGACTCGGAAATTTAGTTCGTATACGTAATTTATGTACTCGTATGCCGTAAAAGGGCCGTGTACACTTAGTATTTGCTTTATAAGCACGGAAAAATGGGAACGAATGGTAGCTTCTGCCCATAGGTTGATTTGGAGTCACTGAAAGATTTAGAGGCTATGGTATCGATTAAACCTCCTAACTACCTTTGGTACTTACCAAAATACTTTGTATATACTGATGTATTCGATGTTCGCATCAGTGTACAAGGTGACATCTTATATAAATTTTTTACTCTGGGGGCAACTTGTTCCACTTATGCATTTGATCGAAAGTCTTGTTTTATAATTTAAGTTCCTTCTGGTTGCTAAGTATAGTTATAGTTACTGAGTTTCAAGTTAAATTACAAAGTCCCAAAACAAGTTTAAAGTGCGAGAAACCTGGGCAATTTGCCTAAACCGCAAGCCATCAGGAATCTCCATCGTTACAGTATGAGCGCCATAAGATAGCTTGTAAGCTTGAAATTATGCCGAAACATATTATCTCAAAACCCTTCTACTGATACGATTCTTTTCTAGAAATTACAGGTATTAATAAGGAAGCTGGAAACAAAAGAGTCTTATATATCGGAATACTTGCGGAGGTGTGGTACCAATTGACTTTCCGGACTCTTCAAACATGGGGTTCAGATGCTGCCCGACGAAAATCTAGAGGCTGTCCTTGCCCCAGTTTCACTTTAGGTTCAGCCTTCGACCGCGACGCTTTGGAATGAGGATCCTTCGGGGGGTTGTTCTTCTTTGCGTGGGTGTGTCCTGATCTTATTGCGGGGTCGCAAATTTCGGTTTCTTGTTGGAGCCATCTAATAGCGTAAAGCTTTAGAAGCGACTCGTCAAGAGGGAGGCAACCTTGAGGATCATCTGAGTCTGAAATTGCGCGACGAGTATTTGTCGTTTCGTAAAAAGCCATATTTTCATAGAGTTCCCAACGAGTCAAACCTCCATATACTTTCTCTTGCAGCATAGGAATCAATGGTTTGAGGACACCATTGCTGTTCTGTGGCTTTGACAACTCTTGGAGCCATTTTTGGTACGGAAGACCTTTTAATTTGACGCCCACGCATCGACTTAGCATTTCAAATGTATCGTTTAACTCCACTGATTCGGAGTTCCTAAGTGTGACTAGATTGTAAGCGCGGCCAATATTCTTATCATTGGAAGATATGTGGAGTAGTTGTTTCACTACTTGGTCTACCGGAATAAATTCTTTCCGTTGTTTAGGGAGTAGTGGATAGAATCCCATTTTAATACAAGCAATTGCAACTCGTCCAAAAAAGTCGTCAGGATTTCCGTAGCCCGTTTTTGAGTGGCCGAGAATAAATCCTGGCCGGTAAATGGAGATGGGCAGTCCCCTTTGAATAGCCCGCCAAACCAATTGCTCCGTCGCAAATTGACTTTGTGAGTAGCCAAGATCATATACAAGGCCGTTGATGAAGGCATCGAGAGGCTCGTCTTCAGGCAAATATTCTGCTAAATTCTTAACCGAAGCTGTAGGATCGGGAGCCCCGTAGGCACCGATACTTGATGAATAATGAACTGTCTTTTTCCTGCCGGTAACGGCGAAACGTAAGATATTGAGCGTCCCGGCAATATTTGCCGGACGGTGTAGAGTGTATGGCTGTATGTAGTTCACATGGGCTCCCAAATGGAAGACGGTTGCACAAGATCGAGCTACCTCTTCGTATACGCCGGGAGTTAACCCTAGGAGGGGTTCCGCCAGATCGCCGCTTAAGACAGTCAATTTAGATGTCATCAATGAATCCGCAATCGATATGTGGTACTTTTGAAGGTTCTTTCGGATTCGTAGCTGACCATCATTAGAGTCCTTTGCCCGTACTAGGCATCGAATGGTTTGAATCTCTGGGAGCTCAATGAGAGCCTGGAGGAAAAATGCTCCAAGGAAGCCGGTAGCACCAGTTAAGAGCACATCTCCCTCCTCCGTGCAACGCCAGTTTGAAATTGGGCCTGGAAGGGGCACCAATTCATCGGCTAGTTTGGGATCATTTATCATGTAATTTCTCACATCTTTAGAATTGGCTGCCGCGGTCTTGGGGCAAAAGCCGGACTCTATGTATCTTGACATTCTCTGTAATGTCTGATGTTCATAAACATCACGCACCGATATGTTAAAATTGAATTTTTTGTAAATTTCGGAGACGAGGCTCGCAATATTAATTGATGATCCTCCGAGGGAAAAGAATTTATCGGTGGGTTTAATCTCCTCAGGCGGAACCAAGAGTATCTCAGACCAAATAAACTTCAACTTATCAACAGTTAAAAGATTTTTGTAGCTGATATCAAAGTTTCCTTTTATTTTGAGGCGGGCCTGTTCAATAGATTCGAGGCATAAGGCTTCTAAGGCCTTACGATCAGTTTTCCCGTTTGGAGTTAGTGGGAAGCGATCGATGGGTGTCAGACGAGGAACCAAATTCTCCGGGTACTTCTCCCTTACTTTCTTGGCAAGGGAATCGAGATTTGCTGGAGGGTTGAGTACTACATACGCTTGAAGGAAAGCAGGGGACTCCACCTCCCGGGGCTGTATCTTGATTACCGCAGCCGCGGAAACAAGGCCGGTGCCGGCAAGGAAAGCTTCGATCACTTCCAACTCGATACGGTGGCCCGAAAGTTTGATTTGATTATCTCGACGTCCTACGTACTCGAGAAGATCAGATCCTTCGCGACGCCTTACTAAATCACCTGTCTTATAGACACGGAGAGGCCCGCCATGAGTTAAGTTGCGTAGGTTGAGGAACGATTTCTCATTGAGGTCGGGTCTATTGAGGTACCCTGGCGAAAGACCAGGACCACTTATATATAGCTCTCCCACATCGGTGCCGGCGACAGGCCTGAGGTTCTCATCGAGAACATGGTAGTCACCATCTAGCAATGGTCTTCCAATGCTCATTGTACCCAAAGTTGCATCCTCAAGAGTTACATCGTATGTCGAAGAAAGAATAGAGCACTCTGAGGGGCCATAACCATTAAGTAATCGCCCAGGAGGGCCTCTTTCGAGAACGAGCTTCATAACGGAGGTATTTGGGGCATCTCCAGCTGCCACAACAATATCCACTGTTTCGAAGGCCGTTGGGCATGCAATGGCGATCGCATTGAAGAGCGCGTTGGTAAGGAGTACCCAAGTAATCCGGTAGGTTTTGATAGCTTCCGCAAACTTGAATGGATCCAGCATTAATTCTTTAGGGATGTTTATTACAGTGCCGCCAGAGATCAAGGGACACCAAATATCCTGGATACAAGCATCGAACACGACATTATTGACGTGGGCAATGCGATCGCTCGGCTTGAACTGAAACCAAAAGTTCAATCGGTGTATTCCATGAACGGCTACCTGAATACCCTTTGGAACCCCGGTTGTCCCAGACGAGAATAAAATATGAGATCGGGACTTAGATGAGGTGGGAATGTGGCTTAGTCCTTGGTAGTCTTTAACCTTGTCCAAGTCTTCATAAAAAATCAAAATTTTAGTTGCAGCAGAAGGTCGATGAATATTCTGCTGATCCGCAATAACGATCTTGAACCCAGTGTCGGATTGTCGACGTTTAAGCTGCTCATCTGACCAGGTCGGGTCCAGGGGCAGACAAGTCCCTCCACAAAATATAATAGCCATTTGAGATATGATATGGTCAAGTCCCTTCGAGGTGAGAATCGCAATGGGCTCCTCTAGCATAATTTCTCTGAAATTACGGAGGATAAATGCAAATTGTTTGACCCTCTCGAGAAGTTGACGGTATGTAAGCATAATATTGCCATCAATGACAGCAAGTTTTTCTGGAAACTCTATAACCCGGTTTAAGAAGAGTTCGATAAGGCCGCATGTTGGGAGCTCAGGGCTAGAAGTGTACGGCCTCCGTAAAGTGGACATTCTTTCCGTTAGTTAAACTTAGGAGGTAAAATTTAAGAGTATATAGTGAGATAGTAACTAAACTTGCGAGCGCGGCGATGAGCAGATGATTATAAGGGAATGAAGGGCTACAGTGCTAACTCGAGCCCCTTTATATAGAAATTAAGCTAACTATCAACGGAGAGCTTCGTTTGGACATATCGATATATCTCGACTTTAGTTTTCGAATTTCTCGGCCAGACCGCGATCGATGGCGGCTTGTCATCGTAGATCTATAGCCTGTTTGTACACCTATTGAACTGAACCCCACGGGTTCCCTCGCTGTGAGATTTTGATACTCAACGGAGACATAGCCTTGCTTACAGATTGTATTCGAATATTCTCGAACTCGCCACTAAAATTATACCGTGATCTTCAGACGAGCTGCATATCGCTCGGATGTGAAAATTCAATGATGCAGCTAGCCCACAATGCGAATGCGCTAGTCTTTAAGCCAAGAGTCTGCTACCATATCGCTATTCTCTTTTGGGGACCGGCTTGGGACTAATATGAACTATGAAGCATACTGGTTGGAATCACCTACGGCGCGAACCAAAAGTTTCCATGGCAAGCCTGCTGAAGCAATTAATTATAACTAAGTCACAGTGCAACCAAATAGCATAATTGGTTTTCTTTATCCCCTTTTTCTTCTTCTTACCCTTGTTTGAAATATGGTATCTATACTTTATATTTACAATGCCAAATCATCTGATATCTTTTACCTGTCAAGTTCGTAATATCTATTAAGGCAGAGGTGAGTGTCCCATAGGCTATGGTGGATTAACGTACGAGTGTGACGCTACGTACAGGCTTGGTATGTATGTATGTATGTATCTTGTGATACCTCTTCTTTCCTTTTTTTCAAACAGGGCGTGGAGTTCTTACGCATGCACCTGGGTTCAGACATTCCTTTCGAGCCGGATACTCCATAAACGCTCGATCCGGTGGACTCGCTGGATCTGCAACACTACTTATAAGTCCCAACTAACTTCAAGCATTACAAACCCCAAATTTTGCGAATAAATTTTTTAAAATAGTTATAATTAATTCAAATAAAAACTGATTAACTAAATTATTTTTTGACTTTATTTAGCAAAAGGTTTCTGTTTTTTATATGTATAAAGTTAAGCTGTTAAACTTATTTTGTATAGTATTCAAAAATCAATTGATCTTATTAACTAAGTAGGGATTCGCGTTGGTGATGTGATTCGGATCACGGTGCTTGACGTTGTGGAGCCGTTAGTGAGGAGTGTGCTTTGCATTGGCTGCACATGCACGATAGAACACCGGGTAGCTAGCTTACCTTACCATGCTTGAGATAGCGCCTTTCCCAAATGGCTATCCTAGCTTTGATTCATTAAGTTAGCTTGTCTACCCCCTACTTTTGAAGCTGCAGGTTCAGATGCATGAGCTGACCAGTGGTGCGTATATACGTATATACAAGCGAGAGCGAACCCAATGGCGGCCTCCGCCCGCCTTCGTTATATGAACATGATATCGATTTTGTAATAGTGATAAAGAAATAGGTTTTTTTTCTCGAAGTTTTATTTGAGAATAAATTCGAATATTTATCTATCTTATAGATTGTCATTCGAAACAATCGAAGACGATTCATGTTTATAATCAATAAGATCTGATAGTGACGAAGAGTACGCCGCGAAAGCGTGAAAGCACAGCGAAGCACCCCGCGAACACAAATTACCGATCCGGGCTAGGCCCGGCCGAACATGGTGCTTATATATACATGGATAGCCTGTCTGGGCTAGCTCTTATGCACAGTCAAGATTAGGCCTACTAGTCCAAATACAAAAATATTAAATGAAAAGCCGTAGATGATTGTGATCAATGAGGAATGCTGCTTACTAGAACAAAATCTTGGGTTCGCCCAGATCGATCGGTCATTTTTAATAGATCGGTAGAATTCAAAACCGAGAGTTTTTACGTTAACAAGTGTACTTGAGTACTCCAGCCCTGTCGAGGGAAATGACACGAAAGTCCAACGTTTTCGCATAAGAAATGAAAATATGGCACAGAATTATCATCCTGTACAAGTTTTAAAGATTTGGCCGCTCTTTATAAATTTAGTTAATTTATTCTAAATTGAAGACGAATTATTGCTGCTGTGATAGACTTTGTCTCGTCGCCAGACCCCTCAACTGTGGATAGGCTCGCTGAATACAACACAGCTGGTTCGCAGGAATGTCATAACGCCGCCACGATTCAAGGCCCAACCTAACGAGACCAGCCCCAACCGTTTAAGAAACCGATCGAACATGCTTACTGTACACCTACTTGACCAGGCCTACTAAAAGTGGGGGGCCAGAACGCTACTGCTCTTAGATATGCGTGGGAAGATGTCCATTTACGAGTAGGACGGAGTACGGATCCAACATTCCTCAACTGCAGCTAGCTCTCTGCCGATACGTCATTCTGCAAATTGATGCAAAGAAGCGTGAAGCCTTGGGGTCAACCGTTTTTGCCGTCTCACTAGCTTGCATTTCATCAAAATTTTCGGTCGATAGAAGTTTTTCAGTCACTACACACGCACTACGACTTATTTGGTCACCATCATGCGTAATGATAGGCCTAAGCGAAGCATAAGGCTCGCTCCGCTTACCGGTTACCTAGCGAAAATACCAGCTAGCGTAAACACCATCCCCTTTCACAATGTTGGCGGAATTGCATATAGCTGGATAGCTTATCCAATAGATTATCACTCCCTCCATCGAGTCTCCCCGTTGTGCAAGATTTAGATCCGTAGGCAGTCTGACAGAGACTCTTCGCCGACTATAGAACTCTTCATTTATCATCATCTGGAGACCGGGTTCCCTGTCATATGAGATTACTAACTGTGTGACGTCACATCTCTATATTAGATCAGGAATATTTAGAATGCGGTTCAATCTTGGTGCCCGCCCTGGGTTGGAGACTATCTTCTTAACGTTTTAACTTCTACTCTAGTATTATGACATTATGAATAATGAATTGTTGGACGACGATTCAGCTGCGGGACAGAGTTATTACGTAGGGCGCAGGCCGTAGAATATCTCTATTGATGATCTAACCGATACCATTTCGTGCTCTAAATCCCCTCAGGAAGACCGGAAAATGGTACACTAGGAAAAACTATTTGAGTCCTATTTGTCATTGTTTTTAATTTCTTCTGTCTATTCTTTATAAGTTTGCTTCATCGAGTCTAACAGTAGGTCAGCTGGATGCCTGCGGACTTATAGGGGGGAATGAATCTGACGACTGAATGTTGCAGACCTAAAACTTATAACTGCAATTTGAAGTACCCTGAAAGAGCAGAATTACGCTAGAGTATGATAATTAGAATAAAAAGAATAAGAGTAAAATAGGTCATAACTGGAACGGGCGACGATAATCTGAGGCTCCTGACACTCTCTTTCCGTGATATATTTGAGGCTGTGAGATTTACTGGGACTTAATATTCTATTTATGAAAGCGGATATAGAATAGTTATTATAACACTGACGCAGCAGTCAAGAGCTCTGAAGTGGTACTCGGGATCTTAAGTTACGATGCTACAGTTACCCGACAGACGGAATTGTTTTTGTCCACAGGCACAGTGTCAACAGGACAGATTATGATCTTCCCATCTCGATCTGACTACTTATTGGAAAGTATTACATATACCACTGCACTCTTATACTGTTATAGATATATAGAGCCACCTATCTTAGACTAGATCCTCTCGGCTGATAGTTTTGATAAGGTCTTCGTCTGTCATTTTTTGGACATCCATGATGTCTAATATCTGTGTGAGAAAGTCTTGATATATGTGTAAGAAAGAGAGACATCGAGAACTTTTGTTTCAATCCGTACAGCGAACTGGATATATTTCATTAGCTTTTTGCGATATGAATGACATACTTGAAGGGCACATACATCTTTGGGCCGTCATTCCGGTTACGGCAGGACTATTCTCACGAAATTTCACGCGCTCCTGCATTAACTCTTCCTTATAATTTTCGGCTTCCTCCCGAGATATTGGCTGGGGCATATCTTTTGTTACCTCTTGGAATAATTCCACTGGTAACTTGCCAGCCCCAGTTTTGCAGAGCATTTTTATAATAGCCTCTTGGACATCTGGTTGTTGTGGGGGTACTGTCCTTGTTGTAGGGATCTTCTAAATATTAGTTGTGCTGCTGGATCGAAGGTTGATATATTTGTCGTACCTTGTGCTCTATGGATGGATCACATAAAAAGAATGCTAAGATCCTACGATAACCTTTCTTTGTTTTATCTACCAGTTCGAAAGGCTCGATCCTATGTTGGAGAATGTTCGGGAACACGATGGCTCGATTTTTCTAGTCCATATATTAGCACTACTCAGTCTCACTGCCCAACCAGGGTAGGATTTCCCGTAACTATAATACGTAGATATATTTCGTACCTTTGTAGGAATGCTACCTAGCTCTTGGGCCACAGGTATGCCTTCTTCGACGGTTATATTGTGTTTTTCTATATACTCCGCGGAGTTGTGTCGCTGATATATCCTGATTCGGTCAACCGCCCGACGGAAGGCGAGTGAAGAGGGTGTAATGTTATCTTGGTCATAATAATAGATGCCTGTCGCAATAATTCGTTCATTCTAATTCTATTAGCCTTGCTAGGTCGAGGACCCCATGTATCGTAAGGATTACCTTTGTTGCCTCTATATGCCATGGTCCACCTTTCCATTGTGGTTTCTCTGGCGTTAGAATGATTGTAGCCATTTTGACAATCACTCTTGCTGTGGTGCCTTGGAGTTTGGCATGCTCCAGAATTTCTTGAGATGGGGGTTCCCAGCTTTCCTCTGTGAGCTTCCCCCTATTGGTTATATAAATCTGCGTGGCGAAGGGTGCAGAGTTCAGGAAACGCCGCAACAAGCTGCGAGACACTCGAAGCTCATTTCCAATGTCTGCAGTCAGGGTCTCGCCTGTCTCAAACTGTTCGATGAGTTTTTCCCAAGTTTTTATGTATGTCTCTTCCGGGACAGATTTTCGGAAGTTAGATTTCTTCGATTCTTTGTAACTGAGTCCTTCGACTCTCTCTAGGGAGTCGATCCTGCGTCGTAAGTCGCCGAGAATATGGTTGAACAGGGGAACAAATTTAGAAAAAATATTTTCTAAGATAGGATGGAAGATTTCGCTCTGCTCCGGAAGTGCTAGATTGTTGACATAAGACGCTATTGTCGTTTTCCCTTCTGAAGATATCTCGAACTCTGAAGGGAGCCAACAAAATCTTCTTGAGACGTCATACCGAATTTCATCTTCCCACCACTCATCATCTTCAAATGTCGGGGCTTCGATAGTGGCACCACTAATTGACTTTGAGCGACCGTAGATTATTGGCCATCAGGATGGGTGTACAAGGTCTAAAAGCTGCTGGTTGGACTCTGGATGCCATTTCTTCTTAGGATCATTCTCAAGAGTGGCCGCAGCTGCGATGTTGTTAGTAAAAACATATATTTTTTTTGGCAAGAGAGTAGGAGAGTAGATGTAATGAAGGCGGCCAACTCCCTTCAGCTTGGAGAATGAAAATCACAGGCAGCGTGGGCGCTTGAATACCTTTAATAAGATCCAGTCTTGTTTTCTCATCGGCAAAATCATCTATTCTCCAAACACCGTCGACACTGGGCTGTATTCCAATCTTTTCACATTCCTCAACGTAAGGCTTGTATTTTTGTATCGGTTCTTGATATACAAAATCCACATCCTCCTTGTCCCACACATGTATGCGTTTGTCTAGTCTCAAACCATCTATGGATGCAGCCTCTCTCAGCTTATTCGAAATAAAACTACGGTCGGTGATCTTTTCCGTCCAATTTTCTTCTTCGCGGATAGAAGCAGAGAATTTGCGGAGATACTGTTCGCGGTAAAAAATGGGGGTTGCGAAGTCCTCAGTCGGATGAGGAAATAGTCCCTTCCGTATAGCATTTCCTTGTATTGTTTGGAGTTTGTTTTCCATGTTTATGGTTTTATGATCCTGATATATTTCGTGTGGACCTAAGATAATGGGTTGAGGGTGCCACTCGGTATCTTTGTAGTGAGCTTACGGCTTTTTATAACTTCGACCCGGGCTTCAAAAAGGGTTCTCCGACCGGGTGCTCAACTGTGATGCATGAGTCTATAAAACGACAAGGCTGATCTTTTTGGCGTGCAGCGTACAACTAAGAATAACTAACATCAAGCGTCGCCCGACAAAGCGACTTTTGACATTAGGCCCCACTCTGCTGGCCTGATTTGGGTATTTAGAGACGAGCAATATGCATATGTTCCTCCTAAGATCTTAAAAACAGCCTCCGAGAAGTCTCGGATTGCTAGCTTCGCTACCGGCCGAACTAATTACAACAGCGCAGGGGACTTGGCTTTTTTTTGTAATGGGCAACTTGGGACGTTTCGTACCCCTTGGAAATATTTGTGAATCATTATCTCGAATTTTCGCCAAGGTTGTGTTAAGGCGCATTTTCCGAGAGCAAAGTCGAATTCCCATCTCGTAACCGTATTTTTGATTCCCCAGATTCACAACAACCCTGTAACCAAACTGCACAACTTACATAGGCCTTCTGTATGGCAGCAAGTTTAACACAAAATCCATCCCGGGACCTAGTGAGCTTAATCGGATTCGAGTGGTAAGAGCGGACAACACAAGGTGGTGCAAAATGATAGAGACCGGGTCTCCTGCTGTAACTACTGAATTCTATGTCTAGGTACGGGATTAGAAAGGGAACCGACGGCATGGGATCTGAAGATCGAGTTTGGCTCGCGGAACGGTCTCAGACAAAGCGAGGCTCCCGAATGGGACGAACTTTACAACAATTTCAACACATATTATCGATATTTTAGGCTCGGGGTCTCGGTATAAAGGGTGAGGTTCGGTAAATAGATACCTACCCTCTGCTACTTAGGAAGGCTCGAGTTTGTACAGCCCGGTAGAGCACCCTAGTCTGGGAGATGCTCACCTCTGCCCTAGTAGTTCGACGTTTTAACGTTTTTTAATTGACTTACTCGAGCTCGAGCAGCTGCAGACTGTAATGGCATCGCTCAGCTAAGACTGACGCACCAAAACGAGACATGTGTTAGCCTGTATTACATAAGCATCTTGTGCTACACAACACACCAGGGCTAGTTGCCAGGATCCTTCGCCCTTGACTCTAGTGCCAGAATAGTAGTCTTGTATTAAAACGCCTAGTATAGTACTCTACTCCTCTTTTATAGCTTCTATCGGCGTTCTCCCGGAATAGTTTAGTAAGTGCCTCACTAAACCCAACCCCTATTAGAGGAGGCCCCGATCCTGCGACAACATGTGGTGTTGCCCTAGACTCACTAGTCGTGTTATGCGGCAAAAGGCTAGGGAAAGATTAGCCGTTAGTGCATGTCGATACCAGGTTAGTCCTTGACGGGAAGTGATTTAAAGGGGGATTTAACTTCAAAAACTGTGGAGGCTACGAGACCAGACTAGTGGAGTCTAATCTCTTTATCTTTCGTTCAGAATTACGGGAAGTGTTGTTTTTGTTGGATTCTACGCGGAGCAAGATCGATTTTGGGCGGAAGAACGGCGCCAAAAAAATACATTCTTCAAAAAATGTGTATAGGATAAAAGGGGGAATAGAAAAGAATAAATACAAAAGTACCAAGCACTAAGGCTCGTTGACGTCCAATATAGACAATAGAATGAAACCACGACTAGCGAGCAATCTAGTCCTCTATAAGTATATACCCGCGACCCTCTGCACCGAGTCTACCCTTCGGCCTCCGGAATACGTTTTATGAGTCTGGCGAGGAAAATATCTCGAAACCATAGACCCATTCAAAATTGCCGACCAGTGATTTATGGGATGCACTGGCTGTACCAAGCGTTGGAAACAACGCAACGACCTTGAGCGCAAGTCTTAGGACCAGTCCATCCATTACCGCCGCATTGTCCCCAAAGAGAAGATTTAGCTCCAGATCCTCCAGAAGCGGGGGTAGTAGTAGGCGCAGATGCAGCTCTAGTAGTAGTAGTTGCAGCTCTAGTAGTGGTAGCTACAGGGTTGGAAGTGCCGGAGCCGCTCCAGACTGCTGGGCCTGGGAATTGGAAGGGTTTGTGGCCACCGTAGATGCTGAAGTTGGCGTATGGATCGGTGGATTTGTATACACCTGGGAATTTTACGAGAGGGCCGGGAACGCCGTTACCACCGCCAGTGACTTTGACTTGCATACAAGAGACGAAGTGTTCGGGCTGATTAACATGGGAGCGATGGATACCTGTTACATTGTCAGTTAGCTAGCGCATTGTCAAAATTATGGGGCGCTACACTGTTCTTACCGATGTGCTCGACACGGACGAGATACTCGCCGTTGGGAGTGTTCGCTGGGATTCTAGCAGCGATCCAATTGCGGTCCCATGTGCACCAGGCGTTGGTGGTAAAGTCGCCACCTGAATTGCAAACACCCTCCTGGAAGATCTTGAACCAATCGCCAGATCCATCGTACGCCTTGACGTTATCACCTGGGGCTCTGGACATGTAGACAAAGCCGGGTCCTGGATGTTGCATAGTAGCCCCGACACCGAGCTTGAAACGGACCTCAGAACCAGCAGTAACGGTTAAGATCTCAGTCCTTCCGGCGCTGGAAAAGGCACCCTGATTGCAGCGGGCATCAGGTCCGTCTATGTGTGAATTATCGCGGATATCTGCGGCCGGGTTGGAGGAGAATTTGATGGGGTTGTACTTAATAGCCCTAGTCGAGGCTCGCACATATTTATTAAGAGGTTGGCTGACTCCATTGATGATATTGGTGTCAAAGAAGTAATGTGCTGATGCCAACTGTGCAACAGTGGCGAGGACAAAAGTAATCTTCATTGTGAAAGTGTTTGAAAAAAAAAGTTTATATATCGAAAAAGAAGAGAGGGAAGAGAAAGGAATGGAAAGGAATGGAAGCTACTAGGCTGATGGTCGAAGTCAATCGATCTAAAGAGAAAAGAAAACGAAGGAAGGGAGTATCTTCGTGGTATTTAAGTTAGTACACTACCATCCCCGGCCTTAACCATTGATCCAGTCTAGTGGATATTAATGTATTGATACCATGGTTTTCCATCTCGTGGTTTTTGGAATACGAAGTTCGGAAGGTATTTCTCGACGCCGAAACAAAGATAGGGCTAGGTAGTGGGGCCGAGTGGTCTGCGCACAAATGATCGGCTTGGCAGAGGGTCCTTGCTCTCCTATTTGTGTCACCTTTGTAGGCAACTTTAACCTCGGCGCCAAAGTCTGTAAGTAAGTTTAAGAGGCTGTCGGAGGAAGATTGCAGTTGTAAGTCTTGGCGCTGAACTAGTCCAGTTCATTTATTTTAGTCAGTACTTACATAAGTTTACATATATGTGCATGTATCCATGGATCCACTGATCTAGAAACCCCGCAGGCCCGACGAGAGCGTCGATACGAATCTCCGCATCCGCTTACATGTATTATTTATAATACCGAGGAAGATAGAACCAGCATTCCGGATCTAGAATAAGGAAAACGTCATGGGCGAAGTGCATAAATTCCGTATTCTCGATAGATTTTCTCGGCATCAACGGTATCAACGGCAGCTATTTCCAATCTAGCATGGTAGAAGAAATCCATGTCTATGCATCTACAGACGGGAGTTTAAAAATTGACAAGTCCCTCCCGTCGTTTCCGAACAGAAGTAATAACCGACTAGTCTCGATAGCCGTTAATCAGTACGAAATTCTACGCTGTGGTAGTTAATTACGTTGATTATAAAGCCCCAAGACCATGGTCGAAGTCTCGGCGACGTGCAGCTGGCTTTTATTTTCCTTCAAAGCCATGGTCGAGATGGCTTGGCTTTGCTCTCGGCTGGCTGGGCCCCCTGGCCCCTGCACCTCCTTGCATGCAAGGCGCACTCCTGTTCAATGGCCCGTTCAATAGGATTTCGGGCTGGTTCAATAGGAGAATTTAAAACAAAACGAAAATACAGCATGCATGTCGATACGGCTTACCGAAAGAAGGGGCCATGGCAGCGGCCCTACAAGCGAAGACCAAACACTTCACACTCAGGATCCTAACTAGATGCCCCCTTCAATATCAGCTTCTCTTAGTAAAACCTACACCGTTGCAGCCACCTATTGTGAGTTTTTGGCGACATGGCCTCGGAAAGTATGTACCGAGTATGTGCAATATCATACGATGGGTAAAGCGAAAGGGCGGCAAGTTCGGTCCTTGAATTCGTGAATCTAGCTCGGTCTAAGTGAAGGTTTCAGAGAACGCTTACCTGAAACCTCGGGTTGTTTTCAACTCACTCTGATACATCGTATTGCCCGAAATAACACAACATAATATTTTTCTTCAAGTTTTGACGAAATCTAGAATAAAAAGAGAAAGTTTAGGAGTAGAGGACCCGCTTTCGCAAGGCAGACTCGAGGATCTCAAGAGGCTCAGAGTAGACTATTTTTCAGCAATCTTATCGATCTGTATTCCAGAAGTTATCGTGACATGCCAAGACATGGTATCAAGGAGATTTTGCCATCACACATATTATGGATCGATCTGGAAATATCTTGGCAAGACAAACAGAAGCCTTTAATTTGACATTGATATTGGAGCTCCACGGAGTTACATCGTGCATTGAATTGTATTGGTGCATTAAATATTAACACAGTTTCCGTTTTTATAGAAAGCAATATATTAATATAGAGATATCAACTTTATAATGGACTAACTACAGTTTGGTCTCTACATTCATCGAAAATTGGTTGAAGATGGCCAAAGCAAACATGCTTTATTTTCTTGAATACTGGCCGATACACTTTACATGGGGAGCTTTGCCAACAGTCCGTGATGATTCTAAATACAATACTAGTATAGTATCGCATTCGATTGCACCTTGAATAATTTTTCTTTAGCTGTAGAACGTTCGAACCTAATTCTCGACATTGCCTTGTTCATGTTCCGGGCTAGCTAGTTTCTGTTTATAATATTAAGACCCCCCTGAATCTTCATATCTATAACATTTTATGTTATCTGGTCAGCCTAGCAGGAAAGTATCGGTTCCTGGCCCCTTCTTTGTATAAAAAATAACGGCCTCTACCGCTGTTACCACATGTCCCAATTTCTGTTCTGTTCTGTCGTGTCAGCGCATCTCAAGATTTTCCCAAATACCTTAACCACCGTGACCCACATATGGCTCACATATGGCTTATAGCTTTGAACGACATCAAAACCTCTTGCACTTTCACCACAGTTTAGTTAAGGTTCTTCCCGTGGCCTCATTTTTAACATTCTTGCTGATCCAGCTAGTTATTTGAGTTAGCTCTCAGCTAGTAGGTCACATGCCTGTTCTCTGTGCCCCTTTCATGCGGACATTTCTTTAAGAGTTCGTTGATTACTTTCGGGCTAAAACACCAATCAATGATATTACCGTTGGCTCAGAAATGCTAGGTCCTCTCAAATAATTTCACGTTTTTTTCTCGAATTACACTCCCCATGGCTTTTACAATTCTTTTATCGAAATAGTTGTATCTAATGGTTCGTGTGTCTGCAACCCGAGCATATTGTTCTAGAGCCAGGACTAAAACACCAACCAACGTATTCTCCCACATTTGATATCTCTGACAGTAGGAAAACACTCATAATTAATATGCACCGACACCTATATTCCGGTATAAAGGCTCCGCCAATCAAATCTTTGATCTACAGCATTTGCCTTGAGTTTGCGAACATAGAGCGACGCTGCTATTTGCATTCTAGATCCACTTTTTCCTTATTAGCTGAAATGAAAGGTTTACCTTGGTAATGAGCGCTTCTTCTCCTTTTCGATATGTCTCCTTTAAGTGAGTTATTTTATATCCAGTAGTATTTCTCCCGTAACTCTCCATTTCTGTTGGTTGAACCGAAGTCAGTGTGCTTAGTTTATGAACCCAATTCCGTTTAAATCGCTTGCTAATACATTTTTCTCAAAACTCGAAGACATGGGGATTAGACTCAAAGTGACTATGTATTACATATAAATTGGCTCCTAGCCCAAAATTTGGTCTTCTAGATCTATGAGTTGATTATATCTCCAAATTAAACTGAGATTGGGGCTAAATATGTCCAGAAGCCTAGCCTTTTGAGAGGGTTCTAATCGTACATTGCATCATGCATCATTGAGCCAACTTAACCAGCAATATTAAGTTACAACGATAGTAGTTCCTTCTTAGTACTATTGATATAATGTTATTTAACCCTTCTTGATAGCGCTTTTTTCACGGAAATGTTGCCTGGCCCTCGGATGATCCATACATTCTTTGCGATTGCACCAATTGCTTGGCCAAACTTCGGTGCGCCATTGATACTAGTTAGAGCTCGCATGCTTGTTCTGAATATGATATAGGTTACGAGAACTTGATAGTATAAAGTGAGCTAGTTAGCGCTAAGATTCTTTTGAGTATTAGGAACGACGGACTTACTTTCGCTAATTCGGGCCGCGGCGCCCTTTACAGTTGGCGGAATATAATTGACGGTTCGGTTTGCAAACGATCGAAGCATTATATAGCCGGTACTCCCAATTCTCCGGAATAAATGACGTTATAACTATCATAAAGCAAAAAAACGCGGTATAATATGCTGGAGATGTTATTCTTTCGGCGAAATTATCATATTGATGATGATGATGATGATGGAAAAAGTTCTTCCATTGGGTTTACGATTATTATTCTTGTCTACGTACAGGAGACAATGGGAAGAGTCATGTGTTACTTTGATTAACAGAATGATTGTACTTTAGTTTAGCTTACTAAATGGTAATTAGAAATTTGCCATAGATGAACATCCGTGGATCTGGCTTCAAAGCTAGAAAGGACGAAATACTTGTGGAGGCAAGTACAGAAACGAGACCAGTGCGGACCCAATTTTGGCCACTTTATGCAAACTAGTTTTGAGGATACAAAACTGGTTCAACCGGGGAGTGTCACATCGGAGGTTGGATACTGGAGGTCGCAGGTTTCACGGAGATTGGAAGTTTTATTTTCTCCATCTTCGGTTTCTATAAACTGGCTGTAGGGTGCTATAGTTAGCATGTTCAAGTTATATTGTTTGATGTTCCCATGACAATGCTCATTAAAAGCACTCTTAGCGTCACTGGACCTAAAGGCCCATTGAATACCTAACTTTTCTTCGCCATCAATTTTTGTGTGGAGCAAATCAGAGACCTTAATATCTTTCCAACTGTCCATTTTTTCATATTTAACGTTCTTGTTAGTGAGAATGTGAGCAATAATGAGATGACACTTTGTCAAGTATTTGAGATAGGAAGGCATCTCATTCTTTTGATAACCCTTGCGACAGGACCAGGTGAATTCTTGGAAATGAGGATTTATTCCCTTGTCTGTCTGACCCCACAAATAAACTGGCTGAAGAGAAGCCACTAACTCCTCCGTAATCTCGACTTCAGTGACTATTACTTCACTAATAGGGGTTCTGTGCTTTAGGTATCCGGCGTATATATCCGCCACTTTCCTCTGTGGAGTCCAGTAAGTTAATAAAGAGTGCCCACTTAGGTCTCCTGGAATGCTTCCAAATCTCCCCTCCCGAACCAAGCCTGTTTTCTCATCGTAGAAAGCTTTAGCTTTGCTTAAATTAGTAGCCCTGTATAATTTAAATTTTTTTCTAGTAGAAACTAACATAGAAGCTTCTTCCTCTGCAGCTTCGGACTGTCCTGATAGAGAGTCTGGGTCACCGTAATATGTGGTTAGACGGTTGACAGCCTTGTTACCGCTGATATCTGAGTCCTGGCGCTCAACATCGCCACGGGCTGGCGAGTTCGCGTTTTGTTGTTTTCGACTAGTAGGAGACGGCAAAGAAGGGCCTTTGCTAAGTGACCTTGCCCGACGAGTTCTCTTTTTCTCACTCCCCTCGAATGATGTAGATCGAAAATATTCTGCGCTTATTTCGAAACGTTCTGTAAGAGATTCTAGAGCGCGGTAGGTGCATTCTACGGAGTCTAAAAGCCAGAACTCGCAAGACGAAGTGTATCGGATTATTTCGTACTCCGGCAGAAGGATTGCGGTTTTTAGTCGAGAAGATATGCCGATATTATCCATATACGCGTTCCAGTCATCATCGCTGTTGATGGCTTGTAGGGACCCTCCGGGATCACTAATAAACTCGAGAATGAATTCTAAGAATGTCCTTGACGACTTTTCATTATCGGGAACACCTTCCCACAGATTCCAGATATTCTGCGCCTTCTCGGAAGTAAAGCCAATAAACTCAATAGTCTCTTGACTTTGTAAAAACACTGGTATCTCTATGAACTCTTTGAACTGGTGTATAGCAGCCGATGCGAATATGCTCGAGCCGTCTATTAAATTCGTGGGCATGAATTGGCGAGATGTTGAATCGGAAGAGGCAGCCGAGTTGCCCTGAGAAATCGTTGAAGGAGAGACCTTTCTCTTCTTTCCTTGGATAGGCTTGAAGAGCCCCAGCTCCTCGAAATAATGAGCTACCTCTAGACTCACAATACCAACTGTGGATGTGCTCGTCATCTTGGTGATAAAGACACTACTTGGGAAGTACTCTTTACGGGTTTCAATTATTGTTTGGTTCCTGGAGACACTATGAGTGGTCGGGAGCTGCAGGATATGAATTTTGTCGAAATTCAGGTTGGTTGTGTACTGGCCACGGCAGGTTTGTTGCAATTATTTGCATTTGGTGATACTTCGAGGTATTAATACAAACATTTCCCTATGTCCAAAGTATGTATTTATATTATTAGTCGGATTAAAAGTCGATGATCTTTCGTATTCTCTCGCTATCTAGCTCTAGGTTCGTGCTATGTTTAGGTACGAGGCTGGTACTATTAATATTATATTCCTTGTACTGAATCCTCCATAACAACACAGAGGGTCTAACATATTCGAGCCACGTGAGAGTTTGGAAGAAGAAGAACGACGAGGAATATTTTCACACATTTTTAATTATGGGTAATTTTGAGGATATCAGCTACGTTCGCACAATGCATTATATTAGGCTAACGCATAAACGACTATATACCGGCTAGTTAATACCTATAGGTAGGTAGCTGATATGCAGGCCACTTTGCGTAAACTTACGGTCTAGCTACTACGCGGGAACGCTGGCTGGCTGGCAGGTTCACAGATAAAAGCCATTAGTATATGTATATATAGATATACAGGCGAGTCTTTAGGCTAGTTTTTGGGCTAGTTTTGGGGATTAGCCTGTGAGAAACCTCCCTGATGAACTGGATTTTGAAAAAATCTGCCCTGATAGCGGGGGTATATGCCCGGCGTACGCTATTTCGCTATTTTTCCTATTGTGAAAATCCGGTGTCCCCAGTTGTATCGACCCACCAAATCTGGTCCCTTGTGAGCACTGGAACTTTGCACTAATCGGTAACCTTAATCTCTCCTTTAAGTAGCCTATCATGTGCTTGGTAATCCAGGAAGAGCTACAGCCGGCACAAATCTTGAAGGTTGCCTTGGAGGCGGCATGGGCAATTTATAAATTTATAATTATATTATATTTCTCAATAATGAATGCGCATGATATCATGGTCCTATGATGGTACAGGATGGTGCTTTGTATCACGTATTGGTGCTCGGGATATATCCAAGCGGTCATAATAACGTATATAACACTATAACTTTATGCTTCCTCTCCCCTGTTTTTTAAGGAAAATTCGTCGAGGTACGATGCATATGAAGCTTTTGGAAGTTTAATACACTGACGCCTCATGGCATATACATGGCGCATCGATTTTCACTCTTGCGAATTTTCAAATATACCAAGATTTGTATCTATACGGCTGAGAGTGTAGAGCTGAAGCCATGAAGTTTTGAAACCGATATCTAGGTACTGGCGTTGTGACGTCCGAGAACGAGACCAGGTACCGATCAGTCGAGCTAACCAGCCAACCTGTGCGCAGGACTCTGGTTTGGCTAATATACTAATAAACATACGGGGGATATAACTCGGTACTTGGTAAATAAATGAAGTTTTTCCAGTGGTTCATCGTAACAGGAGATCCGATTGTGACTATGTATATTTTAATCTTCGTGCAAGTGGTTACATATGAGAGGAGAGGGCGAATTGACCGTTTCTTCTGTTCCAACGGATCTAGATAGCCAAGTAGAGAAACGCGCTTTACAAGTACCTGGGTACTAAATCGTCCCGTGAAATTATAGAGGCTCTGCTTCGAGGCTCCAAACTAAGTGTATATGTAACACTGAAACTTACGTGTATAGGATATTTTAGATATATTGATACCCAAGCCGGTATTAATATTTAGCTTAATTGATTAAACCGATGGCTTCTCGCCGAAGCTGATTCGCTAAAGATTTAGACGATCAAGATGAATTTTCGCTGTTAGTTGAAACAAATCATATATATATATATATATTAAACTACTCAAAAACTCAAGTACATACCTCTGTACATACCTCTAGTTCAGGAATAGCCTTTGGAAGAACCATTGTTCGCTGTTCTCGCCAGTTTATCACAAAATATTTGTGAAAGATACCTGCCCTCCAGTATCTCCTATAGTCTTTCTATTAGCTGCTTACATAATTACTCTTTTTGAGCTCTCGATACTACTATAACATTTTGTTTTGATACCTCTAAGGTCTAGGATGCCGGACAAAAGAAGAAAATCCCCCTCTCCTTCCGCGGGCTCAGAGGGAAAATCATCGAAGCGTCAAAGGATTGATAGTCCCCCTCAAGAGTGCCAACCTTCCTCTTCACACCAATGCTCTATCTGTCTAAATACTAACCCAAATAATGGTCCTTTTGAGCGCCTTTCATGTGGGCATGAGTTTCACAGGTTTTGCCTATGGGAATGGCTCTCTTGGAATGAGAGCTGCCCGCTATGCCGTCGATTGGTGACTGAGGCCCCGGAAACAGAGGGTGACGAGCCTAGTGGCGAGGGCAGTGTTGGTGATGAGTCCCCCCGCACTTTTGGTCCAGGACAATATGAAGGGGTGGATACTGTTGAAGGCGGGGATCAAATGGGGAGAGAGGAGGAAATGGAGAGATTGGGAGAAGCAGAAGAACAAAAAGAGCAAGAAGAAGAGCAAGGAGAAGAGCAACGGGAAGAAGAAGAAGAAGAAA